TCGAAACCCTCTCCCCCCAATTTGCTCTGTTTACTCAGGGACAACCCTTGTCGGCTTGAACTCCCGAGAATAAACACAGCTCTCGGCTTCTTCAATTTTCTCAAAACAATCCCCTTAGTCAATACATATGCAATCTCGCTAGATTGTGCTGGAATCTCAGCCCTTTGTGATATTGGTTAGTCACCTCCTGAAATCCTTCATCCCACACGTATATGCTGACAATCGAGACTTGTGTGACAGATTGCATCTCTGACTTCTACACCAATACCGATCGTCAAACGCCATGGAGTTCCATAAGCCTAATTGGGAGCCTCTTGTTGCCCCTGAGGTGGAAGCGCCCGCTGTTCCTGTCGTTGCGGGATCTGAGAAGGTTGCCCCAGAGGATCAGACGGAACAGGCGCAGGAGCAAGCACATGGTCAGGGACAGGAGATCCTGCCCGAGCAGCCTCTGGAGAAACCTCTCGAACAACCTCTCGAACAAACTTTGGACCAACCTTTGGAACAGTCGACACCTGTCATGGTCAATATCGAAGAGCCGGCTTCCGACCACACAATCAGCCGTGCCGCCATCAACACTGGTTATAACAGCGACTCGAAGGCGCATTACCACTCTCGATCGACCGACTTTCATCAATCTGCTCCTGAATATGCCGCCCAAGATACCGATCAATCCCGGCAGAACTCATCTCCAGTGCTCAATCACCACCCCCTACCTGTTCCCAACTCCAGGCCGGGATCTGGACTCTCCAGTGGCCCAGAACGCGCCCCTGGTGTTTCCCAGATGCAGCAACAGGACGCTAGTCAGCGCCAAGCCTCCCAGGCTAATAAGAATAGCGTAGTGATTAAAGTTGGTATGGTAGGCGATGCGCAGATCGGAAAGACCAGTTTGATGGTCAAGTACGTCGAGGGCAGCTGGGATGAGGATTACATCCAGACATTAGGTAAGTTGAGATTTTGTTCGCCCAGTAGCTCTGTCCTTTCTAACTGATGACTTGTCTAGGTGTCAACTTCATGGAAAAGACAATCTCGATTCGCAACACTGAAATCACCTTCTCGATTTGGGATCTTGGTGGCCAGCGCGAGTTCGTTAATATGCTACCACTTGTCTGTAATGACGCCGTTGCAATTCTTTTCATGTTCGATCTTACTCGCAAGAGTACATTGAACTCAATTAAGGAGTGGTATCGCCAGGGACGTGGCTTCAATAAGACGGCCATTCCCTTCCTGGTGGGCACCAAATATGATCACTTTGTGAACTTCCCCCGTGAGGATCAGGAGGAGATCTCTATTCAGGTACTTGGTGATTCTCGTCTATACCGCCGCAACAACTAACATTTTTGCAGGCCAAGCGATTTGCCAAGGCGATGAAGGCTAGTCTGATATTTAGCAGCACCAGCCACAGCATTAATGTGCAAAAGGTACGTTGCAATCGTTCATACACTATTGCTCGGTATATTTCAAAGTTTGATGAGACACGTGCTGACCCACTGCAGATCTTCAAGATCGTTCTAGCCAAGGCATTCGATCTAAAGTGTACCATTCCGGAGATTGAGAATGTTGGCGAGCCCCTGCTTCTCTACAAGAATGTCTAAGAATTGCCCGTTTTCCCTGACGATGATGTACATTGGGACGAAGTGACGCTGCTGATGATCGACGCTGGCCCTCTACCCTCACTGCTTTACCACTTTGTGAATTTCCCATTTCTTTTCTCCAACGATGTACTTGACCTATCTTATGTCTGTATCACAGCCTCGGGCTCTTCTGGACAGGTTGCATGCATGCTGTCAGTCGGAGATCTCGAGGTTTGTTACTTTTTAACTGCTACCCTTCTCCTTGTCATTTTCTTTGCTTCATCTTGTTCCTTCATTCATCTTTGAATGTACCTAGTGTTCCTTTTTTTTTGTTCCAGATGAGGGCTTCACCGGCTTTTAAGGCGTTTGGGAGTCCCGAACCGTGATATTCTGGAAATACATTCAAACCTCTTCTGTTTACAATGCTTCGAGAGCTTTAGTATGTATGTTTGTGGGTATATGTTGTGTTGTACGGAGTACTCCCTTCGAAGTTCCAAATATAGATCTGGACCCATGGGTACTCCGTACATGGCCCAGGGCTGACCCCTCTTTAATTGAGCCTCCTATTGTTGTTTTTGTTTATTTATTTCTTCTATACTAATCTTTCCCTGTATTTCTCGATATCCAAGTAGCTGAAATCAATTATCAGTAATAATCACCTTTGCGATAATTATCCTGAGGGTTTCAAAGTGCCCAACAAGGCTACTTTCGCCCCCGCCAAGCCAAGGACGAGATACCTAAACTCGAGCTGTCTAATTCTTCTAGACACCTCGCGACTTTCCCCTCAATATAGGCTCAGGCATCATGGCCGAAGATCCTCAGTTGAATTCTATCCAGCAACGGATCGCCGCCCTCAACCAGTCGCAACTGGCCCGCCCACCGGGAGGCCCTGGACCATCTTTCCGCCCAACCCCCGAACGGAGCGCGTCAGCCAACAACCCTCCCTCATACGATGCAGTCGGCTCTGTGGTGGATCGAGCATCTGTCGGAAATGAACCCGCAGCTGAGAGAACCCAGAGGCCGGTTCTGCGGCCGCCTCCAATGGAAACTCTCCGGCCCGAAGTGAAACCGAAGCCAAAAGCCCCTCCGCCATTGCCTACGCGAAGATCAGATCGCCTGCCTCCCCCCACACCAGCTCGTCCTGCGCTACCACCGCGCCGACCGACGGACCAAAAGCGCCGGCCCTCCCTTGATTCGGTCACTTCTGATGCGTCATACTCGACAACGTCAACAGCTACAACAGCGGGACGAGGTGCATCGACAACCTCGTTGAATTCCACTGGGAACAATCGCATCAAGGCCCCCGCATGGGGCGAGGTAGAACTGCCTAAGCTGCCTCCCCGCCGACCGAAGGAGCAAGCTAGTTTGGAACCGCTCCCGCGGCCTACGATTAGTAGTAAGAGGAGCTTTGGAAGCCTGTCTGCCCGATTGACCGCCAAACTACCGGGGTCCAAGCCGCCCGTTCCCTCTCCTCCAAGTCGGTCTGAACGGCCGACTCAACATTCTCGTCCTACGCAGCCTCCACGGCCTACCTCGTCTCCAAATCCTAGCCAGCCACCCCCACGCTATGAAGCCGAAGAGGAACCCCCGGTACCTCGACTGCCGCCACGCCGCCCATCCGGGGTACATGCAGACACAAATGAGACTGGTGATGACTTGAGCATCAACCTGCCGATTCGCAAGACATTACCTCCTCCACCGACGGCTACGCAAATCAAGGATGCTAGGCAGCTCGGGTTTGGCAATACAAGTCCAACATCTCCACCCAAACCCAGCAGAACTGCCCCAAATGGGACACCACCGCCTATTCCACATGGCTCTCGTCCGGACCTATCCAAAATTCTGGCTACAAAGCCACGTCTCAATGGGTCAGCTGTGTCTTCAACTCCTCCGCCCCCCACATCAGACACGGAATGCTTGGTATGTCGGGACTTCTCCGGGCCTGATAACCATGCAGCCCGGTATCCTCGTGAATCGCTTCCCACACAGGATATGAAGTGGCTGGCCAATGAGTTGACAGCACCGTTCCCATCCATGACAGACAAGGCACGCGCGATATTCACCTGGTTGCATCATAATATCTTCTACGATACCTATGCCTTCTTTAACAACTGCGTGAAGCCATCCACACCAGCCAGTACTTTGGCATCTGGAATGGCAGTCTGTGAAGGTTATGCAGGACTATTTGCAGCATTATCCACCCACGCCGGTCTAGAGGCAATAGTAGTTGGTGGTCACGGCAAAGGCTTCGGACATGAAGCTCTTGCTCCAGGGACCCCGGTACCACCATACGCAGGCAACCACGCCTGGAATGCCGTCAAGATCGACGGCGGCCGATGGAAACTAATCGACTCCTGCTGGGGCGCAGGAGCAATAGAAGGCGCCGGACAGCCATACAAGCAGCGATTCGAACCAGCGATGTTCTCCATCCCGAACGAAGAGTTTGGCCTAAAGCACTTCCCTGAAAACAAACGCCACTTCTTCCGCGAGGACGGCCGTCCCGATCTAACCTGGGAAGAGTATATCCTCACGGACCCAGAACGACCAAACGGAGTCGAGGGCTTAAAGGTCTACAGCGATGCCGACAAGCGCACCATCGGCCGCAAGACCTTCCACCCACAGGGCCTGCACATCTCTATCAGCACGCCGGGCGCAATGCGCTTCCAATTCGGTCTCCTCTGTCCACACTGGACACTGGCTCGCCACAGCCACATCCAGCATGCAGGCTTGTTCCTGCTTATGATCCATGGCGTGGATGGACGCGAGGACGACAGACTACCTTTCACCCACGTATCAGGCTCCGACCCCGCAGGCGGTGGCGAGTTCTGGTATGTTGATGTCCCCAGTGCGCGTATGCTCGGTGCGCCGGGTCAGAAGCTGCAGTTGGCTGTGTTGACTAGCTTTGGGGATCGGAAGGATGCTAGTGGTGTTACGGCGCAGGAGTTCCAGGAGAAGGTTGGCCGGGTTGGTATGGCATGGGCTTATGTTGCTGAGTGGGAGCTGGTTCGATAGGTTGCTTGTCCATGGTGGGTGCTCTAATATTAACATAATATTTGTCTTTTGATGGGTTCATCCTTGTTCGCAGGGAATGCATATACTCAAGTATATCTTGTTAATCAGATATATCATTTGTCATTTTCTATGGCTAACAAACACCAAATATATCATGTGGGCTATTGCTTTGTGAGCCGAGGACGTCACCATTATATAGAGGAAGAGTAGTTTGAAAATACTGAAAGCTTCCGCAAGGGAAAGGTAATTCAACAAAGTATGAAAGGAAATACATGTGCAAGTGATGGTGAAACATGTCTAAGGTTCCAAGGTTGACTGACATAAACATCACCCCCGAACAACTCAGCTATTCACTCAGCTATCAGAGATACCAGTACATGGATACCCACTTCTTCAATGTCGCTCTCATCAACAATTATGCCTTCCTTGATGGATCTCCCCCTGGAGGTCTGTACCATGATTTTCAAAGAGGTAATCAATGGCCATCGCACCCCACCCAGCTGGCTGGGACACATTGGAAACACCCGGTATGACGATCAACAGGCGGACCAGGCTCTGAAGTACAAAACACGCCCAAAGTGGCCATTGTGCTTATTGAAAACCTGGTTGAAATCTACGTTCAGTATGGGCTACGCAACTGAGGAATATGGGGGAATCATTTATGAGAGGACCGGCACTATCTTTATGATGGTAAATGGAAGGCTGGAGACTAGCCTTGATCTTGCGGATGGATTGGCCAAGCTGCTGGTTCAGAGTCCCCCCGAAACAATGGACCAGGTATATTGGGGTGTTGACGTGGGTGAGTTTCAGATGTGGAAAGAAACGACAATCCTAGAAAGGCAAGCTCCTTGATTCCCTGTTGTGTGGCCACAGAACCTAGAGAGTGACTGATTGGTTCTGAGTCAGGTAGATGAAGGGCACCTGGTGTCTACGACGTCGATGGGGGATACTTGAGTGATGATGGAGATATGATATCCTTTCAACCTGCCGTGATATAAATGAAAGCATGCTATGCAGTCTCCCAAGGTCATCAAAATTAACACCACAAGTTGATTGATAAAGGGAGGAAGGGGCGACCTGGCTTGTACCAAAGAGCTCATTAACACTTCGATGTTCCTTGGCGTACTATTTAAGCAATTCAACCTGTGACTTTCATCTGAAGAGTCATCTACTCACATCCCTTCCCTCCCATCGAAGTTCTTCTCATACAAGTCCCGCCTACCTACGATAACCAACGGGCACAATATGCAAACGCCCTCCAACTATCATTCGACAACCCATTAGCCATGTGCGCGAAAAAGAAGACATAATCGACCATCTATGGACTATATCGGGAAGTACTACATGCACCTATCTGCTCAGACAGACGATGGCCTTCCCCAATCTGATGGCTGACTTCTCTTGCTCGCTGTTATGATAGAGATGGTGCACTTCTGTGTAAAATAGCAACCGAAAAGAAGTCTGTACAAATCAGTCGGGTTGTGGTTTGGTTAAGATTGGCGATCGTCAATCGAATTGCCGTCGGTTCTGAACCTATCCCATGATGTGCCTTGCGGGGAGGCTTTCTCCCGCTGGGCGCAAGATCGCTTGGTCAGAATGATCGTGCAATTTTACTCCTATTGGGAGATCTGCCGTTTAGTAGGTATGGGCCACTGGAGCTGTCTTCAATGGTCTCTCAGGCTTCCTTGTTCAAGCTGGAGGACTTAATCTGGCCCGTTTTCGGATTTTATGGCAGTCTCATGATCTAAGGCAATTCACGTTGTACGGGCGAGTACGCCCTCATCCGTGACATTCAGCTCAGCACGAGGTCTAAACCCTGATTCCGTCTGGCGAAAGTTCTGCATATACGACAACGAGTCCAATATGAGGTATCCCAGTGAAAGATATATTGCAGCTGTTACTGTCCGTGGCAGACATAGGAATACATCATCTTTCCTCCCCGTTAGCGTTCCGCGCTCACACTATCGGTGTTTTTTTTTTATCTAGAGCTGAAATAGGAGGTACCCCGGATTTATGTATGCCAAGCACAGTCCGATGTGGATAAACTGTGTTTGCAACTGGGCAACAGGGCTGAAAGAGGGGAATGGCAGTTAGCTCGCCTCATTTTGAAAATACATAACTCGTTTTGAAACATCCCTGGATGCTTACCTTGTAGAGGTTCTGAAAAGTGACTGTTATCTAGCCCTTGGAAGTCAACCTTGGGAGGAGACCCTTATATTACAATCGAAGAGAGAAGTTGCTCTTATGTGAGATAGAACAGAAATTCCTCAGCATGTATACGGGGCATATCTCGGCTTTCCCCTTCCGTTCTAGTGCTCACTGGTAATCTCCACCAAATAATAATTATACTTTAAGTCAGCGATATTTCTTGCTGACTTAGGTGCTTGCCCAACTTGTTTTCCGAAAAAGAAAAGAAGTAAAAAAACTGTGCCATTTCAGAAAAGGTCGAGAATACTACATTATGTATGTAAATTCAAAGTGGTGGTGTCATTGATAGATATAGATGATTTTATGATAGATGTTTGCTTACTTTGTTTTATTTGCTTTGTTTGTCCAATGTCCAGTGCGTTGCTGATTGGCTCGGATCGCGGGGTCACCACTTCAAGGTTACCACTTCTGGGTAATCCCGCACGTGGACACTTGCCTTGAAGAGCGAGTCCATGAACCCGTAAGATTGCCTACGGGTGTCTGCCCCGCCCTATGGACCCCTGATTTTTTTTTTTAATTTCCTGAAGTTATAATCTTCCTCTCCCTTATCAGCTTCTGTCTTCAATTTCCCCCTTCCCGTCAGAGGGTGTTGTTGGCACCATGAAATCTTCATTGCATCGCCCGGGAGATCTCTCCCTCCGTGGGCAGCTTGAAGATTCAGCCCTCTTCGCCCTCAAAGTTGCCAGATCCCCTCAGCTCTACCTGGACGCTTCTCGCACATATTTCTTCTCCGTCACTTTCATTTCTCTCATACTATCTAAATGCTTCCATCTCTGTGTCCATCTTACGTCGCTAGCAGTCCCATCCCTCCTCCCGTGGGGCCCTACCTTCTTCCTGGTGGATATACTGCTTATTCTGGTCGCGTGTTACCTGACGCGTTCCTTTGAATCACGGATCGGTCGGAATGTAGCTGCCGTTGTAACTCTTTTATTCAGGTGAGCGGTCGTTTCGATTTATTGAGAAATAGTAAATCGCTAACCGTACCCTAGCCTGTACATTTCATCGATGACGTCCGCCAATATCTCCTTCTACGTACATACAGGTGTGGAGATCCCCTGGCGGGAACCGGAAAGTTCTCATGAGGACAATCGCACTACCGCTACCCAGACTGTTCTGTCCATGTTGACTGTCGCTTTCTTCGTCGACATATTGATTATGGTCGGCGCGTATTTCGCTACGCCTTGTCTGTTCCGAGCCACCGAAACTTTCCTGGAGATTTGGGGATCGCTTTTGCTCTCCCCTTTCCGCCGATGCCTTCGACGGAAAGCCTCGGCAGATCCAGAGACTTATCAGCAGATTGAAATCGATGACTATGACGAGGGTCAGAATGACAGCGACTCCGTGTCGCAATTGGATGTACCTCAAAAGCAACCAGTGCAAAAGCAGAGCCAGTCATTGCTGAAACGCATTATCGCCATATCGTGCGGTTTGATCATAGTACTCCTTAGTTGCATTCGTCCACGCGGTGCAGATTACAGTTATCTCTCAAAGTCTTTATCTCTCGCGCCGTTCGGTAGCCACGAGTATTCGCCCGCTCATGAACGTCCCACGTCGGCGAAGGGAACTGCCGCCCCATCAAGTACACCAGAAAGTGCACCATCAAGTACTCCAGCAAGTGCTCCAGCAAGCGCTCCATCAATTGTACCAGCAAGCGCTCCATCGAGTGCTCCTCCATCAAATGTTCCATCAAGTGCTCCATCAAGTGCCACTAATGGAAATTCCACCTCGTTACCTGCCGATTTCAGCTGGCTGGAAGGCCACACCGCCCTGGACTCCTTTCCCACATTTGACTGGTTACCTTCGTACAATTCGTCAGATGGCTTCCCGGATTGGTCTCCCTTCCGTATCAATAAGCACGACAAATCTGACTATGTATATGAACACTACAACCCGCTGAAAGATCCTCTGCACACGCCCAACCTCCAGAACGATATTTTGGAGCCTATACGTGAACTTCTCCACGACGGAAGTGTGAAGATTAAGCATATCATTCTCATCAAGCTTGAAAGCACTCGACAGGACGTGTGGCCTTTCCGCTCAAACTCTTACATCATGAAGCACATCAATGACTCTTACCCGGACGGCATCCCCGATGAGGTTCAGGATAGGCTCACTAAGCTCACCCCTACTGCCGAGCGTTTAACCGGATTTGAGACCGGGTTCCATAAGGACGGGGATGATTCTCCCAAGCCCTACGGTGGTATCAGTGCGAGGAACGCTTACACGTCCGGGACGTACACGCTGAAGAGTATTACTGGCACTGTGTGTGGAGTGAATCCTATGGCTGTGGAGGCCAACCTCGAATACCTGCATGATATTTACCAGCCTTGCTTGCCGCACATACTCGAGGCATTGAATCAGCAGCCAAACATCAGCAGTGAGGCAGATGACTGGACTTCCTGGCCGTGGCACAGTATGTGGATGCAGTCACACCCCGACGACTGGGATAAGCATTACATGCTTCATCCTGCTCTGGGTTACAAAGATATCATGGCAAAGAGAACAATCGATGCAGATGGTAAAAAATATATTCCAGAAGAGACAGAAGAGGAAGAGGAACATGGCCATGAGGATAAGTTACTGAAAAAGTATCTCCGGGATGTCATTGACGATGCTAAGAAGAACAACACTCGCCTCTTCCTTAGCCATCTAACACATAATACACACACTCCGTATTATAAACCCGGTGATTATGAGGAGATGATGGGGGATTTGTCGAATGAACGGAACGAGAAGTTGAATCGATACCTAAACACTATGGCGTACCAGGATGAGTGGATAGCCGATATCCTGGAGCTTCTTGATGATGCCGGTATTGCCGATGAGACCCTTCTTGTGATGGCTGGTGACCAGTAAGTTACGCCCATATCTCGCAGCCTCTCCAGCCTCTAACTTTGTCTAGCGGTCTATCACTTCCAAATGACGGCGGTATAACCGCCTGGCATTCCCCTCATGTCGGCAATTTCCATGTGCCGCTATTCTTCTCGCATCCTAAGCTGCCCCAGCTCGAAGTTAATAATGCTGTCCTCTCCACCCAAATTCTCCCCACGATCCTCGATCTTCTCGTCGAAACATCCTCAACTGACGAGGAGTCGACTAAGATCATCAAAGATCTGCTCCCAATGTACGAGGGCCAATCGATGATCCGCACACTTATCCCCGAACACGACGGCAAGCAAGAATGGCATTTCTCCACGATGAACCCTGGCGGAACGTGGTTCACTATGCGAGCGGCCGCACAGCCCTACCGCTTGGTCGTGCCTCTTAAGCCCGACGCTAAGTGGCGATTCACCGATGTCGTGGCCGATCCCTTCGAGCTCAATCCTCAAGAAGATCTCCAACTTTTGTTCCTGATCGACGTTGTGCGGAAGGAGCATGGTCCTGAGGCCGTGAAATGGCTCAGCGAGGCGGCCCATGTCGCTAAGTGGTGGGTTGGGGAGAACCACCGCCGCTGGAAATATGATCCCGAGAACCCGGAGAACAATTGAAGTCCTATCGGGCGGAAGTGACACTGCGCTCTCTGGTAGCGACGTCCATTGAGATTGAAAGCCGTGTGCTTCACTGGTATAGGAGCTGGTGATGTTGATCAATTCATATTCGTGTATATAATGAGTTCCGCAGGGGTGTTTTGTATATTAATTGTCGGGGTGTTAATAGTGCCCGAAGTAGAATTATCTGTATTTTCCAGAAATGACTTTCGATCTTGCCAAATGATCTTCCACAAGCAATCATCTCCATGTCCTTTTAACATACTTTCGTGGCTCTCCAATGCCATGATGCTGAAACACCTGAACCTCAATCCGCGGACGGGATCTCGGTTTCACAGGTGTATTAGCATGCGATATCACCAACTCATCTGGTGGTAGAAGTCATTCTACGCAGGGTCAAGAGTTGTGATGGGAGTGAATAGCTAGGTCTGAAAGCAAACATCTCGAGTTGCGATAAGTGAATATGTGATCGAGAAGCAGAAAAGAAGGTTCACGTAGGGGAGTGGGAATGGAAGTAACGAAAGAGCTTGGGGGTACTAGCACAGATCCCTAACACACCCCGAACACAAACTAATGAGGTTCCACCAAGGAATTGAGTCTATCCAATACCGGTGCTTTTTGTAAAAGGAAGGATGAGGATTTTGTGGAATTCGCTCGGCACACCAATGGGATAGATGTAAGGCCGCATGCGTAATATAAAATCCACGGGGGGCCGGTTTTTAGTAGAATCGATGTTTTCCCGCGTTATCTTATCCACCGAGCGAAACCCTCGACTGTTGTCTCGCTCTAGGTTGGGCCTATTTATTGTACACGTGCTACATCAAAGACTTAGATCTCGGAGTTCGAATCCATATCTCTTCAGGACGAACCTCTGATCACTGAGTCTGTGCTTGTGATGACGTCTATTTAGTGATTCTGCCTTGGCCAGGTGAGCCTGAACGGTCTTATAAAGCGCCAGCATCCCAGATAGGAACGGCCCCCACTACCCTGTCTGTATGGGGAGTACGGTGGACGGGGGACGGAGTTAAGTAAGAACCTATATACATTGCCATTCTTTGAATGGACCCAAACTAGATTACTATGGTCCGTGCAATGCCAGGGGGAGTGGGAACGGGCCTTCACCATCGATGTAAGTGGCTTAAGGATGAAAGCAAAAGCCATGTACATAACACATGTGAGATATCATCCGCGCTAAGTCGTCAGGTTCCAGAGAACGAAAACTACGGGGGAATGTTGGGGGAATGCTGGGGGGATGTCTCGGTGAGCGCAATTGGAATTTCCCCAGTCCTCCGCATCTTTCCCACGCGGGGAATGTCACCTCAGGCGATGAGAACAGACTTGAGACTTGAACTTCTAGATGATTATGAATGTAACAACGTGGAGAATTTATTGAATCCACCCTTAATCTAGGTAGCCAGTGACAAGGACTGAATGCCTGAAACACAATTTACTTTGCAGCACGCGAACTACAACCCCGCCCCCCCAAAAAAAACAGCCACAATAATTGCCAACACTGGTCCATAAAAGGAAAAAAACCACCGCAGCCCGAGTTCAAGCCGAGTCCACTTCGGCGAACGGCAGCCACTGAAGTTGACGAGATGCCGTGTACCGTCCCGTTCTGGGAAATAGCCGTAGACGGGGCCCCGGACTATTATGTGCTTGGGTCACCAGTTGAAGGGATATTCTTTTCATTCGTTGTCGTCTGGGATGTGGACACTTCCGGCTAATTCGATAGAACATGCAATACCCTCCGTACCCCGTAAGATACCAAGGGCTGTTTCTTGACAGGGAAATGATTAGTGCCCACGAAACCTTTTTGTGGGTTGGTCTGGGGATGCCCGGACTGTACAAAGTATGGAGTACATCTCATGCACGTTGACCCTTTTATTTACTCACCACATTCTTATTCCCCCAACGCGTGTCTTTACATCTTTATTTTCAATGCCCAGAAACGCCACTGCCGTGCCGATTAAAGAGGTCCGACTCTCTCTCACACCCGAACACGGGTTCCGTGTTCGGCGGATGCTCAATTACCGCTTGGCCTTGTTCGGCGTCGAATTTGTGGGCCGAGTCATTCCCCAGATCCCAGTCTTTGCCGGGGGTCCACCAATCACCACCCAGTGGGTGGGTAAGCATAATCCAATTTCCACCAATCAGAGTCTATGGTGGTACCTGGGGTTGCAAGCGGAGTCTTGGCATAAGTCCTGTACCTCTAGAATATTAATCTCTCTTTATTATTGTACAAAAACGGTCACATATTTTACACTAATTTCTCTCCCCGGACATCCCAAACAATCCCAAACACGGGACAGGAAGTGGGGATGCAGGAAACCAGAACAGAACAACACTAGTACCCATATGCGGGTGGTTTTTATTAGTTGTGCATTTCTTACTGTAGAGAAGAGTTTTCTCGGCATGCGATCTATTTAAGCACAAGGTTTTCCCTCTTCCCATTTTCGGTTTTGGCTATAGTTCTATCTTCCTTTACCCCCTCATTTTCCCTCGGCTTGGGTTTTAACAGTCACCATGTTTGTCGTGGGGAATCTCTACGTTATCACGGCGGTGTCCGTCATTGGCGGTGCACTGTTCGGTTTCGATATCTCGTCGATGTCGGCCATTATCGGCACGCCAGCTTATAAGTGTTATTTCAATCATGGGCCCCTAGGCCCTCCATTCAACGACGACGACAAATGTAGTGGTCTCAGCTCCCTGGCTCAGGGTGGTGTTACCGCTGCCATGCCCGGTGGTTCTTGGCTCGGTGCTCTTATCTCTGGTTTCATTTCGGATCGTCTTGGTCGCAAGTACGCTATTATGATTGGTTGTGTTATTTGGTAAGTCGTTGCATGGTTGGGGTGGAGTCGATGTTGGACCGTTGTGGCTAACATTCTGTTAGGGTTATCGGCTCCGTTATTGTCTGCGCTTCCCAGAACATGGGCATGCTCATTGCCGGACGTGTCATCAACGGTCTCAGTGTCGGAATTGAATCTGCTCAGGTCCCTGTCTATATCTCGGAGCTTTCTCCTCCCTCCAAGCGTGGTCGTCTCGTCGGCTCCCAGCAGTGGGCCATCACCTGGGGTATTCTGATCATGTACTAGTATGTGGCACACACCTGGCTTGACATTCGAAAGGTGAATTAGTAGCTGACTGTTTTTTTTTTTTTTTTTGTTTCACAGTATCTCCTTCGGCTGTTCCTACATCGGACATGGCAACCAGTCCACCTCCCACAACTACAGCGAGGCTGTCTTCCGTATCCCCTGGGGCGTGCAGGCAGTTCCCGCCGTTCTCCTCTTTTTCGGAATGATGATCCTCCCCGAGTCCCCCCGTTGGTTGGCCCGCAAGGACCGCTGGGAAGAGTGCCAGTCGGTGCTTGGCCTAGTCCACGGTAAGGGCGACATTAACAGCCCCTTCGTGATCGCCGAGATGCAAGAGATCCGTGACATTTGCGAGTTCGAGCGCGAGAACAAGGACGTCAGCTACCTCGAGCTGTTCCAGCCCAAGATGATCCACCGCACCATGACCGGAGTCTGGACGCAAATCTGGTCCCAACTGACCGGTATGAACGTTATGATGTACTACATCACCTACGTCTTCACGATGGCCGGATACAAGGGCGATGCCACCCTCCTCGCTTCCTCCATCCAGTACATCATCAACGTGGTCATGACCGTTCCCGCCCTGATCTGGGTTGACCGCTGGGGCCGTCGTCCTACCCTTCTGATCGGCGCTACCTTCATGATGATCTGGATGTTCGCCAACGCCGGTATCATGGCCAAGTACGGCGTGGTTGTGCCCGGCGGTATCGACGGTGTGGCCGAGGCATCAATGCTTCTCGGTGGCGCCCCTGCCAAGGGACTGATTGCATGCACATACCTGTTTGTGGCATCGTACGCCCCGACCTGGGGACCCGTGTCGTGGGTGTACCCTCCTGAGCTGTACCCTCTGCGCGTGCGTGGTAAGGCCGTTGCTTTGGCAACCTCGTTCAACTGGGCGTTCAACACGGCGCTTGGTCTGTTTGTGCCCACTGCTTTTGCCACGATCCGCTGGCAGACGTACATCATCTTCGGTGTTTTCTTGTGCGCCATGATCATTCACGTCTTCTTCTTGTTCCCCGAGACTTCCGGTAAGTCTCTGGAGGAAATTGAGCAGATCTTCGAGGATCCCAACGGTATCCCTTACATCGGTACCCCGGCCTGGAAGACTACTCATGATACCAAGCGCACTATCGCTGCCGAGTCGGGTGATGTCGAGGTCCTCGGTGAGAAGCTGGCGGGTGCTGAGAAGCGTTCTGCTGCCCACGCTGAGGTTGTCGACGCATAGGCATAGTTGATTGTGTATAGAATGCGTGGTTAAATGGCTCCGTTATAATTTTTTTTGTTCTTTTTCTTTTTCTCTCTTGGGTTGGACATGGCTAATGTCGATATGATACCATGTAATACGATTCAACAAATTGCGTATATCCACGAATTCAACCTGATCGACTTTTTTTATCCACTTCAATTCGCTCGTATTCGGAACTATAGGATCTTAAACATGTCTCAATTGTAAAATGGGCATCTCGTCCACGGGAGTCTCGCAAGTGTTGGCCTCTTGATTGGTAGTCGGAAACAAATTCAAAATCAGCCCAGGATGTATATAGGCTTGCGAAGAGTGACTTGTTCAATCCGAAAGGCGCCTTAGACAAAGAAATTGCCAAGACTTTCCGATCGGAGCTGTGAAGCTGTCTGGTCAACGGGGGTGGAGTTCACCCCTGGAAAAGAAAAAAATGGATGATCGCCTTTCACGATCCTCTCTCTATCCGATCGTTCCGGTTACGAAAATCGATTTCCCCTTCTCATTCCTTCTATCCATCTATTTCCATTGGAGCACGTGAACTCGAACCCCCCCAAATCCGAAAAGCTACGAAGCTCGAGTTTCCTACAATCGTCATGGTTCGCCCGCGGCGAAGCTCAGCCTTGGGCGTGGACATTCGAGGTGATACCAGCGCACCAGCCATGTCCACAATGAACGAAGTGAGCCCGATCGAGTCAACATCACCAGGTCTGAAGGTACGCGTTGGAAATTGTCGCCCGCGCATTCCAATCTCCATACTAACCCACGATCTCGCTAGCAATTCGATGGCGCACAAAAACCGGCCGGCAAGGCCCATACCAAACGACGTCGCGCCCGCTCCCTCCTCCACCGGTTCGCCGATACTTGTCTGCGATACACATGGCTCCTGCCACTTCTCGTAATGCTCTTGTTGATCGCGCTGTACGCCATTAACCCCACAACCTCGAACCCAATGCACAGCGCCATCTTCCTATCCTACCCGCTACCCCCGAAGACTCCCGGCGGACCCATCATGTACGGCAAAGGCAAGAAGGATATTGCGTTTGTGGCGTTCTACACCATCGTTTTATCGTTCACGCGCGAATTTATCATGCAGCAGATGATTCGGCCATTTGCTGTGTGGTGCGGTATCCGTGGGAAGGGAAAAACGGCGCGGTTCATGGAGCAGGCATATACGGCAGTCTACTTCGGTGTGTTCGGACCGTTTGGTCTGTACGTGATGAAGCGATCGCCTATCTGGTACTTTAACACGACGGCGATGTTTGAGGGTTTCCCACACCGCGAGCACGAGGGTCTGTTCAAGGCGTACTACCTGCTCGAGGCGAGTTATTGGGCTCAGCAGGCGATTGTCTTGATGCTGCAGTTGGAGAAACCTCGTAAGGACTTCAAGGAGCTTGTTGGTCATCATATTATCACACTTGCTCTTATCGCTCTGAGCTACCGCTTCCACTTCACGTACATGGGCTTGGCGGTGTATATCACGCATGATATCTCCGACTTCTTTTTGGCCACCTCCAAGACGCTCAACTACCTGGATGCGTATATCACTGCGCCATACTTCGCCATGTTCATTGGATGGTGGATTTACCTGCGTCACGTGCTGAACCTGAAGATCCTCTGGGCTGTTCTGACCGAGTTCCGCACTGTTGGACCATTCGAGCTGAACTGGGAGACACAGCAGTACAAGTGCTGGATCAGTCAATATATCACCTTTTCGCTACTCGCCTGTTTGCAGGCTGTCAACCTGTTCTGGCTGTTCCTGATCCTGCGCATCTTGGCGAACTACATCTTCACCAATGTCACAAAAGACGAGCGCAGTGAGGACGAAGAGGAAGAGGAAGAGGTAAAGCCTGTCAATGCGACCAAGGCAATTGCCACTGGCGCAGACCAAGCCGACAAGGAGAACCACGCGCCCCAGGTTCTGATCAACGGCGAGCCTGTCGCTGAACAGCGTGGTCCTCGGACTCGCAGCAGAAAGGCGTAAGCCGAGCGCCTTCTGTTGGAGTTCGATCGATTGCCATTTAATCGATTATCATTCAATCGATGACCCAGGCATCCAAGCCAGGGATTTTCACCGTGTTATAGTTTATACTTTTTGGATCGGGTGGGTTACCAGATGGTCCTCTGGATGTGTTGATATGCCGTTAATGTATTCGTTGAAGCTGGGTCTGAGTTTGGTGCATTGGCTGTGCCTGTTAGATAGCCCTTTAAAAGAGCGGGCGCCGGCGCTTGTTTTTGACGAGCATATGAATTAAGTAATTTTTACTGGATTGCCAGTCCCCTAATGTTTTATTGTTCATGTGCTTCATCTGTGTTTTATAACATATTGTCGCTTTCAATGTCAACAGTCTTTGAATCCATGTATGTTATTTAATAAGCAAATATATTTGAATGAACTTAAAGAAACATCTCAAATATATATATCAACGTAGTGTAAGAAATTAATCTTAGTTTCGTTTGAAAAAATCTCTCCCAGCAACATGATATCTAAATGGTGGATGATTCCCGTAAAACGCAGATGCTTTATATCGGCTTCCCACCCTCAAGCCAAAAAGCCATATCTACACTACTTCTACCAATCTTCATTATCCATCATTTAGACATACATTCAGAGAGTTGAAATAGATCTACTGGAATTACTTTTCAGATCACTTTGAATACGATCAAATGAAATATATATGTCGGTGTCAAATTGATCGAACTAACTAAAATGCAAGGACGTAACAACAGTCTTATTTGCAACAGGAAGTGAAAATGTTGTGACAATGTTTGAGATGGCCCAAGGCCCAGAAAACCCCTTTTGGGATAAAGAAAGAAAGCAACAGCTCAAATGATAGTCATCTGCAAATGTCCACACATGGATAGAAGCTCCACGGTTGTGAAGCTTCTCTTGCATCGATCATGAACTTGACAATTCTGTTCCTCTTTTGTCGGTAAGAAGGTTAAAGTCGAAGCGAAACACAAATATCGTCCACCGACACTTGACTCCAGATCTGTTTATTCAGACACAGTCATATGGTTAGCCGGAGCGGCAGGTGGATTTCGTTGGACAAGTCACCTAGTTTGGGTTTATTTTGTGGTTCTTTCTCCGCATGTCTGTAGAAGAGACAGGGAACTTCGAAGTTTTCCCTTAAGGCCTCAAAGCACCCAAATGATCTAGACAGGCCACTGTCGGTATGTATTCGCCAAGCCTAGAACGCGCGGAGGATGCCGAGACCAAATGAGGCCAAGGGTATAGGTGAGGCCAGTGCAAAAAGTGATCAGTATCGAAAATGCTTCATTGGGCCACCGGACCGAATGGCCTAACGGTAATTGGGACCGAGGCTGAGGGGCATAGGCGAGGCCAGTGTAAGAAGTGAGCAGTATCGAAAATGCTTCATTGGGCCACCGGAACCAGTGGTCTAACAGTAATTGGGACCGAGGCCAAGCTATGCTTGTAATGTTAGAAGTAATCATGCTCCATTTTCTGGTTCCTGAGGAGTTCCACCGGAACGAGTGGTCTTGCACTGCTTGGAACCGAGGCCAAGCTATGCTTGTAATGTTGGAAGTAGTCGAGCTCCATTTTCTGATTCCTGAGGAGTGCCACAGGAACCAGTGGTCTAACAGTAATTAGAACTGAGACCAAGCTATGCTTGTAATGTTGGAAGTAGTCGAGCTCCATTTCCTGGTCCCTAAGTAGTTCCAACGGAACGAGCGGTCTTGCACTGCTTGGAACCGAGGCCAAGCTATGCTCGTAATGTAGGAATTAGTCGAACTCCATTTTCTGAGGATTTCCGCAGGAGCTAGTGGTCTAACGGTAATTAGGTGTGAGACCAAGCTATGCTTGTAATGTTGGAAGTAGTCGAGCCCCATTTTCCTGATTCCTACGGATTGCCACTCGTGTAGGATGCTCGGGGAATTCAACGTAGCTTGGGGTAGCTCTCTTTCTCACTGATAGTATCTAGAGACAGCACTAGTGCGTTAATCATGGCGAGGTACGGAATCCAGGCATTTTAGGAGAGACTTGAGTCTTCCCATCACCATGACCGGCATCCGTAAGCCAGTGGGGTATTTGAGGTCGCCGCTCCCTAAAATTCGAGTATTATTAGTATTGAACTTCACCCAAGATAAAGAGTGGACTCTTACAGCTTGTTCCCTATTTTGGGATGAATCAGACGGGAAACAATATCAAGGTCAGCGATGATCCCAAGAAGGGAATGACCAGAGCGATGAAGAAAAAACCGGCACCGGCACCGTTACCCTCTCCCTTTGGATGGGGTCGGACTCAATGGTGAAGGCTTGAGGTGGTAAAAGAGAAAGAAAAACGTTGGGGTCGTGTGTCGCATTTATAATGTGGTGGTTCCCTGGATCTCGTATAGTTCGTGACATTACGACGTACACTGGTCTAAACATGAAACTTAGACCATAAAGATCACCGGTCAGTTGGCGACATACATACAAATGCACATATGTTTTACTTAGGTGCATATTCACTACCGTTCATAGCCTCGCCAACAAAGATTCCTTTGGATAACCTTGGATCCGTGAATAAATAATGGGGCTGATTCACAAAGTGTTTCTTCCCTTGGAGTATATTCTTCCCACATATCTTGAAATTACAGGGTATATTAATGGCCATGCCCATCGATGCCTACCTGAGCCGTAGGTATTGTATACCGCACGGTGTAGGCATCGGCCGTTCTGGCAATGAACGAATGGAGCATTTAATAATGCCCAGGACATCTACGAATACAAATTTACGAGTACGGAATGTATGAATCGGAACGACAACGCGTGTTCTGTATTATATCGCTTTTCGAGAAAGAACTAGCAGTTCTCCCAGTCCATCCTTTTAAATACCACTTCGTCCTTGTCAAACTTGGTCTCCCCTTCTTTTCTTTCTCTACCAATCACCACATCTACTACCAACCGTCCATCGTCATCTTTTTTATTGGTGCGCTGCTCCAAGTGGTCACCATGGCGATTGACAAGCCATTTGGCTCGCTTGAGGGCGCTACACTCCTCACTCAATTCGCCATCACCCAGACCGAGAAGTTGGCAGAAGCAATTGAAAGATATGAACGGGCCGGCCGTCCGGTCCCTGAGTACCTTACTGCAGGCATCGATCAATTGGCATCCCATCTGCAGGAATTTCAGCCCGATGATGACATCCAACTGTTCCTGGGTCCCGGCATGGACCCAGAAGAAATCGTTCACAACAACCTCGAAGTCGCCTGGTATGTCACGGCATGTCTTTATTTCTACAACCGACTTCTCAATATCTTCAACGACGATATTCCCTTCTCTGTCAATACGATCTTGATGTGTCTACTCCGCGCCGAAGAGATCAAGACCATGATTGAACCCGAAGTGTTGCGCCGCCGTGATCCAGTCACCTTCCCAGCTTTTGTGGCAGCCTGCAATGCCTCTCACCGCGAACCGTGGGTTCATTGGTGGCGTTCCATTCAACAATATGACCATTACACTGCTGGCTCTCAGTGGTTGGTTGTCAAGCTCGTGTGGGATGTCTTGGCTGTGCCGGATTTGAACTGGGTGGTAATTCTGCAAGGGCTCAGCACAGTCGAATCACGTTTGTCGACTCAGTATCAATTGCTTGGGTTTTATCTTTGAATATGCCGATACAGTTCGAACTCTGTGAATTTGGCTAGTCTGATTCACATACACGTCCTCGGTCTGTGCTTTTCGTTATTCGTCTCTCGCTCTCTCTGTTATGCGCAACTAGCTTGGCAACAGAAGGAATACTGTACCTAAACCAATGATCCTCAGCCTTTATCAACACATTGAATTCATTTGCTGATTTTCTATACATGGCTTTCTTTGAATAGCCTGTTAATCTTTAAGATACATGACTCCTATAGGTTTTAGGTGAGTATAATTCCTTTAGTAGAGCGGACTGTGAGGCGTAGATGTTATATATAAGATGTTTTGATATATACAAAGGAGGTAAAAGAAATAAACTGTGCACAATACCTTTCTATGTATATCCTTTGACAAAGTCCATGAAGAATGAATTATCTGCTCTCTACTTACTGCGATGTCCAATCTTCCGAGACTTGTAAAATTGCTTACTAGTGACTTGATGTATTACCACCAATGATGTCAGTGGGGAGCTCTTAGTTCTGACCATGTTTAATACTGGAGGAATAGGCAAGGTCCGATGTATGGGGCTCCTCCCCGAGATCAGGGATTTGATGTCACGATCCGTGTCACGTATGGCGACTAAGCGCAGTTAAAGAATTGGATTTCCAGAGAATACCGACTATTACATCGTTTTAGAATGATAATATATCCTTTGTTTACAGCCTATTTTTCTCCCATGAACACTCTGCGCTTCCTGCTTCTCCGGTCCCAAATCCCACCAGTCTCTAACTTGCCACCATACTCCTGCCGAGTCCATCGTGCTGTTCTGATTGACAAGCGGTTTTGCCCCTATCATCTCACGTACGATTCAGGAGATTGAAAACATCGACCGAGAAATCCCAGAGGATCGAGAACAAGAGCCACCATTTCCGATACGCCTGAGAAATGAAGTTGACAACCTCGAACGCCAATTGGTACACAGCCTGCCGAACACAAGTCTTCCTGTCCATCACTTGCATGGCATTGATATAGAAACGGTCGTCGACAACCTCTCGATCGCTCGTCACATCGGCGCTCATATCTTCTACGAGAGAGGCATAAACAAAGAGTGTGATCCTCGCGCCGTTGTGGGGATGGATGAGATATCAGTATGCCTCGACAGGGTTGAAGATATCAAAATCTGAGTTTAACCTGAGATTGAACTGAGAGATGAACTCATCACCTGGCAGGCTTTTGTGGCCTCCTGCAATGCTTCAACCAGCGGCGGTAGTGGGAGCGCGTGAGAATCTACGATTCCGCGAAAACCAACCGCCAGTGGAACTTGACGCAGAGGATCTGGCATCTGATTGATGAGTGTGGAGATGGGTTCAATTGGGTCAGATTCCTCGAGGGGGAGGGGAATGGGCTAGTTCCCCCGGACACTGTGATTGAACCCCTCGGCATGGATGGGATGAGCCCAATTTGTAACTCCCCATCCCCGTCAGCTTTCTGGAGTGTCCACCGAGGTTTTGAGGTGTCTAGATGGGATCATTGCTATTCCTTGCATCGTGTTTCGGCCTCTTACTTTGTTTCCGAGTCTGTCTGGGTCAGCAATGGGGACTCCTCTGTTGCAATGATTTTCATTTCATCAATTAAGCCTCTACATAGGGTGACAAGGTGATGCATATGGCCGACAAGGTTCTCTAATGATACCTCGATTTTAAGTACGCCTAGGGCGATTATCACCCGGACAATGTGCTCCCGAGAGGTTTGCAGGGTTTGCTTACTCTCGGTGCCTGAGGCAGCCACTTGCTAGATGCCTCAGGACACTACTTCTTGGCACTCGGCCAAAGTCATTAGTAGCGAGTGCCTATTACTAAGGGGTTTTCTCTAGGCCAAGCCCTTACTTAGCGCTGATATAATACATTCTATATTTAGCTAGTAATTACTACTACCTAATAAAAACTATACGATCCTAATAGAATCTTATCTAGTAGTATATCTTGCTAAGGCCTTACCTCCTACGGTAAGCTAGGAGGAGGTAGTAGTATCCCTATAGGAAGCTACGCTTCCTCGCCGGTTCCTAGGACTAATAAGTATACCTAGGAAGCTAGGTAGTAAGTAAAGGCTTCGAATAAGCCCCTACTACGAGGAATTTTCGATCTAGGGACTACGAAGTAGAGTACGGTAGACCTCTTACTAAGCCGGTACTAAAGACTTAGTAATAGAGGTATACTAAGAAAACTCTATAAGAGGTTAAGGATCCGTATCTTTAGGGGTAAAGTAGGGGCCCCTAAGAAGTAGAAGTAGTTAGGAAAGGAATAGAGTAAGAAGCTCCTAAGACTAAGTACTAACTTACTAAAACCCTAATTAAAGCTACTTATTATAATAGAGAACTAACCCTTTAAAGAAGAGTAATAGTTCTAGTAAGCGGAGACGACCCCGCCGATAGACTAGGCCGTAACGCCTAGAATCTTTAGGGCTTATCTACTAGCGAATATATAGAGGGCCTTCGACCGCTTACCGGAGCCGCTATAAAGACTAGTAATCTTCTAATAAGTAACTAATAGCCCGGAAATAATAGCCGTATAATATAAGGCTATCGTTACGATATCGATAACGTTCGACCTAAGACTAGCTTAGAACCTAAAGGCTATAGAGTTAAAAGTCGGCCTTTATCTAGCGGAGATCGCGGGCCGCCTAAAAGACTTAGGCTAACCGGCTAAGTACTAAGGTAACTAGAAAGGCAACGCTACTAACTACTAGCTATATAACGTCGATAACTACTTCCTACGCCGCTAAATAGTAAGCGGCCGAAGCGATAATAAAGCGTATAAATTAGCCTTTATCTTAGGCTTACTAACCGGAGATATCTATATAAAATAGAGAACGGCTAATTAGTAAGTAGACGTAGGACTCGGCGAACGGATTACTATATAAGAAGATTTTAAAGCCTAGATTCGGACTAAGTTCGAACTAAGAACGGTAGAGTTAGATCGCTTATACGAGTATACGTATAAGTAATAGGGAAGCGACTCTCTATTTACGTATTACGCCGCCTTACTAGAACTCTCCTATAACTTACTAGAAAGCCTTTTAGAAAGAGGATATATCCTATAACTAGTATCGGGACTAAACCCGATCCTCTATATAGAGTAGTTTAGGTAGTAGGGCCGACCTAAGACTAATATCGAGGAAGCGGTTAACCTCCTACTAGAGCTTAAACGAAGTATATAGGAAGTAACCGCGTATAGCTATCTAGTACGTTATATTAGGAATAGGCGTACTACCCCGCTTCCCGACGCTATAGACCTATCGGCTATATAGGATATAAGGACTTACTATAAATATAGTAAGCTAGGATATATTAAAAGAAACTATAAAGTTAAGGGAAAAGGATAGGGTTAGTAAGCTTAGGCGAGCCTACTAACCCGCTTACTAAGCTATATTGCCCTAATAAGTAAGATAATAGGCTTAGCTAAAGCCGGAAAGTATAGGACCCCTAATAAGCCGTAATAAGACTAAATACTCTTAAGGAAGATCTTAACTTCTTCGATAGCTCGCTCTATCGCCCCGCTATAGCTAGAAAACCTATCGTTTACTATATACTACTAGATTATAGAGTAAGCTATATATTTATATTATTAAAAATCGCTCGCCGCCTAGATAATAAGTAGGATAAGCGTAGATCGTTACTAGTATTATTATCGAACGGCGAGATCTTATATATCTAGGGTACGATAGAACTAGTAATTCGCTTAGGTAAGTAGACCGGTATAAAAGTAGTATAGATAGTTAATATAGAAGGATACGATATAGTACTCGGTAACGACTTCCTATATAAGTACGACCCTTACGTTAGCTTCCCTACGAAAAGGATATAGCTTACCGACTATAATAAAGATTACGAAGTATAGGTAGCGGACGGCCGTATATTTAGTAGGGAGGAGAAAGGGACGTTAAACTTACTATTAAAGAGGGAGGTCTACCGGTCCTTAAAAGATAAGAATACCGAGTATATAGTCTTTTATACTATAATAAGCGAGAATTATAAACTAACGACTAATAACCCTCGCTTAACTAAGCTACTTAGGAAATTCGCCGACGTCTTTCCCGATAACTTACCGAAGGAGTTACCCCCCGAACGTAACTTCGTCTACTATATTAATATCGGTACTACCGACCTAATAAATATAAATACTTACCTCTTATCCTATAAGAAGCTCGAGGAGCTTAGGAAGTAAGTAAAGGACTTACTAAATAGGGGATTAATCTAGGTATTAGCTAGTCCCTAGGGATTCCTAGTAGTATTCGTTAAAAAGCCTAAAGAAACGTAGAGAATATATATCGATTACCGCGCTTTTAATAAACTTACCGCTAAGAATAGATACCCTATCTTAAGGATTTAGGACTTACTAGATATTATCGGCTAGGCTAAGTACTTATCGAAGATCGACTTAGCGGCCGGATATTAGTAAGTAAGGATAGCTAAAGAAGTAATATCGAAGATAACCTTTAATACTATTTAGAGGAAGTATAAATAGAAGGCGATACTATTTAGGCTTTATAATACGTTAGCTACCTTCTAGATATTAATAAACGAGATACTCCGCCCTTACTTAGATAAGTCGGTCGTAGTATACTTAGACAATATACTAGTATATTTAAAGATACTTATAGAGTACTATACCTACTTAGAGGAAGTACTATAGTACTTATATAAATAGAAGCTTTATACTAAACCGAAGAAGTATATATTTATTACTAAAGAGTTAGAATTCTATAGCTATATTATTAGGGACGGTAAGGTTTAAGCCGTTATAATAAAGCTAGATATTATTAAGGAGTAGCCCCGGCTAATAAATATTAATAAAGTTCGCCGTTTCCTAGGCTTAGCTACCTATTACCGATATTTCGTTAAGGACTTCGCGAAAATAGCGGTAGCTTTATATAACTTAACTAAGGAAGCCGACGAGGAACTATATAAATAAAAGTTCCGGCTAATTACTTAGACTAAGTAATATAAAGTAGCTTTTATACGCCTAAAAGAGGTACTTATTAGCGCCCTAGTACTTATTTAACCTAACCGAGTTAAGCCTTTTACGATAGAAACCGATACCTCCGAATAGGCGATCGGCTTTATACTCTACTAAGTAGGTAACGATAGGAAGATATATCTAGTCGCCTTTAATAGCTATAAGCTAAAAGATATAGAGTTAAACTATCTAATATATAAAAAGGAGCTCTTTACGATTAAAGAAGCCCTTCGTACTTAGGATAGGTACCTAAAGAATAGAATAAAGACTATAGTTATTATAGACTATAAGGGTCTTTAATACCTAGTAACTATAAAAGTATATAATAAGCGACTTACTTATTAGATTAACGAGTTCTAGGTATATAACCTCGAGCTATAGTACTAGAAAGGGGAGGAAGTAGTTATTCCTAATACTATTAGCCGGTATCTTAACTTTCTCGGAGAGGGACTAGCTAATATAGCCTAAGAAGTATCTATTTAGAGAAAACTAAATATAATAATAAAAGTAGGTAGATTCGATAAAGCGGAATAGTTTACCGCTACTATTTAATATATATCGGCCGGTAGCTTACTAGACGATAAGTCGCTTCGCTAAAAAGTTATACGTTAGGCTAATAAGCTCGCGATATATAAATCGCCCTTACCGATAGCTATAATATAGGAAGAGAATATAAAGCTTACCTACTTATATAGGGATAGATCCTCCGCCCTATATCTAGAGCCGCCTTTTAGGAAGGACTTTCTAAAGCGGATATATAAGGAATATAGATACTTAGGCTACCTAGGCCTACGTAGAGTACTCTATACCCGCGTTTAGTAGCCTAGAATATAGTAGGATACCGAGGAAGTAGTACGCCTTTATCTAAATTACTAAGTATCGAAATCAAGAAATAAGAGTTTCGAGTAAGAAGCGTCTTAATACTTAACGAACGCGGGTATTAAGCCTTTTAAACGATAGGGTATTAATCTTATCGGCTTACTACCTACGATACTAAGCGGTAATCGATAGATTATTATAGCGATTAATTACGCTACTAGCTAGCTACTTATAAAAATCTTACTAAAGGCTATAGAGGAAGCTATCGCCGAATTTCTCTATAACGATATCTTTATAATATATAGCGTACCTATAGAGTTCTTAACGGATAATAGCGCTAACTTACTCGCGGCCTCGATATAGTACTTTATTAAGCTAGTAAATACGAAATACTAGATAATAACGCTATACTATCTACGAACGAATAGGAAGGTAGAAAATCTTAATAGCTTACTAGGACGGATACTTACTAAGTATTATATAGATAAGCCTACTAGAGTATAGGATCTTTACTTAGCTTAAGCCCTATTCGCTATAAGGGTTAGGGAATATATAATATTAGATAAAAGTCCCTTTTACTTAGTATATAGGACGTATCTACGCTTACTAGGGGATACCGAGCTAGTAACCTCGTCTTAAGACTTAGCGGAGTTAGATAGTAAGATCCTCGCTATTAATTATATAAGAGCTAAGGCTAATAAAAGATTGTTATATAAGGCTATCCGGGCCTAGAAAATCTAAGATAAGAAAGTAACTACTTACTTACTATAGCTAGATAAATAGGTACTAGTTCGGAATAAGGTAAAATAAAAGTTCGAATTATAGTAGTTTAGGCCGTATAAGATCCTAAAAGCCTACCCGCTTAGTATATATATACTTACTAAGCCTAGTAGCTAGATATTAAGGAACTTAGTAAACGGCCGCCGTCTTATCGACGTCTTTATCGATAACCCTAACTAGCTATAGACGTTATTAGATAGTAAGTATCGGCTTCGATAAGAAGGTATAGATATTCGATACCTACTCGATAGCGGAGAAGTAGTTAATATAGACTCCGACGAACCGCCTAGTTACTACGAATTAGCTACTATTTCTTAAGCCGAGTAAGATATAATAGAGCGTTTAAGGGTACGTTTATATTTAGTAGGGAGGGAGGAAGTACTTAGAAATATTATAGCGAAAGCGAAGAAGTAACTATTACCTATTAAGAGAACGAAAAAGATAGTACCTATACTAGAAGTAGAGGATATAGTATATATACCGGATAAAACGTCGCTATAAACGGCTAAGGTCCCTATTTAGTAAGTAGAGGAGACCTAAAGAAAAGGTCTAGAAAGTATAGTCCCTATCTAAAGAGAGGTAGAAGAAGTCTAATAAGTAGACTAAATAACTATCTAAGGAGAGGTAGAGGAGTCCTAGCGAGTAGACTAAATATCTACCTAGGAAGAGATAGAGGAGTCCTAACGAGAGGACTAGATACTTATCTAGATAAAGGTAGAAGAGTCTTAATAAATAGACTAGATATCTATCTAAAAAGAGGTAGAAAAGGTTTTATAAGAGAACCTAATTAATAATAACGCCCCTAAAAAGGATAGCTAAGGAGATTAGTATATAGAGGACGCTCCGACGCTATAGTAAGTATCTCTATACCTTTTCTATAGGCTATATCGCTATATAATAGATTTATAATAAGAAGGATTCCGCTACTATAGTAAAAAAGCGAGTAAACGAAGACTTATAAAATACTATAAAGAGATAATCTATAAGGGACTATAAGGAAGTTATTAATAGAACTATAGTCTTTATATTCGGTAAATATAATTTAAAAGCTTTAATAAGTGCCTAGTAACCTAGATATCGTTAATATAATTAGCCTAAATAGAATCTACTTCTCTACTAACTATAGCTCGCTCTATTACTTCCTAACCCTAGAGTAACTCTAAACTATATAAATCCTAATATATAAGACTAATATTAACCTATATCTAAGCTATCTCCTCTATTAAATAACGTTCTATCTATAACCTAATATCTAGGGAGGCCTTAAAAAGTCTATAGGTAAGTATACTACGCTACTTAAGGGTAATAGGGGTATCTTCCTTAGATACTTCCTCGTTTAATTTAATATAGGGGGAAGGGGATATATTAGCGGTAGAGGGGGAGATATAAGGGTATTTATAAAATAAGCGGGTAGAAACCGAATTAAGAAAGTAGGAAGTAGTAAAATAAGAGAGAGTAGAGGGGGTTAAGGGCTAGATTAAGGGCTAGATAGGGGACTTATTAGTAGGAGTAACCGCTAGGAACTAGAACTCGGGGGAGTATATATAAAGCGTATTTAGAGCCTAGGTAGGGGTATTAACGCGTAAGGAGTAAGCGCGAGCTATACCTACGAAGTAATAATATATATAGGAACCTAGGCTAACTATAGTACTCTTAACCGAGCTTTTATAGAAAGCTACGACTCGGTAAAAAGTAAAGTAGCTAGTACTACGTCGGTACTAGATATACTCCTCCCTAGAAGGAGTAGCGATACCGATATACTAGCTAATAACGGCTACCTAATAGTTATAGGATATAACCGCGCGAAGTTAGAATATATTATTAACTTAGGGCTAGTCTATATTACCTCCGATCCTTACTTACTCTTCCTATAACGTAGCTAGTATACCTCGTACTTTATTAGGAAGGACTAGTTATAAGATATTATTAAGGCTAGTTAGTAACTTAGTAGTATCCTTAACGTTAAGATTAACGAAACGAGGGGATAGAGACGGGTCGGCTATATAAGTTAGTTAGTAAGTAGGGGAGCTAGTATAGAATAGGAAGTAAGACTTACTAGAAAACTATAAGGCTCCGACGGAGGAGGTCTCTATATTAAGTAGGTTTTACGATACCGATAAGGGAGACGAAGTACTAAGGGACCGGAGGTTAATAGCGTTTCCCTCTAAGTTCTTAATAGGGGCGGCGAGAGGGTTAAATAAGGGCCTAGTAAGAGAGTTTACTATAGGGAACGATATAATTACTATAGTAAGTAACGAGTTAGTACCTAGTAAGGTCGATATAGGGATAGATTACTTACTAATAAGTTGATTAATATCGATAGAAAGTAGAGTAGGAGATAAGACTAAAGAATAAGAAGAGGAGAAGGTTTTTTCTAAAGGGAAAGATAGGGATATTTATACTTAGATAGGCTTATTTACTATATTAACCGAGTAGGTAAGAATAAAGAGAACTACTTACTAGAGTATAAAGAAAGTAAAGCAATATATACTTAGTAGTTCTCTCGCCTTCTAATACCCCTAAACAAAGCACTTATTGACCCCTTATCCTACTAGGCCTACTATATTGCCTATTCGGGGAGTCTATATAGCCTTATTTTTATAGCTTCCGGGGCGGTAAGCTAGATCTAGTAGGGAGGGATATGCTCCCGAGAGGTTTATAGGGTTTGCTTACTCTCGGTGCCTAAGGCAGCCACTTGCTAGATACCTTAGGACACTACTTCTTGGTACTCGGCCAAAGTCATTGGTAGCGAGTGCCTATTACCAAGGGGTTTTCTCTAGGCCAAGCCCTTGCTTGGCGCTGATGTAATATATTCTGTATTTAGCTAGTAATTACTACTACCCAATGAAAACCATGCGATCCTAACAGAATCTCAACAAAGGGCTTTGTGTGTCACGTGGTATTCGACTTCAGATCAGACAGTTTGCTCCCTTTTTTTTTTTTTTTCTCCCGTCTTATTATTTTAGATTATTACAGTGATCTTGCGCATGTTCTTCTTTCTCTTTCTTCATATTCTAAGACGTGCTCGTATCATTCGACATTTTAACAGAGCGACAAGAGTTCGGCGGATGACATGTTCTAGTTTGCGACTGTCATTCTCACATTTTAACACCTACTTATCCCATCTTACCCCTGTTCTTAAGTTATTTATTTTTTACTACATAACCTATATTCCGGCAAATAATATAGCAGCCAAGAAGTAATAGTGTGGGGAAAGGGAAATACCCGAGCGCGGGTATTTCAATCAAATTTCCGCCTTCTCCGCTCCTCTCTTGCATCGCCCCGAGATAGCCATTCATGGACCACACAAAGAGAAGAGGGAGAGGATCTCTCGAATATGAGTATCAGCGAGTATACAAGGCTTGCATTCCATGTGCGCAGCGCAAAGTGAAGTGCGAGGCTAGCGACAATGTGAGATGTCGCAGATGCACCAACAAGAACATCAATTGCACCTTTACGTCAAAGAAACCCTGGTCAAGAGGCGAAAAGCATTCTGCTGAGACACCGACCCGGGAAAATACAAGGGGAAATGGGTCAAATAAGTGTGTTTTCCTTGAGTCTGAGAGATGAGTGGAGTTAACTTGGATAGGTCACGGAGAACTACCCGAAGAAAAGAAAACACCGAGATTATCGGCAAGTATCCTATACAAATTGTGGAGGAGATAAATGGCAGCTAATTCAGATTCATATTGCAGACTCTCATTTAGATGAACCGGTCAATCAAGATGGTCTTTCTACATCAGTACTGCAGACAGTAGTTTCGAATAACAACGATTCAATGAATATTTTGTTCGAGGCGGCACTTCAGGAATCGAATAATCCCTCTCAGAATATGTCAACGACAGATAATTCACGACAGATAGCTCTAGAACTGAGTGACGCCGATGTCCTCCGCATTTGGAATGCATGTCGATTCGTGAGAATGGGATGGTTCTCTGCCCAGGAAGCTGTGGTTTTAATGGACCTGCATGTTACACATTCCATCGGATACATGGACCGTTATACTGACATTAAAACGATTAGCTTCTTCGAAAACATGGCGCCCCTGTCGCCTGTCCTCACGGACTTCTTCGCCTCGCATAAAAACCAATACTATCTAGTAACCCAGGAACCTATGCTCTGCTACACTATACTCATGATTTCCTCTCGATACCACACTCTTCCGGGAGTGGGCGGATATTCTCGCTCGTTCTTCATTCATCACCGCCTGTGGCAACATTGCCAACACTTGCTTCTTCGGATTACCCTCGGGCAGGAGAAAATTTCAAAAGCCAAAACACGCACGATAGGAAGCATCGAAGCATTACTACTCATGTCCGAATGGCATCCACGAGCATTACAATTTCCACCAGAGGCGGATGGATGGGATTCAGACTTCCTCTTGACAAACCCGGACATCAGAGATCCGCCTTCCCTAACTGAAGATGTCCCAGTATCTGCCCGATGGCGGGAAGATGTTGTTGAGCCCACGAAGCGGTTTGAACGTATGTCCTGGATGGTCCTCAACTCGGCTTTGGCCCTCGCACATGAACTCGGTGTGTTCGACTCGAGCGCTCGACTCGCCAGACAAGATGATCTGGTTGGTCTTGATGCTGAGCGATATCTTGAATATCTCGAGGTGCGACGGCAGCGACTACCGAGTCTATTGTTCACGTCTATCAATGCTTTATCTTCACGCATAGGTTGTACCTCGCCAGTGCCATCTGATGTCGGGATCTCCATGCCTGAAACGCGAACATCTTTGCAGTCTATTGATAGAGATTGGTTATTGTTCATGAATGCCTGGATTGAACTCATGAAGCTGACTACTTCGGTCACGGATACTCTGTTTCCACTCATGAATATTTCTAGCTCCACTGGATCACCGGATACATTCATATCTGTATTGGAGAAGAAACAAGTTCTGTTAGCGAGTTGGCAACAGCGATATCTCAATATATTAGGTATGATATCGAAAGGCCAGAATCTACAATTATCACTAACTTTACACAGACTCAAGCTTTCCCTACACTGACACCCTATTCATCGAGTATCAACATCTACGCACCCTTACCAACTCCATCGGAATGCAAAGAATTGTCCAACGAGTGCTTCAAATTCAACCCCAGCCTCCATCACGAAGGGATTCAATTATTGACTACTCTTTCATCGAACGGGCAAGACAGCTAAACATTACAGCAAGAGAATATGGCTTCATCGAAGAAGTAATAGACGGATGCTGCCAAACCCTCGACAAGGTAACTCTCTTGGGCGGGACTTTACACTTCTCACCAATGAGAATACTCTTCCGAACAATAAGTGCGTCAATATTTCTTATGAAAGCTCTCGCTTTGGGAGTACGCAACTCAAAACTACAGGAAGCATTCCTGATCCTCGATCGGGCTATCGTCACACTACAGGATAATAATCATGATGACGTGCATTTGAAATCCCGCTATGCGGCTCTTTTACAAGTACAAGTCTCGCGTCTGCGAGAAAGTTTGGTATCCTCATACTCCGGGGTTGGGAATGATCTTCCTTCTCCTCGCTCGTATGAGAATATGTCGGCTATGGAGCTGGGGGATTTCTCGGATTTTTCTATGAACGACTGGTTATCTTTGCCTTTAGATCCTTCAATGGCGCCATTTGGGTCTTCAGAGGGGGACTTTGGGGTCCGTTTGGATGGTGTTGATTTGGATTTGGATTTTTTGTGGCAATTACCTCCATGAAATTGTAGCATCATATAAAACAAAGAGTGAAATTTCAAGCTTTCAACAGCATATGGCAATCCACAAATAATATAACTGCTGGTAGCAAACACATAAAACGAACTATCCAAGACCCCCTCAAGTCAAATAACGAAACTTGGGATGATTATCACCCGCATCAGTAACATCAACCCTCTCATTCACACCAACAACCCCATAAACCTGATCCCGTCTCCGATTCTCCAAGGTCAGCTTAACACTCAACCCCATAGCCAAGACAGCAATCAACCCGGTAAAAGCACACCCAATCCCACATCCTAGCGTATAGAGCGGCGCATCAGAATTAGGAAACACAGAACTACTAATCAAGCTAGAACATTGTCCAAAGACAGCAAGGATAGCCATCCCAGCACCTCTTTTACTTTCCCCGCCCTGGTTATCCATCAACCAAGTTATATTTAGCGCGAGAGCAGGAAAGATCCCACAGGTCGCTAGCCAAACACCCGCATACCGCGCCGCGGTATTTGATTGATCTTGCACGCACGTGAGAAGTAGATACCCAACTGTCCCTATCGTTGCGAAAAATGTAATTAGGATACCGCGTTTTCCCCATCTGTCCGAGAGGAAGGCGGCTGCTAGACAGCAGAGGAAGGAGACGAGGTAGGGTGGTGCTGATAGGCCTTGAGCATTGATGGAAGTGTAGCCCATATGCTGGATGATTGTTGGGAGGAAGTTTGAGAGCCCCGCAAATGAGTAGTTGCAACAGAAGTGAATGAGCATGTGGATGTAGTTTTTGTAGTCTGATAATCCGCTCAGGACTTGAGACCAGCGAACTTTGTGTTTCTCTGTTGTGTCGAATGATTGCAGGCGTTCTACTGCTTCTGTTTGTTCCCTTTCGTCCAGGAAGGATGCTGAGCCTGGTGAGTCCGGGAGGAAGAAGAATACCACCACTGAGAAGAGGACTGTTGGTGCGCCTTCTGTTTCTAGTTAGTGTTGAGGACAGTTGGAAGTAAATGGGAGGTTAGTATCTCACCAATGATAAATAGATAGCGCCATGGCTCTATAGATCCCCTGATGTGGGTAATACCATAGGCAAGAGCAGAAGCAAAACAATTGGCAACTGGGGACATCCCAAGGAGTATTGATACCCGGAGCCCTAGTTCTTGTCTTTGGTAGAACAAAGAAAGGAAGTATGGTGCACCAGAGCCAAAGACGGATTCGAAGATACCCAGCAGGGACCGAGTGGCGAGAATCTGAGCGAAATTGTTGACTGCACCACTACACATGGCAGCTGTGCCCCAGCTAAAAACACCAGCATTCTTAACAGGGAAACAAAAGTATGATTTGATTTAGAAACATACCAAATGCAGAGAACGGCAATGTAGGAATGTGCCGGGAGGATTTTCCATAGGACTGTAGTCCAATCAAATAGGATATAGCAGATATAAAAGGCATACAAGACCCAAGACCACTGGTAGTCACTGAGGTTAAGATCCTTGTCGAGTCCAGCAGCCTTGGCGTTGCCGATGTTTCCTAGTTACCGATGAGATAGAGGATTGGACGAGGGAGTTAGGCATGCTTACCTCGATCCAAGTATGATAGAATGTATAGAATACATACAATTGGCAAGACACGACGATCAAACTAGTTAATAGTAAGCAAAACGTCACACATCTGGTAGCAAAGAGATGATGAACTTTTCTACGGATGACCGACTGGCGCTCTTGAGGGATCACCACCTGGGGCTGGTCCTTCTCCGGGTCATTAGACTCGACATGTTGAGAGCTCGGTCTCTGTTCATATTTAATCTTTTCCGTCATATCTGACTGCATTCAATATGTTGAAATGTGTATAAAAGGTCGGAGTGATTGCTGACCTTGGGGGCAGCAGTGACAGGGGACAAGCGCGGGTTGAAATACGTTTATCTCTTGGTGATCAATGCGCGGCAATTCATGAAAACTTTGTATAGAGCCGGTCCAATTGAAGTTCGTATATTGCATCCCCGCACTCAAAGTCTTTCATACCCCATGGGGAAGAGGCGGATAGAGGGTTGATCTGCTAGGTTCCCCGCAAAATGACGGGTGTTCTACATATACGGCCGAGTAAAGCTGGGGAAACTATTGACTTTTCCCAGCGTCATTTTCCAGCCAATCTGAATGTTTCTTTGCTGAGGGGGAAAGGGTTGGGTGGATCATCATTCGGGTAGCGGATAGTTGCCAATATCCGTCAAATTCCCGCTCTGGTGTAAATGAACAAAAAGACCCCGATTTCGTATTTAAACAGCTTAAAAGCCACCAAAGAACCTCAATTGAATTCACAAGCAGCATTTCAATCCTCTATCAATTCAAGAAACCAAGTTTCACAATGTCTTCCACCACAATCCCCTACCCCTTCCACTTCGACTCTCTCGCAGAGACAACAAACGGGTCTTCAGACGGGAAGACAGCAGACTTAACTCTAACATTGAAAAATGTCCGAGGAAAGATCCCCTCCCTCGAAGCGTCCCGCCTGAGAACAATGATGCTGGAGGCCCATAATGACCCAACCAAAATCCTAGCACACGCCTGCAGCTACGACGGCCTCTCCTCCCGTCTCGTCGAAGAAGCAGGATTTCCCATGGTTTTCCTCGCGGGTTATGCCGTCGCCAGCTCCTATGGTCTCCCTGACACGGGATACATCGCCATGGCCGAGGTGTGCGATAAGATCCGCGATGTGGTCCGCCAGGTCTCGGTGCCCGTTATGGCGGATGGTGATACCGGTTACGGGAGCCCGATGAATGTCAAGAGGACTGTTGAGAGTTTTGCTAATGCTGGCGCGGCCGGTGTTATGATTGAGGATCAGCAATGGCCGAAACGTGAGTATTCTGGATTATTGAGGTCCTTAAACCGTTTCGTGGAATGACCCTTCGCTAACAATGAGTATTTTAACAGGTTGTGGCCATACAAAGGGGAAGAGTGTCGTCTCTCGCGGTGAAGCATTCGCTCGAATCCAAGCTGCCTGCGATGCTCGCAACGGAGGAAAGGACATTTTCGTCCTTGCCCGTACTGACGCGTTGATCCATGGTTGGGAAGAGGCCATGGCACGTGCACAAGAGTTCAAACGTATTGGTGTTGATGCTATCTTTGTCGAAGCACTGCCAGATGCGGAGGCGATGAAGCGATGTGCGGAGGAAATCGATATTCCCGTTTTCGGTAATATCATTGAAGGTGGAAAGACGGAGAACTTGTCAGCTAAGGACCTTGCTGCACTTGGGTATAGTGCTGTTGCATACCCTTGGACCTTGGTTGCGGCGCATCTTAAGAGTGTGCGGTCTGCTTTGGACGGTCTTAAGCAGAGTATGCTTGTTGGAGCTCCGCCGATGATTTTGACTTATGATCAGGTTTGTGAGGGGGTTGGGTTCAATAAGTATTGGGTATGTTTTGTCCTTAGTTGTTTTGGATATATACTGACTCTCTTGTTTAGGACCAAGAGGAGAAGTACAAGTTTGACGCTTGAGACAGTACATTGTTAGCTTTATCTCATGCTATCAACGATAGAATATGTATCTTTGGTTGTTTTTGAGCTCGAAATACGTGGTATATGAATTACCTGCATAGGGAGTCACATAAGTATCTACCCAGGAACGCTATATAGAGTCAAATTTGTGATCTGGGCGACAAGAATATCAATGTCCCTTCCCACCAAATACCAGCCAGCAATATATATGAACCTTGCAAATAGGACATCACTCCATTTTGTGTGACCTTTCAATATTATATGTGACGTCAATATGTCCTTCTTAAATACAAATACAACCCTAGTTCTAAGCATTCAATATTCTATGTTGACACTGGATGCCCAGATCGATTGTCAAACACTGTCGGAACAAAGGGCTTTATGTGTCACGTGTCGTTAGACTTCACTTGAGCTAGTTTGCTTCTCTTCCACTCTCTTCTTATTTTCCCAGTTTCATCTATTAAATCCATATGGCGATTTTGCTCTTTCTTGCTTTCCGTGCTCTTACTATTGGAGTTTTCAAAAGAGCGAGAAGAGTACGGCGGATAACATATTCTAGTTAGCGACTGACTAACCTAAAACGACACCTAAAGACGTTCCAAGGAATACCAGAAAGACATCTCAAGAAAATCCTAATTATTACTTCTATACATATATAAAAACTATTTGATCTTCGTGTTATCTAGCCCTACATCATTAAATGCTGAGGTCGTATAAGCGGCCAAGCCTCATTAGCATTAAACTAAGCCGGCAGAATATACAGCTATCGTTAAAAATTGTTTAACATGTTAACATAACTGGTATCTCTTATCTCGCATCTAGTAGAGGTATAGGTACATAAGTATGGAGCAAGGACATCAAACATTGAAATGTTCAAATATCATCCATAGGGTTGGTTATGTGGCCGCTCAAGACATAGTAAGGAGTCTTTAGTTCTTGGAATCGCCATCATTGTTCTCACTCTTTCCAGCATCCTCCTTGGATTCATTCTTCTTGGGCTCTTCCTCCTTGGAGTCATCTTTCTTGTCGTCATCACTTTCCTTAGTAGTATCATCATCATTGGGCTTCTCGTCCTTGTCTTCCTCGGACTTTTTCTTCTCCTCTGGCTCTTCCTTTTTCTCCTCGGGCTCTTCCTTCTTATCAACCTTTTCCTCGCCCTTCTCCTCGGCGTCCGTCTTCTCCTCCTTTTCTGGCACCACCTCAGAGGAAGGTTCGGCGGGTCTCTCCTCGGAACCCTTCTCTACTTCGCCGTCTTCTTCCGCGTGTTCGTCCTTGTGTTCGTCCCCGTGAGCGTCGTGGTGTCCGTCCGAACCGGAAGGCCAGAGATAAAAGACCATTGGAACGGTCACAGCAGCAGAGGCCGCCAACCTACAATCAAAAGTAATTAGAAAACCAAGTCGAATTGCTCGGAAGCAAGAACTAAACTCACCAAGGTAAGTCGCTGGATGCAGGCCTATGTTCATAGCTGCCACTAGTAGACTTGAATCGGCGACTGAGGATCTGGGCAGACTGGCGGGCAATAGGAGCGGCACGGAAAGACTGAGCTGCAGTCGCAGCACGGAAGATTGAACGGCGCGCAAAGACCATTGTGTAGTAGCAAACCGGGTACGAATAGAGTACAAGGGTTAGAGAATATGGCAAGTGTGAAAGGTTAAGGGGAGTGAATTGGTCAAGTAGTACAGAGTAGATTACAAGAGCAAGTTAACTACGTACAGCTTCCCGGTTTTCGCAAGTAAACCCCGGGGTGTCGTAAGACCGCTTGTTAGTTGTTTCCGAATTGGTCTGTGCGTCGTGATGTAATGGACGTGGCTGGGTCAGGTATTTGGTACTTGAATAACACAATCAGCTTTGGTGGTTTGGAATGTAACTTGTACTCGTAAAAGACAATAGGGTACATCTTTTGATACCTCGGTATGGTATCGATGGAACCCGGACTAACAATCATGGAGGTTGGACCCGTTCGATGTCAGGTGGATCTCAACGATCCATCTGATTATCAGATCAAATTATTGGAGAACATACAAGTATTTAATATCACATTTGTATAATCTTGGAATGACTATGTAGGCATCATGTTCAAAGACTATTATTCCTAAGCATATAGTTTGTGCTAATATGAAATATATAACTTGATATTTTGAGAAGTTGTCGAGTAACTAGTTGTGATGTAATGCCTCAGGCCAATTGAACAATTTTGACACCTTAGGTGTCAACACCCCACGTTGCGGCGTTAATCAAAAGCTACCACCGCAAGCTCTCCCCGGTTGACTACATATACACAACTTCACTCGTCACCTTGAAAGGACTTCCCCTCAACCCAACCCCATTTCCCGATAACTCTCACAGCTGCATCAACATGGCTGACCGCCAGGTTACCCAGCAGACAATCTTCACTCTGCTATCGAAGCTTGATGACCCCGACGCCGACTTAAGATACATGTCCTTGAACGATCTATATGGGATCCTGACCAACCCAAACTCCTCATTCCTCTCTCACGATCGTGGCACATCAACAAATCTCGCAGAAGGTCTGCTTAAGGCCCTGGACGATCAACACGGCGACGTGCAGAACCAGGCCCTTAAATGGTTCGTCCTAAGCGCTATTCACCTCTAGTCCTGCTCATGTCTAACCCGAACCAGTCTCGGACCTCTCGCTGTTCGCTTGCCGTTCGAATCTCTTACACCTCTTCTCGAGCAGTTGGCCAGTCTGACTGCCTCCCAGACGATAGACACATCTGTCCCCAACACTGCTCTTCGCGTCATCGTCGATACCCTCCCTCGTCCCCAGTCAGGTCAGCCTGCATCTCAAAATGCGATTACGGCATACTCGGCAGTTTCAAAGGTTTTGGTCCCTCGTTTGACCGGGCCAACACCCTCGGGCACAGGGCGGCGGGGCTCAATGGTGAAGAGCATGATGGAGAAGGATCCATCGCGGGGCTTCAGCAGTGATGCCATCGATGTGCTCATCAAGGTCGTGACATGCTTTGGGCCTCTTCTCCAGGAGTCAGAGCTTGCTGCCCTCCAACTGTCCGTCATGGCCATCATCCAAAACGATACGGCTGGAACTGTTGTCACTAAGCGCGCTCTGGCAGCCATCTCGGCGCTTGTGCTCCACTTCTCCGACAGTCAGCTCAACGGATTTGTGTCCAATCTGACGAAAACATTGTCTTCCAACATTTCCATGGTGCAGCGTCGGCACTTGATTGCTGCAATTGGCGTCATTGCAAGAACTGCACCTGTGAAATTCGGCCCACATCTGGATACCCTTGCTCCCTTTGTCTTCTCAGCAGTCGGCGAGGATAAAATCACCCGGACAATCTGAGTTGCCATAATCACTTAGTCTACAACTGATAAATGTCTGGCCGACGCTGCACTGTAGCCCAGACCATTCCACGTGATGCTGGGGGCTGCTGCACGAGCTTGATGTGCTGCATCTGATCTGAATTGGCTATATGTGGTCACGTCATGATCATACTGATCGCACCCACTAGGTTGTGATTTGCTGAATTTGGAAAAATGTACTGGGCTCTTAGGCCAACCCCTCCGATGCCCAAGATGGCCATGGACTTCACGATACCCACGTTCATATTGAATACAAGCGCGTCAACATACACTTTTACACCTTTATGTAAAGGTTGAGAGCTCTTGCTAGGAGGTTTGCTCCTGCTTTCTGTGTTTTAAAGTAACCAAATGCCTTGAAGCTTCCTCACTCTTTCCTTTTCTGTCTTCCTTCCTCTTGTAGAAATTAGCTCATCCATTACCTTTCCCCGAGATCCTACTTTTCTCTTCTCTCTTCGTCTCCCACAATCACCTCGTGCTATCATCCCAACCCATTACTTCTTGCATGCCCAGTTAAACATAACTTAACCCTATATACCATTTTCAAGATGCGTATTCAGCCCATTTTGGTCGCCACTTTGGCAACGTGTGTATTTGCTAAAGTGCATGGCACCGCTCCTGTGCATACGGTCTTGATTGAACAATCTCCACCAGAAACCGAGTCTCATTTGAACACCCGTGATGCCCCCAACAATTTGGACTATCGCTGTGGCCCCAAGATCGGTAAATGTCCAGTCGGTACATGCTGCTCTGGCTCAGGTATGTGTCAAAACTCTGTTAGGTTGGGCAGCTTACTGATGACATTTCTGCGATAGGTTTCTGCGGCACATCCAAGGCACACTGTCGCTCTCCAGACTGCAAAATTGACTACGGTAAATGTGACGCTCACCGATCACCTGATGGACCCCCAACCAAAGAAATCCCCCGTCCTCATATTGGTCAAGTTCCGTACGGTCCTCGCGAGATTCGTTCATGCGGTATCCCCGGGACTGTTGCATTGACCTTTGACGATGGCCCGACACGCTACACTGGCGACCTGCTCGATCTGCTTGACAAGTACGATGCAAAGGCGACATTCTTCATCACTGGGATCAATAACGGGAAGGGTCCTATCGATGACCTCTCCTTGCCATGGGCTTCATTGATCGAACGCATGCACTCGAGTGGCCACCAAATCGCCAGTCATACGTGGTCGCATGAGGACCTCAGCACTATCACTCCTACACAACGCAATGAGCAGATTGAAAAGAATGAAGCTGCACTGCGCAATATCCTTGGACAATTCCCCACTTACATGCGGCCGCCATATTCCAGCTGTAACCCTGACACAGAGTGCGGAAATGACCTGGGCCAGCTTGGGTACCACATCATTTTGTATGACATTGACACCGACGACTACAAGAACGACAGTCCGGATTTGATCCAGCGGTCTAAGGATATCTTTGATCACCAGCTCTTGTACAGCGACCCGCGTATCAAGTCTTGGCTTGTCATTGCCCATGATGCTCATGAACAGACTGTCCATAACCTCACGGAGCATATGCTCAAGAGCATCAAAAGACAGGGTTATCGCGCCATTACCGTTGGTGACTGTCTCCGAGATCCCAGGCCGCTTTGGTACCGCAAGGATAGCCGGATGCCCACCCACAAGAAGAAGCCCAAGAAAACTGCTTCATCGGCAGATCCCAACAAGGCGATCTCTTGGGACGGCTCCTGTGGTTCCAATTACACTTGCCTTGGGTCTACCTATGGCTTTTGCTGTGGCAGTACTAACTCTTGCGGCAACACCACCAGTCATTGTGGAAACGGCTGTCAGAAAGATGCCGGATATTGCTCCATTGAGGCTCCCTACAACGGGGATGCCTGGGACCCAAAGGTTGAAAGCAAGAGCCACAAGTCCGAAGCTGATTCTGATTTCCGAACTATTGGCACCGCGGCTGCCACATCGTTGTTCCTTGCTTTGATCGTTGCGATGTGGATGTGATACATCATCTTGATCTTTGGATTGGATTGCCATGATTGTTTGGCCAAGTTTACACCGTCGATATTATAGTTATGCTTCTATGTTGTGGCTTTATTGTAGCCGCTCCATTCGTTTGAACTTATTGACAGACACAGCAGGGTTAGTTAGCTCATGGAATAGGAATCATCAACAAGTAGCAATACAAAAGTTTGTCTTCCTTTGACTAATGATTGGAGGCTCTCACCATGCAAGCTCCATTCTGATCCTCAAATAAATGATAAATGTAATCATTTCGATGTTGAGACTAATAACAGCTCACACCTGAGCAGGATGCTATGAAGTAACCTAACCTTTCTTCCACCCCATATAAATGAGCAAGTATAGACATGCAACCATGTGAGATATGCAGATATCAATACCAACGGAAGCAAACAAGAAAAAGAAAGAAGAAAAAAAACAATAAAGCAGCACGCCGAGAGCATTCTCTCGAGGGGTATAATGATAGCAGAATAATAGCAGCAGCAGAGAAACACAACAATTAACACGAAATAAAGATCTCGATCAAAATGAAGAAAGCAGAAACTTCTCCCTATTTCCGTACCATCTTAAGCAACGGCGCAATCCTCGCCTTCTTGCTCAACCCCACGCGATAAGGCACCCCACTCCGCGCCGAGATGGGACTATGCTTATCCGGGCCCTTGCCTGCATTCTGTGGTGTATTAACAGATGCAGCATCAGGCTTCGAAGGAGTCTGAGGTTGAGGGCTATCAATTGTAGGCTCAGGGAGAGGATCAGGAGCAGGAAGTGGATGGGGGTTCTGGTCCTTGCTTTGGATAGCAGCTGTATCGTTGTTACTGGTGTTAGCTTCCAGTATGGATTTGGGACTATTATCGACAACGACGGCCAACTTCGACTCAGGAGTCTGGGCTCCCGAGGCCGTATTGTTTGGTTCGGGTGTATCTGCGGACTCTGATGGTGCTTCCGCTTGCTCGGTTGTCTGCTTTCGCTTGCGGCCACGTTTCTTGGGAGCTGCTTTTTCGGCGTTCAGGGTCTTCTCTTCAACTGCGGGAATCGGTGCCTGGGGGGTGACAGTCGGGTTTGTGTCCAGAACATTGGAGTCTAGATCCTGTCTTGGGGGCTCGGGAATTTCTGTCTGTGGAGTGGCGCTCCCGGTTGAGGGCTCCACGCTGAGAGGCTTCGTATCCACCCATATCACGTCGTCATCGGCATCAGGCCCGGGGGCGGGTGTCGTCTTGCCTTTTTTGGCTTTCTTCTTTTTCGGCTCCTTGGGTCCTGATTTTGCAGGCTTGGGGGCTGCTTCTAGATTATTCTCGTCAGTCTCTTCGGAGATGCCACTCAAGGCCGTGGTGTTATCTTCCGTGATCGCTTCGCTATCGGAGGGGTCAATCGCACCATTTGCGCCAGGGTGTTTGAACTCGTAGTCCCGAGAGTTGGCTAGCTCATCATCTTCGTCGTTATCTGGCACAAGTTGTTTCTTGGGCCTTCCTCGCCTTTTCTTTACACTGAGCGTTTCGACGTCTGGCACAGTTGGTATGACAGCTGGCAGAGAAAGCTCGTCGTGCGTGCTTGACTGGGATTGCTGCGGGGAAATGAGACTGGTTCCGGCGGTAGTAGTCTTTGCTTCGCTAAATCGCATGGATGTGATGGAGGAGAGAGGCTCAGTGTCATGGGGAGAATTGGGACACGTCTGCTGAGATTTGGGCTGTGAGGCTTCCTGAGGTGGGTTTGGGTGTTGATCTTTTTGTTCCATGGAGGGCTCGGTAGTTTGGTGAGGGACAATTTTCGGAGGCAAGGCCATTGAGTTAGTGGTGTCGGGAGGAGTCAAATCATAGATACCCTGTCTGGGGGGCAATGAAGTCTGATTTGCATCGGCGTGGGTGCCAATGGGTGCTGGATTATATGCGAAGCTGTCACTCTCCGGTTGGTCCATATGATACGGGTGGTAGCTTGGTATGGTAGGAAACGGCACGGACTGAAATGGTTCTGTCGAGTACAGCGCAGCCGTAGAAGGGAGCGGCAGGCTTGCACTTGAAGGATCGTCGTCCAGAAGTCTTCTCTGCGCGAGTCCGATCTCCGTGATCATAGCGCCTATATCATATTCGGTATCAGCATATAGATTACGTCTTTATGTGCTTCAAATTATGCTATCACATCGTACCAACCGATCCACTTCCGCCCTCACTAGTTGAGGGGATCCATCTGTGCTCCCGCCGCTGCTGCGACGACGATAGCATTGAATGGCCCTTTTCTTGCGATTGGAGAAACTCGTCAAAATTGACGTTCAGTTGTGGAAACATGCTTTCATCAGGAGCAGGGCCATGTTCACACCCTGCATTGTGGGTTGTCTGTTCGGCGGGGTGATGTTGATATTCCTGCTGCAATGCGATCTCGGAGGAGTGGGGAGGGTTGATAGAGGTGGGGAGTCCATCCCCCTCGAAGGGTTCATCCTCATCAGAATCCTGAATGACACGATCCAAACTCATTGGGATTGGGTTGCCAGGGTTATCAGAGCTAGTGGCTTTGATCTTTGGGCGAAAAGAAAGTTGTCTAACGCGTCCCTGACACGACAACACGTGATGATAAGGATGGATAACAAACTCCGCTTTTTCTACAATCTGTGCAGACATCGATGACTAACTGTAATATGCACTGGTATGCTTGGTACCATGTGTCACATGAATGCAATTGGGGCTCATAACTAGTTGGTTTCCCAACTAGACTGAAGTACGGATCTGTACTCAGCCTAATAGGTGGTAGTTTAGAATCCAACCTCGGCGAGAGATCGGGGTAAATGAATCATCCATCCATCGATCCAACCCTGTAAGTCCGCCGTTGTACAATTCTTCAGAACAGAGGCGGAAACACTCAGCCACTTAAAGAAAAAGATCGACCCAGAGAACGTGTTCAATGGCTTGCCTGGACTATCTTGCGGACTAAATTGAATTGATGGGGTCATGAATACTGGAACAGACTGCATATATCCTCCACCTTTCAGGGACTAGTGGGTATGAAGGTAGGGATCTTGAACCAAAACAATACAAGAGCCCCGTTAGAGTCTTTGCTATATAAAGTGTGGGTCCGGCGGCACGGTGATCCACTGAACTTGCCGTTTTGGGCCATAACGCGAGAGACTGTGACTAACGTTCAGTTGACGGACTCAAAGGGAAATTTTACTTCCCTTTCTAGTCAATTCCCAGCGAATTATTGCGAGTAAACTTTGGGGCTTCTCTCTTGAAAGTTATTACGAATTTAGGTACCGGTAATGGCCCTTTTTTCTCCTACGTAACGGAGGGTAAAATATATACTACACAGGATTTTACTGAATTCGGCTCCACATCTACTTATATATACGGGGACAATGTGAGATGAGGTGTGTTGACTTTCTGTATGTCAGCGCTCCATTGGTATTGAACGGATTTCAAACCTCTCTCCCGTCCTCCAGCACTTTTCTTTCGAAAATTTGTTCCTGCCATCATGAGAATTGCTCTACTCGGAGCTGGCGAGGTCGGAGTTCAACTGGCTACGGAATTTTGCAAATCAGAAGACGAAATAGTTGTTGTCACCCGAGCTCCGAAAGTAGCCCTTGAAACCCTCAGGGCAGAGATCCGGTTCACCGATTACTCTCTCGAAGATCTGAAGAAAACGCTGGACGATTGTGATGCTGTTGTGTCTACAATCAATGCCCAAACGAGTTCTAAGTTTCTGTGCACTCCAATATTCTGGAAGCATGTATCCAATCGCGTCGATGCAAGCACTTTATTCCTTCTGAATGGAATATCAACATCGAGGACTTCCCTGATCAACCCATGTTCAGTGCTGCCACGCACCAGATAGTTCGCAACAAGTTACGATCGCAACGAGAGGTCAAGTGGACGATGATCTGCCACGGTTGGTTTATGGAGTACGTCTTGCCCGGTGATAAGAACCCTCTACGTGAGATCGGCTGAGCATGGGCGATGAACCATGGTAACAAGGTTTTCGACATTTACGGCGACGGCCTACAAAAGGTCACTTTGACATCTCTGGGGGATGCAGCACGTGCGGTTTTGGCTTTGTTGAAAAACAGCATTAAGACTGGTGCCGATCTGCCCCCGGTTACGCATCTTGCTGGGCAGACACTTACCTACAAGGCCCTCTTCGAAGTGATTTGTAGACATCATCCGGTCTGGAAATCGTACACGGTTTCTATTTCCGAAGTTCTTGATTCAATTCACGAAGGACTCAATTCAAACGATACCAGTGTAGCAATCCATCAGATGAGGATCCTGGGCTTCACAAATGCGAACCATAACCCTGATGAAAAGGTGCTGCGTTGGGGAACTGGAGTTCTTGAAGGGTTGTACCCCATCAGTGTCGATGAACTTTTGGCCCAAGCTGAGGCTGGTTCAAATAAATGAAGTACTTCCAACATTTGAAGATTCTGGACATACAAATTAGCTAGACCCCCAGCTGAAAAAAATTCTTGAGACATCGTCACTGTTGATTGATAGATCCTATTTGATATCTGTAGTAAACCATGGCCCAGATTTATAGATGGCACTCGGGCAAGGGCGGGTCACATTTGAAGAGCTTCTTGTTGCATGCCGTGCATGGCACTGGAGCCACAGTGGAGAAGCGTGGACGGTGATTACCAATTTTCGGCATCCGACAAGAAGCGACCGAGTACTTATCAAAGACTAAGTCTAAAACATTCATAAAAGGTAGGTACAGATGACGGAATGACGGAAGAAACATGGCCGACATGCCGACTGATCTCGTATCGTAAGGCTTACAGATTCTGGCAGATGGCCAGCGAACCCTGGCTAGATAATGCCAAGACTCCGAACAACCAGTCAGGGATCTAGATTAACAGCATCTATATTCGTCCTTCATTATCACCACACATCTTACAGCCATAGTATTCTCGGTGAGTAGACTTCCGAGAAAATGACCTCTATTAAGTGCCACTCTGCTTATAAAGCTTACCTTCTAGCGCATTACTACAATCGTTGTCTGTATCACGTCAGGTAGAAAGCAGAGTATTTATTAGTCGCATAGTCGTCGCCCATCTCGACATGTATCTTAGACCACCTGCACTTGACCATCAGTAACATAATATCTCTAAGCCACAAAATCGCGTCTCCAAAGTCCTACATCATGTCTCATTTAGCAGCCGTCGTTTCCGCACCCAAGGCTCCCCTAGAGGTCCAGGAGATCGAAACACCTCAACCTGGGCCCGGTGAGCTCCTTATCAAAAACGAGCTCATTGCACTCCTGCCAATTGACGCGAAGATAGCGAGATTCGCAATGCTTCCTATCAAGTACCCAGCTGTTCTCGGCAATTCATTTGCCGGCACCGTCATTGGAGTTGGCGCCGATGTTACCGGCTTTGAAATTGGCGACAAGGTTGCCGCGGTCAAGGCGGCCGGGACTACCGGGAACAAATACAGCGCCTTCCAGAGATACGCGGTCAGTCGCGCGCTTACGGCTACCAAACTACCGAGCGATGCCGCCCTCGACACTGCAGTCCGCCTGGTGGGTAACTTGGCCACCGTTGTTGCTCTGCTCAATGCGAGTTTGGAGCTGGTAAGACCCAGTTCCGGCATTTCAGCACAACTCCAAGGCAAGAAAATCTTGATATACGGAGGGACTTCCAGCGTAGGTAGTCTGTCGGTCCAGTACCTCACGCAAGCTGGGTATGACGTCGTCACAACTACCTCCCCCCGACATGAGGCTTTTGTATCCCGTCTCGGCGCCTCTCAAGTCGTCGACCACACCCAGCCCTTCGAGACGACTATCAACGAGCTCGTTGAGGCAGGCCCTTACGATATTGTTGTCGATTCCATCTCGAATTCGGAGACCATCAAGATCACGGGAGAAGTTCTTGCAGCGCAAGGAGGAGGAAAGATTTATGCACTGCAGCCCGCGTTTGCCCCTGAGGCCCTGCCTGCTGGTGTGACCCGTAAATTTGAGAGTTGGCCGCTGCTGCTGGGCAAAGAAGAGCACGCAGAGTTACTCGAGTGGACCTTCGGCACATACTTTCCGCAGGCTCTTGCCCATGAGAGTCTGATCCCTGTCTCCGCGAGAAAGATCCCTGGCGGACTTGCCGGATTGGACCACGCATTGAACGTGCTGATCAAGGGAGTCAGCAGCGAGAAATTGATTGTGGACCCTTGGGAATAGAGATATGAGATGTATGGTACAACTACGAGGTTTCTATTTCTCTATAGCTAGGAAGTTAGTCTATACTATGAGTGAGGAATAAGGATGTATCTAGTATCCATTGCTTTTTTAGGGAAATAGGTCCTAGTATATCTTCGGCGGCTATAGTATCCAGAAGGTAATAAGTCATAACTAAGGTTCATTGTCTTGTATACTCTCAGACTCAGTCTATAGTTAAGTAAACCGAGAAGGCAGAGAAAAACGTCTTGCTGTCATTAGATACCGCTCTTGGTGTTTAACCTGGTTGATCTTTATGGAAAATACCAGCTATTATGGATTGCCTGCACAAATTCCAAACACGAGCTGTGTACAGTAACAGCTGTATAAATGATGATATAGGAGTTTCTATATTACAGAACTTTCCCTGATACAGTCTAGTCAATCTTGGTCTCGGGGGCCAAGAGACAATTAGAGTGTAGGCGGCTAAGCCCATCCGTCTTTGCATTTAGCTTTGTAAGGCGCGACTAATTGGACTGATCGCAGCATAGTAACATTAGTGCAAAAGTTTGTTTGGAGTCGAACCCCATCTGTGGCTCGGTTGTTGATTCAGCTTAGTGAAACGTCTACCCTGACCAATAATTATCAATCCATGACTGAACCTTTTCGACAAGTGAGCATGCGTGACGTATCCCAGAACACAGTACGAAATGTGGCATTTTGGGAGGAAATATCTGAGCAGAAAGTTTATTGTCGTCACGACCTCACGTACTCAGAGCGGAATTAGTCTCATTCGACAGGTGGAGGTAATTATTTAATTATTCTATAACTTTTCAGAGAGTACAGCCGTTCAAGGTCAGAATATATAACTTTAAATAACTGCCCCCTTCAACTTTCTGAGATCTTAAAAATAAGCTAGACATATTAAAAAGAATATAAAGTTGTGAAAAGGCCCCACAAGAAGTTGTATAATATATTGCATTCAATATAGTGCTTAGGGTTTGCTCTCTTATTTGCGACACTCACTTAACTACTGAACAGGTTAGTTGGTTAACCAAGGTAAATTCCGCTTAATAAGTGGCATCGGAATTCAGAATAGCGAGCTCCGGATACCAGATAGCGATGACCATTTCTTATTGCGGAGATGCTTCGCAGATTTGATTTCTAAGGCACTATGGTCATGTCTGAGCTATAAAGCCAATACCCTACGCACCCTCTCTCATTCATTCCTTCCATCCACTGTCCTGTTCTTTTATCCTGCATTTGATATGTTCAAAACGATACTTGTCACTGGTGCGACTGGGACGCAGGGAGGCGCAGTAATCAGGGCGATTGCTGCGCTTCCTAGACCCCAATTCACCATACTCGCTTTGACCCGAGACATTAATTCCCAAAGCTCAAAGAATCTGGTCAAGAAGTACCCCTCGGTTAAATTGGTTACCGGAGACCTCAATACACCTGATGACATATTTAAGTCGATTGACTCTCCAGTGTGGGGTGTTTTCAGCGTTCAGACTCCATTCGGCAAGGCCGCAAGCATGGAATTGGAGGTGACACAGGGGAACGCTCTGCGATCATTTGGTCGAACAACACGATCCGGTGGCTTTCTTTTATAGATTGATTACAGATATAGTAACAGCATCCTACATCAGGAGGGTTCTAGTATCGAAAGGCTGGTCCACATAGAGCGCTCAATAGAAGACCAAAGAGCAGAAGGCCGAATTGTGAGGGCCCTGTCTAGATGTTGACCCGACTCAGGTTGAATTCAATCTCGACCGGTGAATCCACAATACTGTATTGAGCTTGGTATCTTCGCGAACTGGCTTTAAAGGGAAAGTTCCAGATGTGGGCCTAATGGGCAGCTAATTTATACAAAGGTAACACGACAGCGCGTGACGTTTCTGGGCAACCGTTGACAGAAAATCGAGATGCGTGTGGTCCAGTCCCACGTAGAAAGTTAAAATAATTAAGTTTAATAGTACGTGCTTTTCCTAGCCTTTAATGGCGTTTACCATCCCTCCTAGGGAAAACCCCTGTTTCCTAGTTTGGCCAGATCGCGAACCTGCTAGCCTTCGGAGGTCGAGAAGACCCATCTGACCCACCATCTTCGACCACAGGGTAACGAAGAACTTTTGCAGCATAAGGGACAATACCCCGAGAACTGACCGAGATTAAATGATAAAGTCAGCTTTATTTTCTCTTGCATCTTGGAAATATACGCTAGCAAGGCCTCTTTCGATGGGACCGTCAATTCTCTCCTTCGCCTGTCCGAGGAAGACAAGAAACCCCCACGGGTTACACGAAGAAGGTGCAAAATTTACAAAGTCCCTTTTTGTAACAATGGCGTTGCTGGCATATACCTCTCTCAGATTATACCGCTGGAGATCAGAAGGCTATGGAACTGCCGACTGAGTTTGAGAAATGGGAATGCTCAAGTTTGGAAAAGACGATCAAAGGTAAAATAGAAATACACAACTCTACAGGCAGCAATTCAAACACATTTAACCGTCTCTCACTCGCCGTCTTTTTTCGATTTTTTTTTTTTTTTTTTTTTTGCCCTGATTAATAATTTCAGAAACAGGAAGCTGGGGATACGTCATTGACAATGGAGTCGCCGGCATATACCCCTCGGCTTGTGCCGACTGATACTACGGTATACAGGATAACCAGGCCATTGAAACCATCATCCTAGAAGCAGTCGCCATCCTTTTTGCAGCATGTGATGTAGCCAGAAAGACGGATTGCCGTTGTCCTGTAAGCCCCACAGTTCTCGAGGAGTCTGGCCACGTGGAGATTTGCAGGTAGCCGGTTAAGGGAGTACATGGCTCGTAGTCTCTGCAGAACATGGCCTCGCAAACCGCTGTCTGTACTTTTCAGCTCCGATCCAGCAGTGAGCAGCGGAAGGGACTGGAAGTTCAAATGATTTGAGGCCATGGGAATCTCGAGGAGAAGATGCACTGTTTCTACTGCATAATGATGGATCAAAGCCTCCAAACTAAACTCCTCCAAATCCGTATTAGTAAACAACCCATTGGATCCACTGGTTCGGTAAAGAAAGATGAGGCCATGCTTGCGAAAAGCCCCGTATAACCGCTCCAGGGAAGAGTTAGCAGAGCACGCGTCACAGTTCAAGAGCTGCTGCTCTAATGAAGCCTCGCGAGTGGGATTGGGCGGTGAATGGAGGACCTGCCGAGAGTAACGACCCACATCCGCCAATATGAAGAGAAGCTCTGTGCAATACCCGTACATTGGATGATGCCAGCGGCCCATTCTTCGGACCGCGATAGACAAGTCTAGTGAGTTGAATTCCTGTTCTTCATCTGGGTCCACAAGGAAAGAAGTGCACATATCCCAGTAGATATACATCCCGCAACATAAACGGGACAGGCTGTCATATTCCAGAAGGTTAGAGGTGTGCTGGAGGAGTTTGCCGATCAAAATGCGTGCTGCAAATAGGTGTTGTTTTCCAAAATCAGCCATGTCATCGTTGGCTCCGTGCGACAGTCCCAGTAGCATAGCAGTAAGAAGAGATGCTTGTGGTGTTGTCTCCAACCGGTCCATCTCCCCTCGAAAGGATTCTAGGGCTTTGCCTCTCTCTTCCAGGGCAATGACTGAAGCCTGTGCAGAAGAATATTGTTCATGGCGGGCGCTGACTGACTGGATTATACGTACCAGTGCGCATGACTTTGTAATATATTCCAAGATTGGAAACGAATAAGGATTGTTATTTGGCTCAAGGACGATAATTTGGCTCACTCTTTCCAACCAATATTGGAGGAGTCGTCGGTTGACAATATCGTCCATGGGTGACGAGATCCAGGGCACCTTATATTGCCATGTCGTCAAATGTGAGGTCGAAGAGCAGAGCAGCCCCTGGCGCCAGCAACGGAGGCACACCGGAAAGATCTCGTCACATTTCACTCGCTTTGCTTTGCATTGTTGACAGCCAAGTTTACTCTTCGATCTCCGCCTTGGATCAGGCAATCCTCGGTGCAAAGTATCAAGGGATGGTGTATGCCCTGGCAAGCAGGTGATTGGCTGGAAACGCACACGGAAGCACCTCATCTTCTCACCTGATGAGGTTATTAAGCCCCGCTTCTCGCGCAATTATCTGCCAGGGTAACTTGGATGTCCTGTGACACAGACTTTGGCAGACAAAGCGCTTGGATAACCTTTAACTTCCCGACGCCCCGAATTTCCTCATCTGGTTACAGATAAATAAGCACGCTAAAGGGGCTCCGGTTATAAAGAGAGAAATATCCGCTCGCTGAGTTTGACAGCCATCCATTTAAACCGGAAGGAAAAAAATGGAATCCTTAAGTTAGGCCCTACCCTGCATTATAAACTTTGCAGCCGAAAAAAGCTCAATATCGGGCGGTGGGATGAGCCTTTCGCGTTGTGGCCCAGAATGGCAAGTTCACAGGGTATTTTACCAAAATACCCGAAAAATCACGACACTTGGTACCAACTATACCATACAAAAGTGTTTATTACTGTTAGTCATCGAGGTCCGTATCCACGGATCCATAGATTTTTAAAAACGCGGGGTTGTCATTTGTCATTTTAGTTCTCAACATCGATCATTCATACCGTACATTGTTCTTACACTAGCTTTCCGTCAGTTATAAGCACGGAAACGTTCTATTAAAAGCTCTATTTGAATAAGATTAACCTCGCTATCGCCGAAACTAAGGCTGGATATTGACACTACATCTTCAATTGCCTAGTGCCGAAGTAACCCCTAAAACAACCTCTAAACCCCCCAAATTAAGAATCGGAATTCTATCTATAAAGGACAACGAATATATAACAATACGACTAAATACCTCTCGGTAGCTTTATCCTCTCGCGTTATATGAAAAGAATATAACGACTTACTATAAAATACAGCACCCGGTTGGTATAAAACAAGAAGAATATCTTACATTAGATAGGTCAACGAGATCTACATTGACAGACCTCTTACCGGGGGTGGTACGCCGTAATGCAATAAAACTGCAACCCCGGCACTAAGCTTGTTCCACGTCCGACTAGCGGTCTAGTAAAGGTTCACATATATCCTAGCGGACACCACGATTGATTATTACCAAAGAATACCTCGGCGCACTGACCATGGAATCTCCTGGGAACGATGTAATTGACCTCTTTCGGGGTCACCCAAACCCAGGCTTGTTGCCGATGGACGCCCTGACGGCGGCCTCGGCGGCGGTCATGGCCGACCCCAAGATCCAAGCGGACGCGTTAATGTATGGCCCCGATGAGGGTTATACGCCACTGCGACAACATGTGGCCCAGTGGTTGACGTCTTTCTACCAGCCGCCTGGGCCTATCCCGGCTGAGCGGATCTGTATCACGGGCGGTGCCAGCCAAAATCTGGCGTGCATTTTGCAAGTATACACGGATCCGGTCTACACCCGCAATGTGTGGATGGTGAACCCCACGTATTTCCTGGCGTGCCGGATGATGGACGATGCCGGGTTTACTGGTCGAATGCGCGCAATCCCCGAGGACGAGTCCGGAATTGATTTGGCGTATTTGCGTCGAGAATTGATCGCATCAGAAGCAAAGGCGATTGAAGAAGGCAACCTGAAGCCGGTACTGTCGATCCAAGAAGTGAAACGGGATGTCATTGGGAATCATTGAGCTGACGGTTCATAGACCCATAAACCTGCTCGACCATGGGGTAAGGTATACAAGCATCTGATCTATGCAATCCCAACCTTCTCAAACCCAGCCACCCGGACGATGCCATTGTCGGAGCGAGAGCAGCTAGTTCGGCTGGCGCGGGAGTTTGACGCGCTGATCATCACGGACGACGTATACGACTTCCTCCAATGGTCGCCGGATCTTACACAACAGCTCCCAGCGCCCGGTCGCGCGTGCCACCCGCGTCTGGTCGACGTGGATCGATACCTCGACGGGGGCCCCCAGGACGAATGGGGTCACACCGTCAGCAACGGCAGTTTTAGCAAGTTGATCGGGCCGGGAACACGCACAGGGTGGGCCGAAGGGACGGAAAAGATGGCCTGGGGTATATCACAGGCGTAGGTCTCCCCTGTCTTGCTGAGGGTATGGCTAGACCATCACGATCGCTGAAAGACTAACTTTGTTATTACTAGCGGCTCGAGTCGGTCTGGAGGGGCCCCATCGCACCTCGCCGCCGCGATCATTGACCAGCTCTTTCGAACTGGGGTGTTCCAACAGTACTTGGAAAAGAGCTTGCAGCCGATGTATGCGAGAAGATATCACCGTCTGATGGGCGCCATCCGAGAACACCTACTTCCCCTCGGGGTTACCCTTCCCCCCCAGCCCAAGGTGGCGGGTGGCTATTTCATCTGGGCTCAGCTGCCATCTCCATTATCAGCCAATGCGCTGGCACCCATTTCCCTACAGGGACATGGAGTGAAAGTGGCCACGGGGGGCATTTTTCAGGTTGAGGGGGATCCTTCGGCTGACCAAGCGGACCTAGACCGCTACATTCGACTCTGTTTCGCCTGGGAGGACGAGGGTCGACTGACGGAGGGAGTTTGTCGGCTAGCATGTGCGATGCGAGAGATATTGGGGAATGCGGTGTAAGGGTGATACCTGGGTCCCGAAGGATTTTCCTCGTACATCATGTAATAGAGCAAGGGCATCTTATGTTAGCAAATATACAGTGCTCTATTAATTGGCACGTTTCCTCGTATATCACAGAATTACCAATATACTGCCATCTTTGCCAGAATAGTATATAAATGTCACTAGAAGTCCATTTTGTCCCCCCTTTCTTTACTCACGGACACTTTTAACGACGCCGCACTATGTTTGTTTCCATCCCATACTCGTTGCGGCCAATGCAGTCTCCATATGGTTCCATATCTCGGCCCTCTCTTCCAGCCCAATGGCAACTCGTACAATGGTTTCCTCCAGCCCATTTCGTCTCGCCCAGTCCTTTTGCTTCTGCAAAACCATTTGTACATAGGGTAGGGCAATGGTTACATCTACCCCGAATGACGGACCTTTGCAAACATGAAAGTTATTGAAGAATAGGGTGGCCGAAGGCACATCTTCAAAGCGAATGGTAAATAAACAGCCATATCCAGGGATGAAGTCTGCGGTGGCTGGTCGCATTTTCTCACGATAGTTCTCCACCGACCAACACACGGATGGATAATAGACGGCAGCAACTGGACTAGCCGGATCGTCGACCAAGGAAATGAGACGGTTGACCAGGTAGAAAGCAGTCTCGTTCGTTCTGGCGGTGCGAGAAAGAAAGTTTCGACTGTTTATCTCTAGTTGAATGGCATCTTTCACGTAAAGTGTGTTGACATAAGATGCAGATAGTCGGCCGTGTAGCTCCGTGTAGTAAACCGAGTTGGGGTTGAGGATTACGCTATAAACCGTATTAGTTCCATCCGCAGAAATAAATAAAATTATACAGGATTTACCTCCCAGCGAGAACGTCGCCATAGCCATTGAATGATTTCGTGAGCGATGAAATAACGATATCTGCGACATCAAGAACATCGACATTGGCAAAACTCCCGATTGTCTCATCAACGACCACAACCAGGTTATGTTTGTTGGCCAGCTGTCTCACCCGGCGGAAGTTGACGGTCCGCAGCAACGGATTTGATGGGCATTCACACCAAATGGCCTGCACTTTGCGACCCTCCGGCGGTATCTGTTCCAAGTGCGATGCCAGCTGGTCGAGATCTGCATCAGTCCCAAGCGAGTAGAAATGCAATCCCGGTCCATAGGTCTCCATCATTTTGATTGTGAGTTCGTATGAGAAACCTAGGATTGCAGTCTCTCCCGCTCGCCACTTGAGGAGGAGCTGGTGAACGTGGTAGATGCTTGACATACCCGATGGATAGAGGAAAACGTCGGAGTTGGTCACGTTGTTCGGCCTCGGGAGCGTCGGTACTGTGCGCTCGACTAGGCCAGCGATTCTCGAGCGCAGAGCATCATAAACGGGATGGAGTGCTATCGGCGAGGGTCTGGTTCGAAATAGATCGAACGGCATGGGCCGAAGGTCAACTTGTTTTCGTAAACAGTCCTCCGCCTGTCGAGATGAGAGGCCGGTTCCGGACAGTCTCCAGAATGCCGCCGCCAATACAGCGGCATTTTGGGGATAAACAACGGCATAAAGGACGTCAGTCGCTTGGTCGTGACAGTTGGGTCCTGGATGCGGGAGGGCCTCAATGAGATATAAAAGGATAGATGAAGGACGAACATCAGCCTGCTTATCCCCCTTGGCTGTTAGAATGTAGTCCCTGCAACGACTGGCTGCTGTAACACTGCCGAACAACATGACCGAGTCGTGAGCGTGTTTCTGGTGTAGTATATCCCTACAGCGAATGGACAGCTGCTGGCGCCACAAGCGAACTCAATCAGCGCCCGTTGTCCGCTGTTTCGTTGACCCCTCTGGTTTTTAGCTTACTTACAACCTTGACGCTCTTGTGCACAATTGATCGAGGATATCCATATTGGAGGGCCGCAAGCATTTGGGTGTCACCTAGCCCGAGGCCAACAATGTCCTTCCATGTCTCCAGTTGCACTGATACTGCATGGGGTCTACTGGGGACGGGTTCGCCCAGAGATGGCCGTTGAGACACTTTCATGATCGGAATTCAGCTCCTCGAATTTTGTGACCTGAACCCCGGATGCCATGATCGAGTATGAGTATAAACGCACCAACCCTCGAAGCGGTCAAGGAGTTGGTCATTCTGACCGCTCGGTTAGTGTGAGTTATGGTGAAAACAGGGATATCACGCGCAAGTCAAGCCCTTCAGCTCTCCTCTTCCGTGATCCCAAGGCTAGGGTGCATGAAGTAGATCTATTGGACACATAAATGCAGACCTGCAGACTTGAAGTGCGTGCATGCATAAATCGGTCCCATCGTCGGCTTTGCCATTCATTAGGCTACCTGTCAGTTCTTCACCGAGTTCTCCAGGTGTGATGACGTGGCAGATTTATTGCTTCTCCTGCATGGGACTATCAATTTAAAACTAAGCGTATTATACGCATCATCATGTATACCCGCCCCGGCAAATGGGGAGGCACCCATGGCCGCAATAGGCTCTGAATGTTCAATAGTCAAACGCCATTGTCAATCCGAGCTCTTCTTTTCTACCAGTAATCATTGCAATCCATGCCCATCACACGACTATAACTTAAACTGGTCCTTTAGACATGCTCCCAGATCATCGACGGTAGGTCCCCGTTTAGCAAAGTCAGAGAGCTTCTGTGTCAACTCCCGAAGACCGGTGAGATCCTTTGCGGCCACTGTAATTGTCGCCAAGCTCGCCTCCCTTGCATGCACCCATGCAGTTACTAAGACACATCCCCGACGTAAGTCGGTGGCAAAGTGTCGCTCAAACGCGGGTCGTGTACATTTCAGTCTATGAGTCGCCAGGGCTGCCGCCTCAAAGAAACCCCGACGAGTGAAATGGCCACGCAGCGGGCCTAAATGATAGGTCCCGGTGATACGTACATTCAGGTCCACCACGAGCTGAGTCCCAGATTCGTCAGTCATGACATCGACTCCGGCAGGACCAAAATATCCGCTCCGATGAAGAAAATGACCCACAGCGTCCATCGTGTTGCGGTATTGGCGCTCCAGCCTCGGTTGATCATGGTAGGAGATCAACCCACCGGACCAGCAGAATGTCTCATCAACCTCCTGCTGGGTACAAGAATTGAAGATCACTTGCCCTGATTTCGTAACAAAAAACGTGAGTCCGACGGTCTCTCCGGAAACCATCTCTTGCAGGATGAGGTTGCATGGTCGAAGGGATTCATTGGTAGGGTTCAATGCCAGGAGCATCGATTTCACTTCGTCAACGAAGATAGTATTCACTGCTGTACGATCGGCCTCGGTTCGTACAACGAAGGTTCCTTGACCGGTACTCGTCACCCGAGGGACTTTTAGCACGTAGGGCAGGGGATGCTCGCGGATTGACCGTGTCATCCGCGTAGCCTCCTGTCGGATCTCCATAGCGGTCCATGGCCGGCGGGGAGAGTGAAGAGTGTCGATGACGGCAGTTCTAGGAGTAGGGAGGCCTGATTCGGCAAGCCCACGCTTGGAGAGCAAGTTGTAGTGTGTGCTGGGATCGATCAAGTGTGGCAGATGAGCCACCCAGTCTAGCGGGACCATGACGGCCAGCTGCGCCGTCCTATCGAGTGCGAGATTCGCCAGGTCATGCGTGTACGTTGGCAGTGGCCGCTGATTTGCCTGCAATTGACCGAAGACTCGGGAAATGGCCTCATGGCCACGTGAAATAGGTGATGCATGGTCTTGGTGGGCGCCGGGCTCAAGGATGAGAAGGGGCATCGGACCAGAGCAGAATCCAAACCGTTGCGCTGTAACATGAAACAGCGTCTGTGCCAGTTCATCTTTTTCGACAGCTGGGCATAATGGTGATTGCACGGGAAACCGCGTGAGTGCAGGTGTATCTGGTGCAAGTTGAATATGAGGAGGTGGTGCGTAGGCGTAGAGCAACCAGATGTCGTGGTCCTGGTTGTCTGTACTGTATAGATCGTGAAGGGTGTAGTCCAAGACAACAGACTCGGGAGCATTCATGATGGTCAGGTGGCTGGCCAGCGAAATTCCAGCTCTTGGTGGGAATGTTGAAATATTTACACCGTACTCCCAATGGATTGACCGCTATTTGAGCCTGATGACCGGGCATGCGGGTCCCACTGCTCTATTTTGGAATAAAAGGCTGCAGCATCCTCGATCAGGGACACTGTTCCTGCCCGGTTATGGAATCGGGCTTCTATTCGCAACTATGTCATCCATATTCGCGCCATCGCGTCGCTCGCTACGATATAGCGGGCCTGACTCACTCGCCGACGTTAACATTATCGTGGACGACGACATCTATCATCCGGTATCAAACCCCGATGGGATTATCAACTTGGGCACCACAATAAATCCTCTCATGTCAGACATTGTGGATGAGTTCCTCAGGACTAGATACAAGGTTCATTCCGAACTAGGTATGACAACTCGCCTTCATCCACCATACTGCTAATAACTATTGCAAGCCATCATGTATAACCACACTAGCGGGTCGCCCGCCCTTCGAGCTACTGTTGCAGACCTCATCAATCGCCACTTTACTCCGTCCAAGGAGGTTCAACCTCAGAATGTCATTGCAGCCAATGGACTCACGGGTTTGATTAACTCGCTCGCCTACACCTTGCTGGAGGACAACGAGTCCATCTTGATGCCGACTCCGGCATATAACCTATTGGTCACAGCTACAGAAAAGCGAAATGACATACACTGTGTATTTGCGGATACGGAAGATATCGACCAGTTTTGTTCCACGGATATTGATGACTACCTTGCGGCGTTCTCGGCTGCTATTGATCAAGCATCTGACAGGGGGAATCCGGTCAAGGCGATTCTGTTGTGCAATCCGCATAATCCGCTGGGCAGGTGCTATGAACGAAAGGTTTTGAAAGCTGTGCTAGAGTTCTGCCACCGGGGACGGCTTCACTTGATTGTGGACGAGATATATGCACTTTCTGCGCTGGACGGATCGTTCTGTAGCGCACTAAGCCTGGAGGCACTGCCAACGGATAATGTCCATGTTCTCTATGGAATAAGCAAGGTACTGTCTGTAAATTTAATCTTGAGCATCGTTAATCAATATTAGGACTGGGGATTTAACGGGCTGCGCCTTGGTTTCATGATCTCACGGAATAAGTTGGTATTGGACACTATGAAACAGGCTGTTGGGTACTGCATTTTGTCGCCCATGCCACCTACCGAGACAAGCTGATACTAATCAACATAGGCGCTTCACCCGATTCTCCTCATTATCGGAACAGTTTTACATCGACTACCTCTCGGATACGGCGTTCATCGACGACGTGTATCTTCCTACTCTTCGTAGGCGCATTCGAGCGACCAAGTCCGTGGCCGAGTCCTTTTTGTCTGATGTACACATCCCATACACACCCTCCTGTGCTGGATTCTTTCTTTGGGTCGATCTCCGCCGTTGGATTTGTCATTTTCCCGCGACGGATGATCAGGAAACTCCTGAGATTCAACTGGCGCACCATCTGATCCAGCACCGCGTGTTCCTTCAGCCGACAAAGGTGAGACCGTGATAATTTCCCGCCGGTCTTCCGCCACTAACGGTATAGGCCTTTGTCACGAAGCAGCAGGGTCATTTCCGCTTCTCATACAGCCGGGACCAGCCGGTGCTACAGGAGGGGTTACGTCGGCTGGGGACAGCATTAGCTGCACTGGAGCCTCCATTGGGCCATAAACATCGGCTGTGACGAAGTAATACACGGGTTTGGAGTAGGTATCGTTCGACTATTTTCATTGTGAAAGACATTTGTATTGTAGTAAAGCGCTACAGAGTAGTGACAGTCACAATTTACTCGCAGACAGTCCCCTCTTCGCGATTAGTCGGGCTCTCACTTTCTCCCTACCTCTGTCTCGCCAATCACCCCAGCACATGGCGTAGTTCATTGTATCTCGACCATGATCAGATGGATTCCCATGCGGCGGCGTACCTCGTCCGTTACTTCGTTTGCCTCTTCGCGGGGCATCCACGAAGTCTCCATGCCATAGTCGTTCCTCTTCGAATCGTAGTCCAAGCCACAACGCCGCGTTGATACTCGGCTGGTTTTCTTTCGAGGTGATCATCTCCACACGCCGCAGTCCGAGGCCCCCCTACGCGGGGTTAGATCTACATCCGGTTGGGTTGTGCGGAAGCCTGGTGACCACGTTGACTACCGAGGTAGCGCTTCTTACTCTAGCCGAAGTAGGCAAAGCTATATAATAGTAGCGCCGAGTCTTTACTATATTAGGCTTCTAGCCCGATTACCTGTTATCCATTATATATGATAACTAGCAAACTATCAATTTGCTAACGAAGGAGGGGCAACGATATATACGAAGCTCCGGTATATTAATATTAATCGATACTAGATAAAGTAAGAAGTTAGCGAGGGTCGAGTCAATATAAACTAGATTCTAACTACGGCTATACCGGTAGGTATGCTTACGAAAGCGCTTCCTAAGTAGAGGCCGCATCTCTTCAGAGAGCTAATTAGTATAAGAGGGATCAACTATCTTATATACAAAGTAGAGGCTATTTAAAGAGTGTAGAAATAAAAAAATTCATAACTCTTAAAGCTACCAAAATATAGGCTTTACAAAAGTGTATATTACAGTTAGTCATCGATGTCCGCACAGATTGTTGAAAAAGCGAATTTTGTCAATTTAGTTAAGAGTTGTCCACATTGGTCATCTATACCATACATTGTTCGTACACCAGCTTTCTGTCAGCATACGTAAAATACATCCATTAATCAGCTACTTTATGCGTGCCAAGTCTGTATTTATGCACAGAAATGGGCTTTGATGGGGGCCTCATGGGCCCCCATAAATGGGCTGTGGGCTAGGGGTTTGGGCCTATTTGTGGGCTATCTTGAGGTCTACTCATGAGTCATGACTGCTAGTCTTGACCTGACTCGGAAACCTTTGCTTATCGTCAAACATAACCTAGGGTATGCATCGAAATCAAATTGTATGCCTCAACTTCTACTCTACAGATCACTCTGCTTTCGACCTACCTTTCCAACCAAATAGATCTGACCTCTGAAAATCCAACCAGAGATATTACTTCGAGCTAACAAGAATTCAGTTAACTTTGTAATTTCTCAGGGAGCCTCGTTGCTACCCTGCCCTGATCTCGTTCCGAGCATACTTATAGTTCTGTGAGTCTTTTTTATACAGTGTCTGTAGTAATTTTCAGGCCTCATGGGACTCCGATGACATGCCCTTGGACTGGAAAGACAAGAATGAAGAACGTGCAAGTATAGCGGATCTATAACAGCACTGTGGAAGGGTCTGTTTCGAAGGCACACGGATCAATGTGTCGGATCGCAAGACGTCCGTTCACGCTAGTACTGAGGGAACCAACCATGAGGTGCTTGATTGATTGAGCTAATAGACCACTGTTAAGAGGATCTATATCTATACTAGTCTTGGCGTAATACAATCGGTATCCCGAGTTAATCCGGTTTACCATACGAAGCGAAGACCGCGTTTAAATGGCCGCTGAATAAGCCGCACTTAGTGGTAAAGTACCACACCTCAGTTCGACAACAAACTACTCCACGGTTGCATCTCCAGGACCACCCCTCAACCAAGGTAAGACCTTTCCACCCCAGTATTGCCGCATCTTGTACTGTCCAAGACCCTCTGGCATGGACTCGATGGCGTCGGCAAGGGCATTTCCTTCTCCATTTGCGCGCAACTCGTCAAGTCTAGTCATGTAGCTGCGGACAGTGAAAATGATTGCTCGGGATTTGGGCAGAGCGGTCAATGTCTGATGCTCAGCGCGGAGGTAGCATTCAGTCAGAGGAGGGCTGTACTTTTCGTTATCGACGACTTCCTCTTTTTCTGGGTAAAAGTTGTTGCCGTCGGTACGAAAGAGGTCTGCGCCGTCGACTTGAAGAGACCACTGGTGGTTGTTAGTGAGATATAGACTGTTGAATTTGAAAAATAGAGCTTACGTTCATACGTCCGATGAACTGACCCGGTTTCATGCGAGAAAAGTATCGGTCCACACTGGCACCTAACTTCTTATCGTAACCAGGAACAGGCTGGTGAATCTCCCTAACTGACTCGCCGACTCTCGCAGGGCTCAAAAAACCACCAGGAAAACAAGCAATGTATCCACGGAGACGGAACTGTCCATCAGGATCGGGACACATGAAGTAGAAATCCTCCTCGACATTATCAGAAAGGTAGCGGAGCATAACAGCGGGAGTGAGACCGGCCGTGGTGAACGGGTAATTTGAGCCAGTTGCGAGGTTTTCGACAATATTGCCGCATATCTTGAACATGGTTGGGAAGCGCTGGGGGAGGTACTTAATCATGATCTCCTCGTAGAGTTCTTCAATGGCCGGATCCACGATCTTGCCTGTTCCGATGGTGAGTTCTGGCTTGTCTTCAACGAGACCGCGTCGTTCTTCGAGTCGTTTCAGATAACCGGAGTCAATTCGAATCCAATTGGAGCGAGATTGTTTTTGGATCCCTAGTTCGTTAACATTGGCCGGATGTGCAGGATGTGAAGACATACCCATGGTAACATGGCCCTGTGTTCTATATGGCTTGTAATCAATTGGAGGGGTTGTTTTGAAGTCAAAGTCTTCCAGAGGCTCAACAGCATAAAAGGGATCAATCTTCGAGCCAAAGACGGACGAGACGATGCCATTATCCTATTGGAGTCTATTAGAGCAAATCCAGCTGACCCAAGCTTTGGCAACATACAGCAGACTTGCCACTGAACCTTTTCGAAACAGCCTTGACGGCCACCAAGCCCAGAATGAGCAGCAATAAGGATGAAATGATACTTTCCATGGCAGAGGACAAATATAATGACTTGATGTTGGAATGACAGATGGGCAACTGAAGCTTGATAATTATACCTCCATCTTTATCCCCGCCCTCAATGGCTATAGGCTATATCATGAACCCGCATACTGCACTCCAAACGGCCCGCATCCACAAGGTAGTATGAGCAATTTGTAAGACAACGATGGCGATCACCGATATCGGTAAGAAGCCAACACAGCCTCTCTGCAATGAAATAGCGTACGCCAACAGGTCTGAGACTTCGTTGTGATGGTATGCAAGGCTACGACAATGACTGCAGGCTTCGCCGGATCTATAGACGGAACTACTTGCGGGGTAGATGACTATCATCATTCAAAAATGATTACTCCAACTCTGATTAGACGAAATGTGACTGGCCCATGGGGACTGTGGATTCTGTAACCGGTAATAGTGGTGGCCAGCTAGCATAACAATCAACGGGGCTACCTAACTAACGTGTTTCAAATGCGAATGGATCACATAAGCAAGTAGATCAACCCAAAACACCATTTCGATTTTCTTGAGATTGATATATCGTATTAAAGATGCATATTAATTGCTATCGACAAGTAATGAAACGGAGTAATAATATGGTTGTTGGGATATCAAGTTGTACTCTATCATATCTACTATGTGTTTTTGGGGTGGCCACTCGCTTGTGAAATACGTTATAGACCAATGTTATTAATACATTAAGTTGTAATTTATCGCATTTACTATGTGTTTTGCGGTGGCCGGCCCGGTGATGTGGCCGGCTCGGTGGTGAAATACGTTAATACTTACTTGCTGCTTATGCAATTATTGCACAAATCAATCAATAAGGTTCAATAAAGTTCAATAAAGTTCAATTAACCTGTTGCAGTCTAACTAATTTTATTGCTGTGCAGAAATACGTCACCAACAGTGTCTCACAAGCTCCACAACGGCCGGAAATTAGTACATTCAAGGATAACGATCCTGCAGGATTGATCTACAATCCGGTGAATAGATTAGTGGAGATGTCTCAGGTTGAATGTACAAGTAGAACGGGGCTGTGAGCCGTGACCGGTCATGGCAAACAGAATACGTACTAATGTCACTGTTTGGGGTTCGGAGATCAAATGCGTCCGAGGAGTTAGAATTGCATACATAGCATTGCAGGTCCACTCGGATGCTTGTGCGTGACCAGGTAGGGCCGAGTTCGGACCTATACAGAGAATCTAGATGTTGGTGTGTTCAGTGTAGTGAGGAGTAGTTGGAGTGTTGGCTGGTTCTTTCTATTTATATGGGTGGTCTAGTAGTCTTGGAGTCGTGTTTGTGTGCTCCTTTTATTGCATTTTTACTTCCGAAGAATTAATTGGACAGACACTACAAATACTGTACCGTCAACATGGTCAACGACTCTAACAATGTATGCATCTGAACATTTCTCTACAAACGATAGTCATCCTAACGCGTCCAGGGCTTTATCAACTCCTTCTCCAGCTATCAACATGAAATCTACGTAGCCGGCACCAAAGGCATCAAGCCCATCATGACAACCAATCCCAACCTGTGGGAAGCTGCCGCGAAGCAAGTGATGGAGCCAATGAATTTTGATTACGTCAAGGGAGGAGCCGGGGCTGGCGATACAATCAGGAAAAACCGCGAGGCGTTTGATAAATGGAGCATCATTCCTCGGATGGTGAGATCGAATACCAAGAGGTCTCTTAAGGTGAATGTTCTTGGCCAGGAATGGCCTACTCCTTTGGCTATTGCGCCTGTTGGTGTGAATAGAATATTTCATCCGTGAGTGTTCCTCCTCATTAGGATTAGATATATTATTGCCTTCTAACTTCTGCAGTGACGGAGAGAAAGGAGTCGCTCATGCAGCCGGCAAAGTTGGCGTCCCATACGTGCTCTCCACCTTTGCATCAGAAAGCCCCGAAGTCGTCGCCCAAGCCCAGGATGAGGCAGCAGGCCATGATAAAAGCATTCGCTGGCTCCAGCTCTACTGGCCCCAATCCGTCGACCACGACGTGACACGGTCTATCCTGCGTCGGGCCAAAGCAGCACGCTACACAGCTCTCGTTATCACAGTGGACATTTTCTCCATGAGCTGGCGTCCTATGGACCTCGACAATGCCTACCTCCCCCTCTACAAAGGCTACAGTACAGCCCTCGGCTTTACCGATCCTGTCTTCCGTCGTAAATTCGCAGAAAAGTACGGCCATGAGGCAGACGAGGATATCCTCAAGGGCGCATTTGAGTGGGAGAATACTATCTTCCCCAATCTAGCACACACGTGGTCTGACCTCGAGTTCCTGCGTAAGGAGTGGGATGGGCATATCCTCGTCAAGGGGATACAGACTGCGACTGATGCTGAAATGGCCGTTCTAGCCGGTGTGGACGGCATTATTGTCTCTAACCACGGCGGGAGACAGTATGATGGTGCATACGGTTCTCTGGACGCTTTACAAGTAATTGCAGAGGCGGTAGGAGACCGCGTCGATGTTTTATTCGATAGTGGTATTCGTACTGGCGCAGATGTGATGAAGGCTCTTGCACTCGGTGCGAAAGCTGTATTTGTTGGTCGACCTGTTATCTATGGGCTGGGTGCAAAGGGGCAAGAGGGCTCGTTGCATGTACTTCGTTGCCTTTTGGCAGATTTAGAGATCAACCTTGGTATTACTGGTGTTCATAATGCAGCGGACTTGAAGCCGAGTGATTTGCGGGGACAACACTTCAAGCCGTCTCTGTAGTTGTCAGATAGGGGCTAATCAAGATTTAGCTGGCAGCTAATAGACATAATACATTTGTAGTATTCTGGTAGCCATCGTAGTTAGACAATAATTTATTTTTGAGTGTTCATCTACTCCTGGGATGAAGTTTCGCACCATAATGATAATTCTAGTTATACCATTTTCTAGCGTAAATAACAGATATATTATTCCACCATAGACAATTTCAGGATCAAAGCCCGTACATCACCTCGCCTTAGCAGACTGACTAAAAGCACTATTCCGCCTAAGATAATCCCCAAAAGTAATAAAAGCAAACGGGATCAAAATCATCACCAAACTTGCAAACCCCAGCAAACTAGTCGCCCAATGAATTCCCAGCCGCGCATACATTGGCGACGTAGCAAGCGGCAACAGCGCACCGGATACACTTCTCATACAGCTCGCAGCACCCAACGCACTCGCCGCATAGGTCCCATACGCGTCAGCGAGATAGTTAATTAGTGCCATGAATATGAGCAGGAAGCCAATACCGAAGGGGATGCCAGACAGCATGGGGACAATCCAATGGATGGATGGCTGGGCGGACCAGGCCAGCCAGAAGAGGGATATAGTATATAGGGGCCCGCCGAGGCAGGCGAGGGGGAGACGGCGATATTCTTCGATACTCACCCAGGTTTTAGCTTGGGATTGGGCGCGTTGGTAGAAAGAGTCGTAGGCGAGGTAAACTATAAAGGATAGGAGAGCACCGATTCCGACTGCGGTTTATTAGCCGTGGATACTTGGTTGATAGGAGAGGACGTACTGGGAATAAATGCTAGACCGCATTGTCCGGTACTGAAGCCGTATATTCCTGCTCATATTAATATCAAGATCAGTCCAGACAGGGCTGCCTGCATACCTTTGAATATGATAGGATAAGCCTCAAAGAAGAGGTAAAATATAGAATATGTCAAGGAAAGATAGACACAGGAGAATAAAACAATTGACTCGGAATAAATCATTCGGATAGGGCGTGTCAACACTCGCGTGACAAGTTCTCGTAGACTGGGAGCAGCCAGGTTCACATCGGCAGATATAATATTATGAATCTCATTATGCTTTCGCAGCAATACAGGACGAAAGGTTTCTACCCAGTATATTAGCAATGGCAAGGGATTGTAATTGAATCACTTACCTGGGAGAAAGATCAGCGCAGGCCATGAAGCTCCAGTGATGATCAACCCGATCCAAAATGTCCACCTCCAACTGATACTAGAGATATAACCAGAGATTAGAGGCCCCATTGTAGGGCCAAGTGTTGTAGCCTATGCATGTAAGTATCTCGACTCCCAATATGGTTAGATGTCTTACAGCCATAAATCCAGCCATCGATCTTCCTCTGGTCTTGGGATCAGAAAAGATATCCGCATACAACCCTCCAACGACTGCAGTTGGTGAAGAAGCAAAGATACCAGAGAATAGCCTGAAGATAACAATAGCCGCAAAATTGGGCGCAACAGCACAGGCGAGACTGAAGATTGTATATCCTGCGAAAGTCCATATCATCACCGGACGCCTCCCATATGTCTCAGACAAAGGACCGAAAATTATAGGCCCGAGAACATATCCGATCAAGTAGGTAGTTATCGGCAGTACGAGCTGTTGCTGGTTCGATATGCCAAAGTCGGCCGCGATGAAATCGATTGCACCGCTCGGAAGGGCGGATCCGAGGGTGCTATTCAAGACTATCACCAAACCAGTGATGAAGACAAACAGCTTTCTTTTCTATCAAGTTGATGTGTTAGCTTGTTTAGCTGCAAAGGGGGTAATGCTTTACTGTCGTCCAACTGTATGGATCGGGATTAGATCCTTCGATCATACTGGCAGAATGGGCAGAGATGCCTTTGAGTTCGTCAGAGCTATGTTGAGGCATTTAGAGACAAAACACGATGCTTCATATTTATAGCACATGCCATTCTAGAAACGATATTAGAAATACCAGCAACAGTACTAGCCAGTCCGATATCGGTGCCTAAATAGGTGGAAAGCGTCAAAGCGTCAATGTCTGAGACTCGCCGATCCCGGACCAGCCAATTCGCTTACATTTTCGATTAGGCTTTGGCTAGTGGCGGCCCGCAACCGGTAGCCCCACCTATTAGGTCCAGTAGTCACGTGTTATATCACGTGTCCCTATTTGATATAGGACCTCTATGATTGCCTTCTGACAGAAAGCTGGTGTACGAACAAGTGTTGGCAATTCTAACTAACTAAAATGACAAAACTAGGCTTCGACAGAACCCATTCTGGGTTGGAGCCCCCAACCCAAAACCTAACCTAACCTAAAACCTAATAGGTTAAATGTAATAACCTAATAATAACCTATTTGAACCTATTTTTATATAAAATATAGGGGGTTATTAATAGTTATAAACTAGTTTTTTATGCAGAGGATTGGTAGTTTAGAACTACACTAACGACTATAGTACTAGTCGTAGGGGATATTAGAGGTTACGTGACCTTATCTATTTACTCCTAATATATTTAGTCTCGTATAGTAGACAGTTCTCTTCCTTTCCTGACGCAATTCAGAGATTTCTAGTGCACTCCTATCTTTACAGTAGTCCTGCTGGCCTTATCTCTAAAAATAACAGGTGAGCATATATATCAACGTGGTTGATGATAGAAATCGGAAGCCATGCTTTCACTGTCCGAATACGGCAGCGCTGCAACATGGCTGCATTAATATCACATATCAGTATGTAGACGTTACATAGGGTGCCCCAACTAATGAGAGAAATAGGGACATTGATCAATCAAAGCCATGGGTGACAGTTTTTATGTTCATGTCGAATTTCGAAAACCAGATGAATGTCCACTGAGATAGCAATAAGTCCAGTACTACACAGCATAAAGACCTTACTATTCAGCACGAGTATAGTAAACAGCTAAAGGAACCGACATAAGAAGCATTTCCAAGATTTGGCTAGAACATTCGGAACCCGGTATTATAATAGAATGATGGGATATATAGATACGAAGAGGATATACTATCTTCGGTTTAGGAGCGCCAAGAATTCCGCTCTGGCCTTCGCATTCGACCGCATGCATCCCAGCATGCAGCTTGTAGTTGTAGTGCTGCCGACCTTCTGGACGCCACGGATAACCATGCAAAGGTGGGAGCATTCCATGATAACAGCGACGCCCCGAGGCTTGAGCGCCTCGGAAATAGCCAGGGCAACCTGCTTGGTCAGGCGCTCTTGAACCTGGAGTCTGCGGACAAACATCATTTCAACGAAATGGACCATTTGGAAAGACCAAGGATGCGGCTATCCTCAATATAATTCATCATGGTCCTCGTGGAAAACAGCTCCATTAACTAGGCCATAAACATTCTCCGCGTAGCCCTTGGTAAAATAGAGCCTGGCATTGGCATATCGCTCTGGTGTCGCACGTAGACCTTCTCTAGCCGATTCTTCACCAATGCATTGAAGAATCGTCCGCACAGCCCGCGCAAGTTTCTGGACTCGTTCTTTATTTTCTCCCTGTGGCGACTCCAACTTTTGTCGTATTTCGAGGCCTAGTGGGTATGGGACAGAAGAGAAGTTTTTGTCAGACTGGGATATGGCCCCCCTAGGCCGTAAACAGGAACCGAGGTTTTTGTTATGGTCTAGTTTATGGTCTAGTGGTAAAATAGGCTGTATTTTTCCCACAGTTTTCCTTGCCATCCCAAGGCTCGCGAGAGCGGCTCATTAAATGCAGGTCGAGAACTAATCAAGAATTAGAAAATAGTTGAGGGAAATGACCAATAGCAGTAATGTTTCCAACAGGCCTTGGTGGTCTCTTATACAATATGCAAATGCAGATGCCTATGTAATGGATTCTATACTGTTGAGTGATACAGTCAGGTTTTGACTAAAATTTGGTCATTTTTCGGCAGGCTGTTGGCTATCAATTTGATCATAGATCATGGTCAACGGGTCGGTCGGGGAAATGATCAAGCCTCACGATGTTCGAGGTCATATATGAACGCTCATTGAGGAAACATATTTCAACCGGGCATCTTTTCCACTTTCGTTGAAAATCTCGGAAACTCGATAAACAGTATTGTAGAACTTATAGCCACCAAAAGAAATGCTCGGAAAACGAAACAAAACAAAAAAAAATGCATCTTCGTTGGTCACAACTTCAAAATTGATTGTTGACAACGTCTGGCCAAGCTTCAACGGGTTGAGTCTGCATCAGGAATAGTCGCCTCTGAGTACTGTGCCACGTGATCAAGCTTACCAGCTGTTGTGGTCCCTAGCGGAGTCTAGGGCCTAGTATATATACCGCTGCAGTGACAATCGGGGGTTCCGATTGTCTCTATGATCTTTTGGCCGAGTGGTTAAATGCTCTTATGTAATCACTTAGGTGCTGGAAGGATTACACTGTGCTGGGCTCCTTGATCTTCTTCTTCTTCGACAACTATTGATATCATATTCTCCCGTCGGTACACGGGTAGTAACTCTGGAATGAACGCTATAAGGCCGTCCATCCCTCGTTTGTCCGCCTTGCTTCGCAAGAAGCCGTTTCCCATGCCTTCTCCGGGACCACCTTTACCGCCCGGCATTCTCGTTGATGAAGAGATCTCGCCAGTGTACGATTCCAAGTACTTCTACCCAGCGAAGCCTGGAGAGGTACTCGCCGATCGTTACCAAACCCTGGTTAAGGTTGGCTGGGGCGTGTTTTCAACAGTATGGCTCGCGCATGATTTGCAAAGGTAGCCTTCAATAATTTCTGTTCAATTCGAAACTTTCTCTGTCTCTAACAAACATATAGGCATATCGAAAAGCCAGAGAGTGTCGTGACACTAAAAATCGCCAATAACAATGCGAGTTCCGCTGGTCATGAGCGCGGGGTTGAAGAGCACATTTCCGCCGCAGACCCATCACACTGCGGCCGCTCACTTATCCGAACATCGTTCGACTTTTTTGAAGTTAAAGGTCCAGAAGGTTCTTATTCGTGTCTTGTGTATCCGCCTATGAGGGAGCCATTGTCCATGTATCAGCGGCGCTTTGACGATAGAAAGATGCCACTACCCCTTATTAAAACATACATTCGTGCTCTTCTTACGGGGCTTGATAATCTTCATAAAGAATACAGGATAGTTTATACGGGTAAGTTCATCCTCGGCCATACATCCCGTCGGTGATACTAAGCCCCGGCGGCCGCCTAGATCTAAAGCTTGAAAATATCATGGTCTCATTCGAGTATCCAACTGTGCTTGCTGATTTCATGAATTCGGAGCATGAAAAATCGATGGCTTTTAAGATTGATTCCACGGGACGGCCAGTGTATCAGTCCCGTAATGACTTCGGGCCACTTAAATGTCTAAGAAGCATACCACAGCTTGTCGACTTTGGCTTAGCAACTAGACTCGAGGAAGACGACGACTGGGGCACTTGGCCTATTCAGCCAGACTACTATCGGGCGCCAGAGGTGATATTGGGTAATAGATGGCAAATGCCTACGGATATTTGGAATCTTAGTGTTCTAGGGCGTCCCGCTTTTCTCAAAAGTTGTTGTATCTACTAATGCCGGACTAGTTGTGGGATATGATCGAAGGCAAAGAGCTATTTCGGCATATCTATAATCAACAAGGTCGCTACGATGCTAAACTACACCTCGCCGAAATGATAGCTTTACTCGGGCCACCCCCTCCAGAGGTCATATAAAGGTATTAATATATGCGAGAGTACTCGTGGCCGGGACTTGTCAGACGAGAAGACGATAGAGTATACGAGACCGCGGAGGGGTACTTCTGTGGGCCATTCTTTGACAATGATGGTATCACTGGGTTTCCTATCTTGAACGAATCATTCTCAGACTCACGAAACATTTTAGGCCGCTTTCTTTACGAAGACCTAATCCCGACCGGAAACTTCGCGACACAGTTTCCTTCCTTGATGTAGAGGAGAGGGAAGCATTTCTGGATCTCGCCAAAGGAATGCTTGTCTGGCATCCAGATGCGAGAAAAGCGGCAGGCGAACTAGCGGGGCATCCTTTTCTTCAACCAAAACAGACAAGTGCCTGATTTCTGCGAGCGTTTGCTAGCGGAATGACTCAAAATCGTGGTTCATCCCAGTTCGGCGATGCCATCAAATGATCAGTTGAAGCGTTAACGTAGTTGTCTTTTTGAATGACATCTATAGAGTCAGTTGGTCTGTTTTTGATCGGAAAGTAATAGCATTATGCCTTAAATGGGATCGAAGACATCAAATTAAATCGAATAAATCAAATTCCCAAGGTACTCCCAAAGGGGTATATCACACCCGTTGAACATCCCCCGCGAGCAATAGAGGCACAGTGTGAATAAATCAATTAAATCAACGGATTAATGTTTAGCCTCTTTTGATATTTCCGGCCAGAGCAAAGAGCGACACGGAAGGTTAAAATCTCGACTGTAACAACCACGCTCGCGTCCCACTGGCATCTTAAATGGATTGAAATTCGTGGCGCTGGCTAGAAAAAAACAGATTCCCCCTGTGGACACTGACTGTTTCTCGGCCCGTACCCGAAACCACACCAATCCATACCGGGTTACTCCAGAAACAACCCCTGCTTGGCCGCATCGTGTTTTAGTATGTATTGGAGTTCAGGCTGCTGTAATATACTGTAAATTCCTGTGGAATATTCTGGGCGGGGGGCCGGGGGGCGGATCTGGCGACCTAGCTTCTTCACCAGATATCTGATATGTAGCAATTGTCCTCGTCTGCATCTTACGGGAACGACCAGACCCTTGAACGAATCCTGGTGCGAAAGCTGCTATTTGTGTTTTAATCTGTCTTGTAGCTGCACTTTGCTTTTTCAGCCAGCCGACATCTCGGACCACGATAGCTCAGAAAACGATAGCGCAGACAACGAGAGCGCAGACACCATCCCAGCCAATGACATCCCAGCTGACAACACCGCAGACGATAAAATGCCCGTCAAGCCATGCTCAGCAAGCGATTGCATAACCCCAGGCAAAGAGTGAGACTGATAGTGGCTACACGGCGTTACATGTACGTTACAACAGAAAGGGGCTATGAAGGCAATATCGTGATAAGATATTACTGTAAAATAACCTAGGTACAGGTACAATTCCTGCGGTTCGTAGACTAGTAGATACCGGGGACGATGCGGCTGCGAACGGTAGACGTATAGCGCTTCCAGTCAGCGCCATATTTCCTCTTACACTTTTCTTCGTCACGTCCCTCCCGGTGGATAAGCAGGACACCGAAATAAAGCATGAAGAAGTAAGTGAAAATAATTCCCCACCCGCGGACTTCAGGGGTCTGTATGGCCTGTTTCTGTACGTCACCAGCGCTGTTAATACTTTCAACCATGGTATAGCCAGCAAACCCGGTGGGCAATGAATACGACCACGACATCAGCCAGTCGCCCAAGTAGTTGATATGGCGCGCCAATCCCCACCAGCCGGAAATCATCAGCTTAGAGCCACTTGATGTCTGGATGTATTTGATATGCTTCACACGGGGGTCGTTGGGGTCCGTACGGAAACGGTTCTTCTGATTGTTGGCGCCGCGGAAGATCGAGTATCCCACACCGGTAATGGTCAAAGTTAACAGAATATCTTTCAAGCACATTTCCAAAGGGAAAACGGCAAGATATCTGGTTTGGAGATTGTAGATGAAGGGTACCCACACCAGGTGTCCAAAAGAAAGCATATAACCGAATCCGTCCATAATCACATCAATCGTGGTTAGAACTGCTCGTTCCATGTACAGCGCATCCAGCACATAGAAGGTTTGGAATGCGGTCGAGAGTGCGATAGAGTTTGAGATGTAGCCATACGTTCTGTATTGGCGGGCCATGTTGGACAAGTTCAATATGATCCACCCAAGCAGTCCTGGCCTCATCTCACACCATACATTGATATCAATCGTCCTTGAGGCCTCATCGACAAAAGGAATAGGCAATTTTACCCGCGGATTTAGCTCCCGACCTATGAAGAAGTCATACAGAGCATTTCCGGTGTGGCCACCCGGTGCCAACTCTCTTAGTTCGGGATTGAGTTGATCAGGCTTAGGGACTGAGAAACTTTTTGCATAAACAAAGGTGGCGAGGATTATGCAGATCATCAAATTTGCCGTGATAATCTGCAAGTAGTTGTCCCAGAGAAAAACCCATATGATGAAATCAGCGCCATACACGTATGTGCCCAGAGCTAAACCAGAGAGGATCCAAATGGCAGAAGAAAACGCTAGAACCCGATTAGACGATATCATAAAAAGAGCATCCGGGGGTTCATACCGTTGAACTTGTAGCGAAGCCTTCCTTTGCAGGCCAGTTCAGTGCCCTCAACCACCTCGCCGGGTAGAAACACGTACAGAACCAGACTGAGTAAGTAATAACTCAGCACCCACAGGGTCACTCGCATGTCGAAGAAAGCTTTGAGACCGTCTTGGGGCCAACCAACTTCCTCCTTCAACTTATCGAGGGACAATGTCGACGGATTGAGCAGCGACGGAGCAGGGCAGCCAGACACATCATTGCAGAGGAAGGTGAAAGCGTAGATAAGAGTTGAGAGACCAAAGATGAATACAACTGCGCCGAGACTGTTGAACGTCAGTCTTAGGGATCAAGCACGCGACAATTGGGACCACATACGGCTTACCAAACTCATAGCCCCGTTTCCCCTGAACTGATTGAACCGGGGCCGTAGCTTTGAAAATCTTTCTAAGCCCCATGGTATCTTTGAAATGAAGCGGAATATCTCTCGAGGAGAGCAAGTACGGGTAGGGGTAACGCAGGGGCGACAAGAGCTGTCGCAAGGCCGCACGTATACCAGAGAACCCACCGAGGCAGTAAAAAACGAGTGCTGTGGGAGTCTCAACGGCTTTGGAACTACGGGCTTATATAAATGTTGTGCGCTGATGGCACGGCCGTATCGGGAAGCTTCCGAGAATGGGACCTGGTGGTCTGAGCCGGAAAGGTCGGTGGCCGATGTGGGACTGCGGGTACCCTTGATTCTCCACACTATCCATGGCTGTCGCAGCAAGAAGCAGCCATGTGGGTCTTAGGTGGATGATGCAGAATGATCCGACGACAGATTCTGTCAGAATCCATGTCCAGATGGAAGAGACGGAGTAGATAGAGCCCGAGCACATGTATATCGTACAGGAAGCAGTTTTGGGTCAGGTAGATCAAAGAAAGGTGATGGAAGAGTCGAACTGTTGAAGCACTCACGTAGAGGACCTTGCTGGAAAGTAAACGGCTACCGAACATTCACCGACCGAAGAATATGAGTTAAGCTACTATAGTATTCGAGCTCTCGGGGCTGATAGACGGAGTCAGTGTAATACTGAATGTCGCACATACTTACACATGGTTATTCCTTGAGGATCTGTCAGCACTTGGCAGTCTCAGCCCCAGGCAGATACTAGGAACCCATGGAATCTCAGAACGGTAAATCATGGAAAGCACAAAAAAGGATCACAACGGCCTACCAGTGTTGGTTCTCTACAGCGGTAAGACAGTTTTCGTCACGTATTGCGGACAAGGACAACCGGCTACGGTTGAAAAGGAAGAAGGGAAGGAAAAGATGGTGATCAAGCCAGGTCGCAAGATCTGTCTTGTCCTCTCCCCATGTACTCTCGAAATTACCGCCCGGAACATTCCGTAGGAATTTACAGTAACTTACGGAGACCCTGAATTCCAGTACATGATAAAACACGATACGGCCAAGCAGGGGTTGATTCTGACGTAACCCTATATGGATTAGCGTGGTCTCGGGTACGGGCCGAGAACAATGTGTCAGTGTCCACAGGGGGAATCTGTTTTCGACTCCGACTGCACAACCCAAACACCCGCGATCCGTCACACCCAGATTCCATGCTCCCAGGCACGCTATTTATTGCTCCCAGAAGTAGTAACCAACGCTCCCAGGGTACCACTTCTCATTCCCCGGAGCTATACAGTCCACCCCGGGAGCTATAGGTCCTCTGGGACCATGACCATTCCTCCTGGGAGCGGCCAAAAGAGCATTTGACCCCTTGGGTCAGCCGACATTTGCAACACAATTTATTTACTAAAACACCTAGTTTCTAGGGGACCCCCGCGAATCCCCAGAGGTGCCATCACCCCCAACCTCTCCAATGTGCCGGGTTCTTCCGCTCCCAGACGGCTCCGCGAGACCCGCGTGTCGTCTCCGCACGGTCCCCCCAGTTGTCCTAGCGAGCCACCTACACAATCGCGTCAATTTCTCCTTTTGAAGTGATGGGCTTGCCCGCGGGGAACTCAGTATCGATGGAGCTAGCGCCTTGGCCTCGCCAGGAGATTGACAGATCGAACAAGGAAATCAAAGCCTTGAGAATCATCCATAAAGATCTTCGGCGTGATAATATCATTTTGGAATGAAGAGGTTTGTCGGGCATGGATCATCGACCTTCACCGCTCTACATTGAAATAATGACCAACCTCAAAGGGAACGTGGGCTGCAACGAGACGGTTGGGTTGGGTAGAGCCAAATCATGTTAAACGTTTGCGCGGTCCGTGAGAGAGATTACTTAGTTTTGCACCATTGTTTTAGCGATTGCGTAATTTCTCCTTCTATAGCAGACTATTCAGTCGCAAAAATTTTCCGTCTACCTTACCCACTAATCTAGGAGCACGTGGGATACACTTTTCTGAAGAGTGCGGCTGACCATCCGCATGATAGTGGGAGCTTGCAGATTCAGGTGCGCGGGAGATGGTCCTCAAGAGGCATTCTGGGTGTACTTCTGGAAAACTGGCAGAGAAGAGAAAACACTCTCGGAGTACTTGTCATCTTTGCCGTCAGATGTATGATAGGTGTGTCAGCAAGGTCAAGCTCTTGCTGGCTAATGTATTGTGGGCCTTAAGAGAGAAAATACAGTCACCGGGCTTAGATAACTCTCGAGTAAGTGGAAAGACACTTTGAATACAGAATGACAAGCTAATTCCCTTTCTCGAGTGCCTGGATGACTTCCCATTGATTTAACATTTGCGCATACTCCAGAGCTGTGTGACCATTTGCATCTTTGATACTCAAGTTGGCTCCTTCGCTGATCAAGTAGCGAACTACATCCACTTTGCCGAGTTCAGCTGCTTTGTGCAGTGCCGTTCCAAGATCCATAAAGCAGAAGAGCGCCCGAGAAGGATAATGATCCTCGTACATAGTTGAATTGATATCCGCCCCATTTTCGATGAGAAGTCTTAAGACCGCAATGTTATCTGAATGCCGTTCGATTGCGTGATGGAGGAGTTGGCCTTTTCGAGGATCTCCGCCACGACTGAGCATAAGCTGGATGACTGATATTGGGGCGCTCTCAACAGCAAGGGAAAGTGGGGTGAGATCAATAACACATTGTCGATTAGGATCAGCTCCATAATCAAGGAGCCAAGCTGTCATCTCCTCATCTGCAATAGCATAGCTGCCGAAATGTTATAACGGTATCTCTGAGGACATGGATTAGATATTGGGGCGAGTCTTACCCTAGTACGGGAGGTTTAAGCTCGCTTATGGGCTCATTGATATTCCATCCATTTTGAAGGAAAACTTCGAGAGCATCCTTCCCCTTCACTTTGATGGATTCCAATGCATAGAGTGGATCCATGGGCAAGCCGCGATCAAGAAGCTCTTTGATGAACTGTACATCATCTAGCTTGATGGCTTCGATCATTATCGCATAGAAGTCGCATATATCAAAGTCCTCCGATGAAGAACTTTGCGAGTCAAGAATCTCCCGAAATTTCTGGATATCACCACTGACGCAAGAAGCATGCAATTTCTCAAGAGTCGCTGCCGGCGTTCGAGTTGGAATTTGAGGATATTCGCTCGGCTGGACCGGAGGGTAGTCTGGTGGAGGCAGGACTTCCATGGCGGGCTGAATGAGACAGTTACTGTCACACTTACTTGGGGGCTTCAATGAAGCGGGAGGTAATATACTCAGCAGAGGCGGCGAGGGAGAGGTAGTTAAGTCATTTCTAAGTCAGCAGACGCCGCATGCGCAATTCATTGGCAAGTGGAGGGGAAATTGATAGTTGAAACATGGGTCGGAGGGCGCGTAAACGACTTGGCAAGGTGGAGTGGGACCTCATGTCAATTATGTTCATTCATGCGATTTCGAATCAGGATAAACAATGCAAGTTGATGTCGAAAGTGGACTCGAAATATGGCTTGAATCAAGGAGAAGTTGTCACAGAAGATCGTAGAGCGCAGGTTCATCTCTGCGGTAGTTTTTTAGCCTGCATTCCTTTTCTCCTTTGCCCCTTGAACATTGTCAGTTGGAGGTGAAAGAGAGACCCTAATACACTAATTGCGTTAGGTGTCCGCAGGCAATGAATTTTTACACAGAACGTAGAAGCATGTCTGTCTGCTTGTGCTTGGAAACGGCTTGCAAACCGTTCTCCGCTGGCTTCTTGGACCTATCGTGGTCGTTTGTGTTGAAGTTGGTAGCACCTGTAATTCGCCCCTCTGTATATTAGTCTCCATCATGCACCATTTGTCACATCGGCCCACGTGTGCCAATGCAAAAGCACATGGATTGGCACAAGCTGATGTGTATTGGGCGGCCTGAGTGTCGTCGGCCTCGGCATTTGATCATGATCCAACGCCAAGGATGACGAGAAACGACTCGAATTCGCAGTATTTCTGTTTTAGGATCCCATTCATTATCATAACTATGGCCACTATGTGCCCCATAGTGCGTGCAGCCGATCTCATATCTTCAACAATAGCAGAAATAGAGACCCAAGAGCTGCTTTGCCATCACCGACAAGCCCCAACTAAGCAGTGAGGAACACTTGCAGGTCATCTGCATTAGGCGTGTAATAATGCAGGCAGACCGCGTAATCTTATGATTAGCGAATCACTCTCATTCGAACGATTACACAACCCCGCCTTGCGCGTACGTAGAAGCTACTCAAATATATCAAAACAGACCCACATTTCGATGTTGAACACTCGAATGTGGGTCTGAACCCTAGTGTCGAATATCAAATCCGAATATATGGTAGAAACCAGGTATTATACCGGAAACATCCTGTGACATTGGGTACTAGGCATACCATATAAAAGTGTATATTACAGTTAGTTATCGAGGTCCGTATAGATTGTTAAAGCGGGTTTTGTCAATTTAGTTAGAGTCTTCAACATTGGTCATCTATACCGTACACTTTTCGTACACCAGCTTTCTGTCATAAAGCTTTATATGAAGCTACAGTTATTCTTTAGTAAGTAAATTAATTATCTATTAGTTATTATAGTTAATTAATAATCCTATATTATAGTTAAGCCCGACTATATAAAGAAGCCTCTTCTATTATATCGCTAACTTACCGGCTTCTAAAATAGTAAGTAGCTCTATCTCTATTATTAATATTATAATAGTTCTCTACTTATTAGCTTTTTAATCGATTATAGTATTAAAAAGTTTATAGAGACAGCCTTCTAAGTTTTTCCGATTAATATAGTTACCGAAAGAAGTATTACTTAAGAAGTAGAGTATAGATAACTAGTTATATAATATATTAGATAGTATTCGAAAGTAAGGAATCGAGTATTATATAAATATTAGATTAAATAATTTACTATCTTTTTATACTCTAGCTTTAGATTTATAAAGAACTTAGTTAAAAATATATACATATAATCCAGGTCAGGCTACCCATAAACTAGGCCAATTCCATATACACTCTATCAACCCAATTTTTGTGTGGGCCACAATCAATGGATTCACAAACACACTTCTCTGACATAACACAAAGCCCAGCACTCCAAACGGGATGGTCAAGCCTACCGGTGGTGACCTTGGGCCGGCTGAATTGTATCTATTGGTCCAGAATGGATCGAAATCAGTTTCACCACTTTGCTCTGATAGAATCTTTCCCGAACCCTATCCTGAAACCTGCTAATCCATTTCTGGCTTGGCTCGGTTTCAAGTATTGAATCGTATTGAAAGATATCCTATAAAATTACTCGTAATACCACAACCACGCGCACGTAGTCAGCTGCACCAGCCGATGTTTTCAGCACATCATGTCATCTTGAACACGACTAAATATTGGTCACGGAATAAACCAGTTGGCTGGCTCGGCTAACCGTTGCCATCGTGTCCAAAGATTGGCAACCGAAGTTGACACCCGAAGACCCAGCTTTCCCCAGTTATGATCTGTGTCGGACGGCGCATACAAATCAGGTAGTCCCACTTCCATTGCATCTCGGACAAGATCCCCACACCGTCCCTTTGCCGTTACAGGGCTCGCAAGTCATCTTTCGATTTCCGCTCCGATTTTCCTGAAGCCAAGTCCCTACACCCAGGCAGCTCGAGCAGCTTTTGTCGTATAATCCAGCACCTTGGCAAGTATCACATTGCGTCATCGTGGTAGTGAGAACAGGCGAGTATAGGTTTTGTACTATCAGCCGCTCTAATAGTTATCATGTTAGTGGGGTCCAGACATTTGGCTTTTTAGATGGCAGTGTAGCTCACAGATGGAGTACAATTACCTTGAAAGGCTTGAAAGAAATCAGACGAGGTATGAGTTGTCAGATCTCGTAGACTGGAAAAGGCTTTAAACGTGGAGTATCTTCTCTGGCCGATGGAGAGGATCAGGACATGGGCGATGATCGTCTACTTAACTGTTCGTAACCAGGTGCCATCGTTTATATCCATAAATAGCAGCATGTGATAGAGCGAGACAATAACGAGGTAAGACTAGAGGTACCCTCATCCTTGAATGTTTCCAATCAAGTCGATTCAACTCTGGCTACTTTCGGCTTCTTGCATCATCCAGAGAACCACACGTGATAGAGGGGGTGTGTTGACGAGTCATGGCTTTGATATGTGGTACTAAAGTTCTGACTCGGGCTGCAACACGAAATGGCTTGTAACTAGTGCTTATTTACAGCACATAGACTGCAAATCTGTCCTCAAAAAGGGTTGGTCTGTTTCTCTAATAAGTGAAGGGCAGGCCTATTTGTTAATTACCTCGTCACCCTATTTTCCCCAGAATAATAATCCGAAGAGGCAACACCATCAAGCGACGTAGGTATTCGCAGGAAAGCCTAGCAAACCTTTACTACAAGCATTATTGATTCTTAGGCCTTCATTTTTGCTGCATTGGATACGCCGTATACATCTAACAAATTAATCGATAGCTTTGTTTCTGGCTAAAATCATATTCTAAATAACATTGTCCAGGTAAGCGGCTACATCGTCACTTTCACCATTACCGCAGCTACCGCCATTTATTATGGTCCGCAGCTTCGAAGTAGGCCACCAAGCTCCAAGGGACTGCGTGAATACTTGGTCACCTGCATTTCCTAATACCCAGCATGCCCCAGACCTTTCGTCCAAAATAAATACTGGTCACGAGCGCTGTCGCACGCAGTTGCCCAGAAATAAAACAGAAACTCGAGCATGTGAGGGGTGGCTCCCTTACGAGCCGGGGTCTGAGTCGAGCTCGAGAAGTTCAACCCCTGGCTCGTTACGGGTCGGGTTTCGAGCCCGGGCCTTAGGCCCCAAGTTTGGCTTTGCTGAAGTCTACTTGGGCCGGTAGAATAACCCTAGAGCAAAGTAAGAGATATATGTGAATGGAAATAGACACTCTGACTCTAGAAGGTACGGAGGTCTTTCTCATAACAAAAAAAAACAGTACGGAACCATACGTTCTCTATTAAAGAACAGAAGAGTATAGAGGTCATAATTTTTCTTTCTCATGGATTATGATGCATATTCCGGAATCGCCCTTTAACCGAGTTAGGTTGTGTAGTGTAATGGCTATCACTCTGGTTTCTGATACCAGCAATCCCGGTTCGATCCCGGGCACGACCTTTTCTTTTTTGTAATTTTTTTTTCCGAACGTATACAAACTTCTATCTACTATGTTAGTTAGTATATACCCTTGTGTAACTTCTTAATGAGAAATTGGCAAGGATTCACAACACTAAACCTAGATTTCTCAACCCTGAAGTCTACTATATCACAAAACATAACCTTGGACCTCTTTAGGTCGGGTAGAACATGAGATTCCGGGGTTGGAAATCCATGGATATCCACGTGGCTTAGCTAATACGGGGTTCGGAGTCACTCCGAATCGCTTGAAGGAGAGTTCTTAGTCCCAAAATCCTATTTCTGTTAACATTTCACCTTCCAATACATAATCATGGCTGGGAGGTTTAATGTTGACCCTATCGATAGAAGCAGCTACGTCCGGTCGCCACTGCCAACTAGAGTCCGGAGTGCCTGCGAAAGATGTCGTCGCCATAAATCTCGGGTAGAGCCACCCTGATCCTGGTCAGGATCTAATGACATATACTAAATTCAACTTGGAACTAGTGTGATCCTGTTCGGCCTTGCTCAGTGTGTATTCGAGCCAATGTCGATTGCCAACCACTTCCAAATACCCGGCCACGGAGAGCTACTCTGCCGAAGTAAGCTGGACAGATGCTTTTAACTTGCTCTTTTTACTTACATGAGAAATTAGGCGTCTCGCTTCCAAAAGAAACTCACGTACTGACCGACATCGATCCAATCTGTCTCTGATGACTCCTATCGAAAAGTCACCGGATGAAAATGGCCCTAGTCGTGGTGAAATACTTCCTGATCAGAGTAGAGTGATAGACGCGCAAGCTAGGGGCGATGATGCTGACTTCCCCGCTGGAGGGAGCGATCTGCCTTCATCTCTCAATTGCGGTGAAGCCGAATCCGCCATAGGAATTGCTCGAAGAATCTGTCAACTTGGCAGCCATAACATTGATGAACAAACCACATCCGCCATACCCGGCTACCAGGCCAGCACGGGTGGTTCCATGGCAAATCCGGCAACGGGCCACCGCATTCCGATATCTTCCATCTTGCGCCAGTCTTTCCCTCCTATGGAGCATGTATACAGTCTGTTGGAAGATTATTTTGATGCTGTACACTGGTTTTCTCTCGCCATTTACGAGCCAAAATTCAGAAAGAGTCTCCTTTCTATCGCGGATGGCTCTGCACACCCCTCGCAACGACCGTTTCTCGTGCTGTTAGCCATGATGCTTGCAATGGCATCGTGGTACCGATCCCAGAGGAGTTGCACCGATCCCGGCGACAACACTGATGATATGAAGAAATTGAGTGCAGACTTGCTGGGGCTGGTTGAATCAAACCTAGTGGAATTAATGGATCAACATTCAGTTACCTCGGCCCAGACCTGCATTCTCCTAGGATCGCATCACGTCTATCACGGCCGTCCAAATCTCTCCTTTTCTTTATTAGGAGCAACTATAAAGATGGCTCAGTCTTTAGGAATGCATCGGGGACTTCAACGGGGGGATTTCGAAAATGTTGAGGAAAGAAAAAGAGTCTGGTGGACGATTTACACATGGGACAGGTTTGCGTCAATTACCTATGGCCGGCCATTGGGTATCAACGACAAGGATTGCAATATTGACATGCCAGCGGATGTGTTTGAGAACCCGGATTTTGTTGCCCCAGCCTCCGGGGAGTCGAACCCCATATGCTATTCAACTTACCAGCGGGAGTTGAACCAGCTCTACTTGATTGCATCGCCTGCTCTCAAGACCGTTTTCGGTTCCCGTACTCTCAGGACGTCCGAGAAGCTAAATGGTGACACATATTTTGCACTAGTCAGGCATGTCACTGAGAACCTCCAAAAATGGCGAGCCTGCCTACCGAGCCATTTGGGTTTGGATCTTAATCGGGACTTCGACCCCGATGATAGGTCAAGCTTGAGGGCATACGCTCTGCAGTCTCTGTCACTACAATTGACTTACGACAATGTTCTCATTGTACTGCATCGACCTTTGTTAGCACGGCAGGTTGATCATCTCTATACCGTGAATAAGCCATCACCAGAGGAAAGCAGAACAGATGACATCAGGTATAATCCAGCCACCGCTCCCTCCGTGGCCCAGTCACATTTATCTCCCGACTCCGCATTTCCCAATACCCAGACCACAAGTCCTGATCTATGGATGAATGCCGCAACAAGAACATCGAGAGTGACAGAACTACCGGCTCTAGCCCAGCTCGCCACCGACAGCCATCTCTGCGCATTTCTCGCCATCAACCTGTTCAATGCCGCTATTGTGTTGGCTGTGATGGCTCTCTCAGAGCCTCTTTCCGATACCGCACAGGAAGTGAAACGAACAATTACTCGCATTCTTCGTTTGCAAGATCTGCTCGGAAGACGGTCTGCGTTGTCAAAACAAAGCACAGCTGTGCTGAAGAATGTTGTTATCATGCTCCTCCGTCGTGAATCAGCTGCTATGCTTGCTCCCATTGCCACAACAAGCCAAGTAATGGGTCACCAGCCTTTACAGACCCCGGCAGATCCGTCATTGATCTCTGTTGAAGACACGCTTCGGATGCCGCTCGATGCGACATGTGATTCTCGCAATCCTCTTGCTAGAGACCAACGTCTGCCGGACCTCAGCAGAGCTGATCGTCTGAATAATAGTTTAACGTCTGTCCAATATGGTAAGGCTCATCATCCATACGAGGTGGCTCAAATTATGAAATTACTAATGCAAATATATCTTCCAGCCTTGGGTCCAGGGGATCGCTCTGCCGGCATTCCTACTGGTGGAGATAACATTCAACTTGGTGAATTTGCCGAGCCAGGCATACAGACACACGAATCATGGCAGCTGCCAGCAGAATACGACTGGAACATGTCTGGTCTATCTCGGGAACCTGTCGAAAATAATCCCCAGGATAGTGTTGAAGGCGGGTTGTTTTGGTTATGGGACATGACGTGGAATGAAGTTGGGGGGTAACCGGCGGTCTATCTAAAAATAACAGTCACAAAGGGCATGGGCTATACTGAAGTTGCTTTTGCCTCTTCCTCGTCAACATTCGGGCCATAAATCACACTCTTAATTCCACCCCGACCGGCGACATTTTTGAAAGCGTCCTCAGCCTGACTGAAAGGATACTCATGAGTGACGAGATCATCCAGCTTGACTCGGCCCGAGTTCAGCAGTCCAACAGCCAACTTGAAGTCTCCAGGGCCGTACCGGAAGCTTCCCTTGAAAACAATCTCCTTGTCGCAGATCTGACCAACCGGAATTGATGGGTTCGGTTTTCCCAAGCCGACTTGAATGAAAGTCCCGCCCTGCGTGAGGGCATGAATGCCACAGTTCTGACAAGGCTCCGCGCCAGTTGCATCCAGAGTAACATCAACACCATCAGGGAAACCAGCAGACGCTAACAAATCCACCGCATTCTTCTCCGGCGTCTCGGTGCTCATCTGATATGTGTGCGTAGCACCATATTTCACTGCGGAAGCAAGCCGAGCCGGAACGACATCCACAGCGACAACCGTTGACGCACCGAAAGCGCGCGCAACAGCGCAGCAGAGCAACCCGACAGGCCCAGCTCCGAAGATAACCACTGCTTTATCCTGCATGAAACCCGCCAATTGACAGCTGTGCACAGCTACACTAAGAGGTTCAATCAGGGTACCGTCACGCAGGGAGATGTGGGCTGGGAGCTTGAAACAGCATTCTGCGGGCACGCGGTAGTAGGTAGCGAGTGTTCCGTCGTATGGCGGTGTTGCGGCAAAGCGCATTCCCCGACAGAGGTTGTAGCGGCCGTTGCGACAATGATTGCAGGTGTTGCAGGCGATGCCGGGTTCGAGAGCGACTCGGTCTCCGACGGCGAGGCCTTGAACACTGCTTCCGCTCTCTACCACGATTCCTGTTGACTCGTGGCCTAGGATTATGGGGTTTTCGACGACGTATGGGCCTATCCGGCCGTGTTGCCAGTAGTGTACCTGTTGCACCGAGGATTATGTTAGTTTTCTTTTTCATTTTTCTTCTTTTCTTCTTTTCTTCTTTTCTTCTTTTATGGCATTGAGGAAATCGAAATAGTGAAATAGCGGGGGAAGCGGGGGGATGGGGAAAGTCGAAGCTATTCCACTCACATCTGAACCACAGAGACCTGTTGCCATTACTCGAACTATGACATCCCGGTCTGACTGGAGTGTGGGTACGCTGCGTTCTTCGAAAGCAAATGTGCCTCCGGGGTGCAATACAAATGCCTCATTGGTAGTCTAGATAAAGTTTGGAGTGAGCAGGTGCAATATAAACCTATGTGTTTGGGTCACTACTGGGATCGGGACATACCTGAGTAGCTTCTGTGACGGTCATATTTGCGGGAGGGGGTTTTTTCGAATTTAGCAAATTGTCTGTATATGTGGAATGCTACTGAGCTTTAAATATTATGGATGTCCTAAATATTTTATCCACTCAGTTAGAAGTGGGCGAACGGATCATACGTTGGTACATTTCCGGCGGATAGTCGACCAGCTCCATATAGCGTCTCCATACTTGCTTGATCTATCTCCAAGACCCGAGCCGAAGGAGTTATACGGGATACCGATACTTCACCTTAATGTGGAAAGCAGAACCAATAGCAACCATACGAATTCTTGGCTCAAATGATGTATGGTTCGTAGCCTAATTGAATTTAAACATATTCTCATTTTATCATATACTCTCCACTGACACATACCTATCCCGAATACAAATCCCGAGCATTCAGGAACCGTGTCTTCCGGGTCAACATGCAACCAAAGTCGTCCCGGAACCGCTTTGATATTCGCCACCGGAACCGAGATTAGGGCTCCACCGTACTCCCGGAACCGTTCACTTCCCCACAGAAGCACGGCCAATCTCGGGATTATCATGGACAGTTGAAATAAGACTTGAAAGTTTGACCAACTGCAGGTCTGAATGATCAATATAGGGGCACTTTTCCCGACAGAGCTGGAGTCGGGAGGGATGCCCAGAAACTAAGGGCCGTTAGGTACTTCCGTATTATCCAATAGCAATCCCGGGCTCCATGAAATACATGTAAATATATGGACTCGGTAAATCACCAAAATGGTGATTGACCCCATGGTGTACCTCCGGCTCCATTTCCCCATCAACCTGGAGAAAATTCCTCTTCCCCACGGGAAGTGTCCGGGGTATAAATAAAACCATTTCCCCCATCTCTTGATCAAATCCACAAGTGGTTTTTGCACTCGTTGTCCTAGTTGGTCAATTCCTCTTGGGCACTATGACTATCACGAAATCCTTCGAGCCGGCGCCCAATGGGACGCTCAGAGAGCGTTCGCTGGCTGTCGCTGCGCAAGTTGAGGAACAGCAGACCTGGCTGGAGAGGAAACTCAAACCCAAGAAGATCTCAGCCAGGTATCCCTTCAAAGGCACAGCCTTACTGTATGCAACATGTGCCTTTGGCAGTTTGGGGGATGCTCTTTTCGGTTATAACTCTGGTATGACATCCTCGAATATGTTGACAAGATACAGATGCTGATTTGATAGGTATCATGTCCGGGCTGCTGGTCAACGAAATATTTATAGCTCGCTTCTTCAAGAACTATGGAGGAGCCGACGGGACGACAAGTGGAGTCGATCCTTCGATTACAGGCATATCTGTTTCGTGTTTGCAAGCAGCAGCGGCGGTGGGAGCACTTATCGCGGGTCGTCTTGGAGACATGATTGGTCGAAAGAAGTGTGTCCGCATCGGCGCTTTCATTTACTTCTTCAGCTCGTTTATTCAGATGTTTGCGCCTGGTTTCGCAACTTTCATTGTAGGCCGCACGATCCAAGGACTGGGCGTGGGCTTCCTCTCCATGACCGTGCCTATCATCCAAACGGAGATCGCTCCCCCTCATCGCCGGGGTTTGATGGTGGGTATAGAGTACAGTTGTTTGATCGCCGGATATATGCTTTCTTGTTGGGTGGACTATGGGTTTAACTTCTTGTTGCCCGATCATATTTCATGGCAGGGACCCTTCATCATCCAGATTGTGCTCTCTTTTATCTTGCTTAGCATGTCCTTCTTCCTACCAGAAACTCCTCGATGGTTGGCGTTGAATGGTTTCGTGGATGAAAGCTTGCAAGTAATTGCAGACCTACACTCTAATGGTAATACGCATGCAGAGCATGTTCAGCACACCTTCCTCGAAATTCAAGAAGCGGTTATCTATGAGAGCAATCTCGGGAAGTCGAGTTGGAAGGTGAGGCTACCCTTGATGCTTGTGTGGCTTGTTAATTCGCGTGGGTCACTAACCCTGGATCACCACTGCGTAGGAAATGTTCACCCGCTATCGCAAACGAACCATTGTGGGAATCACGGTGCAGATGTTCGCACAGATTAACGGAATCAACATCATCTCCTTCTACCTCCCAAGCACCCTCTCCTCCGCCGGCTATGATAATCGCAAATCCCTGCTATTCACTGCTGCAAATGCTCTTCCATACACCGCTGCAACAGTTGTTACTTGGTGGTTAGCGGACCGATGGGGCCGAAAGCCTTTACTCATTCTTGGAGGTCAGTTCCCGTATGGAATCGAGTTGATCAGCGATCAAAACCTGACAATTCAAACAGGTCTCGGCATGGCCGTATTACTCGGAATTGTCTGCGTCTTCACCGAAATTAACGTGGATGTCCAAATCAAAGCAAACGGCCAGTATGCCTTCGTCATGCTTTACAATATCCTCTACGGATTCACCTGGGGCCCGATGCCATGGCTTCTACCTGCAGAGATCTTCCCACTCCGCGGCCGGAGCAAAGGCATGGCCTTGGCCACGACTAGCAATTGGATCTTCAACTTCATCATCGGAATGGTCTCCCCCGACGCGTTCGCTGGCATCCACGGGTATTTCTACTTGGTGATTGCAGGATTCTGTCTCAGTTCGGCTATCCTTGTTCACTTTTACTATGTCGAGACAGCACACCATTCTTTGGAGGAGATTGCCGTTGCATTCGGTGATAAGGCGTTTGCAAATGATGATGCCGACGTCATGGAAATGGCTGATCCGAAGAGTGAGCAGGTGGAATACTCGGCGTGAGGGAGATTTGACGTTTTTAATTGTTGATTACTCTTATATATCTATCAGCCTTTCATTTGGGCTCTATTTTGTTCCATCACTGACTAAGTTTACATTAACGTATTCATAATCCGGGAGGACCACCCACCCACTAGGAAGTAAAGAAAGCCCTAAATGATTCGGAACGGGCATACCTCAACCTCCGCAGATATAATATCTAGCGCTTCTTAGGGATTATTTAGGAAATATTAAGTTGGCCCTCGTTAGCCATTTACTTTCCTTAAATCAACTATATAGTTCTTTTGGAGTGTCCTTCTCGTTATGAATAATCCAAAGAGCACTCGGCCGCTTTGGCTGTTAAATATATATATGAACAAAGAATTGTAGTAGGATGCACCAAGAAAGTCACACCGAGTGATATACAATTTGTTACAGCCGAATAATGTGATTATTACGGAGCTGTTAGGATAAAAGTCAAAGGTTTGGATTAATAGCCACATTAGCAGTTGATGATATATTTTCCAGTATTAATGTCTGACTAGTGTATATTTCCAGCGACTGAATTTCCCTACCAAGGTATAATAAGTAAGCAAATATACCAATGGCTTTTCTAAACAAATATCTACCTCAATTATAGTGGAGTAGTACTATATTTGAACTTAAATATATCAATGTTCGTTTCAATGTAGTCTACGGAGTAGCAACTTAGGTTGTGTAGTGTAAAGGTTCATTACTGCACATTCCGAAGATAAATCCTCCGTCAACCCAGTGGTTCTGGACAACCTTCGACTTACCTTCGAAATTTTTATATCTTTATTTTGATGCGGCGCGGCCTTGGGTACCTCTCCGTGGAAGCCGCACTAAAACGCCAAACGCGGACCTTCACAAAATGAATTGGCGAATGGACTGTGGGAATGGAAGCACTTTGTTTGAAACACCCTGAATGAGAATGAAACTTGGAAACACTGGATCATATACAACATACTAAATCCAGTTTGAACGAGTCAGCATTTCGGGAAAAGCACCCAAGCGAGGAAATCGAGTCTTCGTGTAAGATTTTAGTCTCATTCTAGGCTTATAGAGTCAATTTTCGAAGCTGCCTTTAACCGAGTTAGGTTGTGTAGTGTAATGGCTATCACTCTGGTTTCTGATACCAGCAATCCCGGTTCGATCCCGGGCACGACCTCTTCTTTTTGCATTTTTTTGGGGGGTTACTGGATATAAGATCCATCCGGAAAAAGTATTACTCCGAGGCCAAATGAGCTCTAGCGTAGAAAAAGCCACAGAGAATAAATACGGCCGCGTCGCCCGTTCTTTTGACCTCTTTTTTTCTTTTCTCTTCTATATCAACTTCACGGGGCTCCACTTTGTGGCTTGCTGAGGCTTATCCGATGGCTTCGGCCTTCATGGGTTTTCTTCCGTTCCCGGCCCTGAAGAGTATAGAAAGGCGTTCCTCTTTATACAACACTTTATAGCTGTGTTAGGGTATCTTTCGGGATGCCCGATTAGCGTTGGCTGTGGGGAGGACGTCACATTCCTTTTCTTTCACATTGTGATTTAGTATAGATTTTAATACCATTGTTTCACATTCATGATTACAATCTCTTAGATGTATTCGTAAGGAAGTATGAATAATCCTGTAGTGGATGAATGGCTATTACAGCAAATAATAAATCCAATGCACGGGTATCAAACATATTATCTTGAAAATTAATACGGAGTAGTTTGCTGTGGATAGTTCAGCGCCTGAGAAGCACGTCCCTTTGTACAAGTTTGTGGCACATAGTTGTCTCACTGAAAATACCGGCATAAAATTGAATTCTGCAGGTGTGAATAAACAATGGGAATCTCATGTACAAGCTTAGTATGTACTATGCTATGATAAAAGAAAAACACCGGACCAAAGGTCCTATGCCAGTCAAGGATATCTTGAAAGAAGTAAAAAAAGAAAAGGCTTATGCACAATGCTGTAAGGAACATGGGTGTGTGTGGAATCGAAACCGCTAAGAGAAGCAGAAAACGCCAATGTCTCCCATAAATCCATTTCCCGAAAACGATATACCGGCTCTCTCCAATAGCACACCAAACACCGACAAAACCAACACGACATAGTCGGCCTACAAAATCAGATGCAACGGAAGAAATAATCCAACACGTAGTCGAAAGCCACTGGGTATCTCAAGCCACAGACACGCGTGCATCAAAAGAGAGGGAAGGTTGACCTCGAGAACAATCAGAGCACGCCGCCTGGAAGATTGATTTGTCCTTGTTGGCCACCGTTGAAGCCAGCGCTGTTAGGCGCTGTCGCACCAGGGCCCGGGGTGCCTGAAGGGTTATCCATGTGGATCTTCCGTAACATGAACATTGGCTTCCGGCCTTCCTTTTCTAGCTGCTTGAACAAGAGAAGCGGTTTCTCCTGCAATTCCAGACAACGCTCTTGATCCCCATAAACAATATAAAGGGCGTAATTCTTCCAGTCGGAGTTAATGTTGTATTTCTTAAGAGCAGCCGGTAGGACCTTGTAGCAAGGGTCTTCCCAAGAGACTCGGAATGACTTGAATATTTCCACGCTATTTGGATTCTCGCTGCCGCCTCCACCTCCGCCGCCACCACCTCGTGAATCAGACCTGTCGAGTCGTGGGTCAAGACGTGATGCAGTGGATGGTGTTTCCGCACGGGATGCTGAAAGCTGACTCGGCGTGGATCGGTCTCTAGGATGTATTGTCGGAGTCTGTTCGGCATAATCATAGGCTGTGTTGCGGTTTGCGCTGGAGAGTGGTTGGGTATATGATCGTGGATTGAGTGTCTGAGGGTGAGTATGGTGGTGGTGAGGTGACGTCGGTGAAGGAATTCCAGGTGATAGTTGTGATCCTCCATTCATTGAGGATGTCAAATGGGATGAAGCGGTCAAGGAAGCAGCTGACGGATTAAGGTTGTCGTGATGAGAGCGTCCATCATAGCCCGAAGGTGGAGGGTGGGTGGGCGAGTTGTTTTTGGACGTGGCACTGTTAGGGTGAATGCGTTTGGAGAAAGCCCGCGCAATTTTCGATGATGAAGAAAGTTCTTGGGTGAGTGTGGGTTGGGGAGTTGACGTGAGAGTGGCCGTGCTATCGTGCCAATTTTCTGAAGCTTGCCCATGCGAAGAGGGCGGAGGCAATGGGTGTGACCGATCTTTTACTATCTTGATCACTGGTAGAATTTCTTCGCGCAATCGCCGGTAATCGTCAGTGATCCGGCGCAACTCCGTTTCAACCAACATGAGCTTTTCGTCTCGAACTTGAATCGATTTGATTAAACGCGCGAGATCCTCTTGTGTCGCAGTTTCATTCATACTCTGGTCCGCCGCTGCAAGTATGGGTTAGAAGTGAGGTAAAACCGGGACGTCGGAGAACATACTAAGTGGAATATAATGGTCTGCATCGAGGGGAACATCTTGCTTGACTTTGATTTCATACACGCTTTTCAAAATCGTTAGTCGATGTCCCACACTGCTGATGCCCATTTCCTTCAACTCCTCATGTTTCAGGGCAACCAGGGCTTCACCGACAATCCCATTCTCTGCGTCATAGATTACGGTTAGTAAATAGTGCGAACTAACTATGACCGAAGAAGTCTGCTCACCTCGAAATGTGCCGTGATATTGCAGTAATCCGAGCGATGTCAAGAATTCCTTGCATTCATCGACTCCCCATTCTATAATGAGTGTTCGAGGTGAGCGAGGACCATCGATCGGATGTCCAAATTTGGTCGGGGTGTGTTCTGATGAATGAATAGAGGAGTCCGTGGGAGAGGATTCCGAGTCGACGAGAAGGTGCGGTGAAGTTATGACACTGCGTTCGTACTCATCGTCCGCATCGGAGTCGGCGTGGTAGGAGGTGTGGAGAGACATGACGGGGGATCTTTGGTGGCAAGACAATATTCACCGAAAGTAGAGATAAATGGTATGAGGGGTTCACAGGCGCCGCCGCCAGAGTGGAGGTACTAGGACCAGCAAAGGCAAACAAAATGGGTATCGGGCGGTAATGCGCCGAATGCTCTATTTTATAGAAAGCGCGGGCGGAACGAGGGGACGTCAAGACTCGAAGGTTGAAAGGCGAACATGGGCTGATTCGCAAGTGCTTCGAGTAGATAGGGGTTGTATTGCGTCTCTCGTGTTCCGATCAAAATATGTTCTTGATGTTCCTTTTCGAGGAGGGGTGTTGTCGAGTGCGAATACGCGGCAATCAACAAGCTGAGCAAAGCGGGGAAGGTTGGCGGTTCAGGGCCACGGCGGGATAGGGGTGTTGGAGGAAAGTAAGGCCACCGGTGAAAGCGAATGATACGTTTCTATTCCCTGAAGCTAAAAGTAAAACGGACGTCTAGGGGCAGGCTTAGAGAAAAGGTCGAGATTAGGCGAAGAGACCCCCGGCTGATGAGAATGGGATTCACGTGACTGGGTCTGGACTCGGGGTAACACTAGAACCTGAACCTTTGTATTTTGAGAAGCATACGACTACATCAAATAGGAGGATATCCTAGGATATATTCTCCATCAAGAGCATTCTGTCCAATCAGGATCTATTTCTATAAACGTTTGAACTCAATATCGTTAGAATTAGATTTGAATCTGTTACTCCATACTCCGCCTGCCAAGCACCTACCTACACAAATAATTATAACTTACTGGCTGTGCATCCCTTAACTTCAACTCCAGGCACCCAATGATTTTTGATAATGCCAATCTAAACTTTTGGGTGCGCCCGAGACACCCGTCCTCGATGTGATCTGCTATGCCAACGCCTTTGAAGCCCTTGGAAACAGATTGGGGAGTCATCATTACCGAGTGACCTGTGATCGGGGTACCTTGCTCATGAGAGCAACGGGCTGTCGTCATCAGACCTCTCAGCCCATATTTACTGCTGGTCTATTGCTAGTATACCTTGTGCTAGCAAGTATTAGCCTTCTATTATCCATATCTATTTTTATCCAAAATAGAGCCCACCGACGAGTCAATCCATGAAACTAGTCTATTGCGGAAATAGTGGACCGGTTGCCGTGTGTACACTGTACCAATCAAGTCCATATTGACTACATTAGACTCCGGCTTGACAACAGGCTTGTTGATAGGTACTAAAATAGGACAGATGTAAATTATTACTCCTGAAGGTATCCTGAAGGGTATCCCGAAGGTATGGCGTAGAATTTACCTCACCACTTCAAGGTCATAGGTCGTCACCAGAGCCACAGCTGATGCTATGACAATATCGCAATTTTTGTGAGAGGAGTTGGTAATTGCCGCCTCATACATTTGTACTTGGTCATCCTAGGAAATGATATTGCAATTCACAAACTGAACCTGCCTGATTTGGTGGAATGATCCAATCCACGAGGCCGGTGTACCCATAACGAGGTATTTGAGGCATATTGATATTGATATTTAACCTCTAAAGACTTGCTTTCTTCCTAGAGGCGCAAACTTGGAACTGTCATATATTAATTGCTGACACGTATGGCCAATTTTAGGCCGTCATCACCAGCCTCGGGCTAATATCCGTGAAGTTTGCACGGCACCCCCCGCGTTTCAACCGAAGGGCTTGATTCAGCTATCCGAAAAAAGTAAACCGGCGAAAGAAATTCTATGCCAGAACCATATATTTTCACAGGAGCATCCGATCTGTGGGGATTCAAGATAATCAAAGACACATTGTGGGGCCCAGGGCTGGAGTACCAACTGCGTCATCAAGAGCTATGGAAGAGCCAAAGCTCCAGGAACGGGAAAAAAGCAGTTTCGAAAAAGGGGATATTCAGATCCCCATGAATTGGTAGTCTATTCAAATGCAAGAGCGCCCGTAGACTTCATATGTAAGCCCATGAAATTTGATGCAGGCCGAAACAATCTGTACTCCTTAGAAAGAACCCGCCATGCATGATCGCATTTTGAAATGCTGCTTTCCCAGCGCCCGGTGTCTGTCATTATTTCTTGTCGCCGTTGGGTGCACTTTCGCCTTCCAAGTCGGCAACTTCTCGTATAATATCTTTCAATCCGCGAACACCTTCGTCGACCACAGTCTCCGGAATGCGGATATCGATTTCTTCAATGTACTTCAGAGGGTCGTATGGATGTGGGTGATCTTTGACTTTGCTGCCTTTCTTGACACCGTTGGTCTCTTTTGTTCCGTTTGTAATTTCACCATTCGCGACCTTGGGCCCCAGTGCGGGGTGGGTTCGACCTTCTGCTGAAGCGAGCACTGCCGCCATTACATCGTCGAAGGTCTCACAGCGGCCGGCGCGGAGGAGTTCTGTGGCGAGGGTGGTGACCTTGTCGGTCCAGCCCAAGCGGTGGAGGGAGCCGAGGAGGTTTTCCTGCAGATCTTCGAGTGCGCTGCTCGCGGACAGCTTGACGAGGAGGTCGGATTCGAGAGCGTCGGGGGTGGAGGAGGCTCCGTTGGTGGAGGTGGGGGGTGGCATTGTGGTGTGTGGGTTTCGGGGTTCGCAGGACAATGCTTTAGCGCAAGAGAAAGGCACGGTATGAGCTTTCAAGACAAAAGCTCTAGTTCTGAATCGCGCACAAGAAATGGGGCAACGCTTTGCGCAAAAGCGATGGTTGTCGGAGAGGGGCCCGCCCTTTATTTCAATGCGGGATTGAAAGCGGATTAGAATTACATTGCATGTAGTGAACAATAGACATGCATAATGATCAGACAATTGAAGGTGAATAGAAAATAAGAAGGAGAGTAGATGAATAGGAAGACTCACTTGGACTCCCAGATCGGACAATCGGCATTGTGGGTCCGAGCGGCGAATCGCTTGCAGGGCTATTGTGAATATTCATCATCTTTTTATTGATGCCTCCTTGATTCGATTCAATTAATCCCATTTCCTCCTAATTCATACTATCCTCTTCATCTGACGCAAAGAATATATCTGATTCGGCTTGCTAGCAGGGCAGCTACGACTATGTTCTAGTTGATATCCGATCCTGATATCCACTAACAGATCTCAATCTCAAAATGATGTATCCATCTTCGACCTACAACTTCGCGTCCTATTTCGATTTGATCTCAAACGGACCAGGCGCAGGACTTGACAGTGCCCAGGCAATGCCGTCGCTCATAACCTCGTCCCATCTCTTGCTGTCGGGCAGCTGCTTGTATCTCCTGAATCCATGCGGGACACCGGGGAAAACATGAACATTAGTAGGAATGCTGATTGAAGATTTAGTTTTTAAATATCCCAAATTTTGAAGAACATGGGAAACTCACCCGTTCGCAGCGAGATGCTGTCCATAAAACAGACCCTCATCTCTCAACGGGTCATTTCCCGCGATCCCAAACGTCGTCGGAGGCAAGTTCTTAACCTCATCCGCGGTGGCATTTCCAGGGTTCATCCGACGATCTCCAGCAGCATCCTTGGCGTCGTTAAGCCCAAGAAGCCCGCTGAACAACCTCATTCGAGCCACCGGCAAGACAGGAGCCTCGGCGCATTGCACATAGCTCGACAACTCAGGACTCTTGAGCTGCTCCAGTCTCGGCGCATAGTGATCCCATTGCACAACACAAGGAATCATGAGGACCTGTCCCGCAATCTTTGGGCAGGCTGCTAAACGCTTATCCTCGCCGCGCAGCTGAGCCAGTGCCAATGACGCAGTCAACCATGCACCAGCTGAAATACCGCCCACGACAACCTGCTCGCTGATCCCGCCAATCTCGGCAATGTTCTCGTGTAGCCAGACGAATGCATCTTCAGAGTCATTCCAAGCAGTGGGATAGATATATTCGGGGCTGTGTCGGTAGTTGACATTCAAGACCACGACTGGGGCACCCTTCTGGACACGCGAGGTGACAATCCGCGAGCAAATGGCGTCTTCAGAAGAAAGTGTCCCGAAAAGGAAACCGCCGCCGTGAAAATGGACGTAAACGGGCAGGCGCTCGGAGACTGGGATGCCGACGGGGCGGTAGGTGCGTGCTTCGAGGGGCGTGCCGTCGCGAGCTGTAATTGTGTAGTCGTGTAGTTGAACTGCGGCACCAAGACCATCGAGCATATCGTGGGCGGCCCTTGCCTCGCGCCCCTTATTTTGCAGTTCCTTTAATTGTTCTACCGAGAGGTCCTTGGGGGGCTCAGGCAGGGTCGACTCTAGGGCGATCCATTCGGCGCTAGGCGTACCATATTCAGTGAAGTCGGCCATTGTGGGTAAATGTACATGTAATCTAATTGCTAAAGGAATAAGGGAGAGTTAAAGAAGAAACAACAAATAAACAAAAATTTCATCTTCTACCCGGATTCAATAAACCCCACTCACTACGAAGGCAGAGTAACCCACTCACGGAGGGGCATAAGAGGGGCAGCATAGTACAAACGCGTGTACAACATAGCTAGGTACATTCACTGAGAGACATGCCACCATCAGCTTTACCCCCCGCATCACCTCGGCTCGGCTACCGGTAACAGCCTATCTGAGCACTTCGGTAACCCCACATGAAGATGGACTATTTAGGTATGCCGTGAACGAGGAAAAATGTAGTAGAGTATAAGGGTAGATAGTATGTGCATCTGCCTAGTTATAGTTGACAAGTTAACCCAATTGAAAACCAAATCATCAAATCATTCACCATGGAGTTCGGCATCCCATCCGATCCCCCGTCACGTTCTTTAGCCAAAAAAGTCGCCATCGTAACAGGTGCAGGCTGTCTAGGCGATGGAATCGGAAACGGACGCGCTATTTCAATCCTTCTTGCTGATGATGGCTGCGACGTAATCTGCGTCGACCTCAACCTGGAATGGGCTGACAAGACCGTTGAAATCGTGAACTCGAAACCCGGGCGTGGACGAGCGCTTGCAATTCGTGCAGACGTCACATCTGAAGAAGACTGCCAAGCGGCGGTTCGCTTTGCAGTTGAACGGTTTGGACGACTTGACATTTTAATCAACAATGTCGGGATTGGAGGCGCGGCGGGAACTGCGGTGGAAGTTGATATGACCCAGTGGGCGAAGAGTATGGAGATCAATGTTGCCAGTATGGTTCAAATGGCCAAGTATGCCATTCCCGAGATGGGCCGAAATGACGGCGAGATCAAAGGGAGCATTGTGAATATGGGAAGTGTTGCTGGGTTGAAGGGGGGTACACCTCATCTACTATACCCGACTGCCAAGGGCGCCATAGTTAACATGACCCGTGCTATGGCGGCCCATCACTCCCCTGATGGAGTTCGTGTGAATTGTGTCTGTCCAGGGGTATGTTCACCCTTTTCGTTTTACGGAGCCGAAGCTGATGATACTAGATGCTATATACGCCTATGATGTATGGGAAGGGTATGAGTGAAGAAGCGCGTGAGGCTCGTCGGAAACGAAGCTTATTGGGAACTGAAGGAAATGGATGGGACTGTGCTGGAGCTGTTGTATTCCTTGCTGGACCTCACGCTCGGTGGATGACTGGTGTTATTCTGCCTGTTGACGCAGGGACAACAGCTGCTGTAGGAATTGGAATGACGAAGAGCGCAAGTGTCAATGCCTAAAATTTTGACCAAATAAAAGTGTTCCACAAATGCACCCTCCTATTTTCTGCTATAGACCCATAGATCACTTTCTTTTTTTTCCACATCTCTCCATCAAAAGCTTCGAAGGTTATTATAACTTTTTGTTGTCTACCTGTAAGGCACGGGAAGGAGAACAACTATCCTAAAAAGACATCTAAAGGAACCACCAAAACCATATGACAAGGCTTAGTGACTCATTTGTGTTACAAAAGGTAGTCGTCACCTACAGTCATATGACCAACCATCTGTTAGAATGTCCCAGAAGTAGCTCCGTTGCAGCGGCCTCGGCTTTCCTTTCCAGATTTCCTTTTTTCAAACCCGTTTATCTCGTTGCGTAGTAGCCGCGCAACGGTCTACCCATTAAAACCTCTATATGGCAGTGGGACAATAATCAAGCCAAACATTACCCTCACAGACAATAGTATGACACAAAAGGGAATACAAAACCATATAGGTAGGAGCTGAAATCGGGGAGTGGTGTAAAGGTCTTCAACATCATTACATAAAAGGATTCATCTCAGCAAGGGTGTCGCAAGGCTCAAACAAATCCTGAAACTGAAGCATAGCATCAGCAAAGGCATCATCATCAAAAAAAAGCTCCTCGGTATGTGGAACTAGCAGTCTACCAGCGATGCCACTAGTTTCAGTAGTCGCGAACGGGAAGTAGGCAGTCCAATCAATGCCATCTGCCATTTCCATATACACCGTTCCATCACCCATACCGAGATCCGGACCAGGTGTTCTTTGGGAGTCAAAGTCTGGCGCGGTAGCGCTAGGTCGTAGACGGCCAAAGCCTGAGTGGAATACTGCGGCGGTAGGCCACATGATGCGCAGTTGATCCACAGCCAGAGTCAAGATATCTAGATCTTCGTTGGCACTTTTTGCAAGACCTTCTATTCGAAGAGCCTGTAGCAGTGCAATAAATGCCGTACCGCAATACCATCCTGTTATGGCCATGAGGAATCGGGTCCCCCCGCGTGCTAGAATGTCCCGCATAATGCGGGCCATACATGATGCGGCGAGTATTGCTGGTGGATATGCCTGTGGGAGAGGTTGGGAGGGGGAAGATCGCTGAAGGTGGATAATGATAATGACGGCCAGGTACGGAAGATGAAGTTGATGCACATCTCTATTAAAATGGGTGGTGCGATCTGACCCAATCGGCAATTGTAGATGGGGAGGGAGCGACTGGACCCAGCCGATGAGGTCGCGGGCCAGAGATGCTGGGAATGCGGAAGATCCGGCGTCGCTAGAACGAGCGAGGTATTTTGCAATCTTGCCAATAATAGCACAAAGCCGGACCCAGTAGATGAAGACTTCAGCTTTGGTTTTATCCGTGTCCTGGGAGAAATCTTCTAATGTGGGTTCGGACAGGGTACAGTCTTCGGGATCAATGACACACGGTTTACTTTGACACAAAGCAGTTAGTCGCTCACGCGCAAATGCCGTCCACCATATTCGACGCCGGAGGCTGAGATCAATCTGTTGACGCAGCGGATGATTTTGCGCTGGTTCCCGGTGTACACCTAGCTGTTGGCAATGTCGGATGACCACCGAAGTCCACCACCAAGAAGAATGGCGATGGAGGATAGTTGGTGGGCGCGGACTCCACCAATAAAATAGCGAAATAGCTTTCAACGAGGTCATGACATCTGCCTCTTCATCATTGTAGAACCTGGTGCGAGCTCGTTCGTAATAGCCGGCAGGTCCATCATGTGGAATCATGGGCGGTTTGATATTGCTACCAACCACAGCCAGGGCATTGACAAGTAATGGAGACCTAGCGAGCTCTTGTGAGAGGGTCTCTCGGTCTAGGACTGGACACCATGTGTAACAGTACTCCCAATATGTTTCTGCGAATGTTTGTTGTAGGTCTGGGTCAGGTAGGTTGAGCACCTCGGGCATTCTTTCCGCAATGAGCCGCTCCTGAGCTCGAGCATTTGTTTGTAGCTCTGGTAAAAATATATGACCAATTGGATAGCTATCATTATGCTCCGAGTGGTCTTCTGTTCGTTGAGTGGTGGGAGAATCATTGGTCATGGCTTGCATAGGCCTGCCCTGGGGGTCAGGCGGCACTTGACCCGGGGATGGGTCATCTCTCAGCGACCATTCGATATTGTGAAAACTCTGGGTTTTTGCTTGCTCGACTTGAGCCGGGGAGATGGAAGATCTCCGAAGCAAATCTCTAGGGAAGTCCAAGGACCGGATATCGTTCCCTAACCCGGCCCCACGAGGTCCAGAGGATGGTTGATCAACAGCAAGATGATCCGGGATAGAGCTATGTCGGTTTATTTGAACACATGAATTGGTCTCGGTTATCGGAGGTGTCAATGGGACCGCACTTGCAGCGGGCCGACCTCGTCTTGATGGCCTCGTTCTGTGACCGGGTCAGGCCATATCCATCCGGAAAGCCTTGAAAGAATCACTCACCGGCATTCTTTGCCGCCGGATTCGCATTTAGTGCAGTTCCTATACCCCTGAGCCCCTCGAGCCTGCAGGTCACATCTAATCTGCGGCCGTTAGCCTCTTTGCCGAGACAGTGGAGAACTAAGTAGCTTACCTTCTTGCTATGACATATCACACAGGCGAGCTCTGCGCGCTTCCGTTTGGTTTGAGTACCAGTGAACTGTAACCAAAGCGGTGCCGACATGATTGAAATTATACATGAAGAGTACAAAATCACACATACTTCCTTCACATCGCGAAGGCGGGGAAAGCTGTCCCCCGCAAAATTCCCCGCCAAGCTTCCCGAGATACCCTCGGCTCTCCGGCTGTCTTACCGGCAGTAATTTATCATTGACTTGGCGTTATATGCCGGTATTCTTATGTGTTGAGATCTCTCATTGGTCACATGATGTTTCCCTACATTTGTAGTAGTCTAGTTCCTACCTTTCCCCCAGTACAACTATCAACCATCCACAATACATTACATTGTGCTGTTTCATGATCTCATCTACTCTATAGACTTCAACAGGTTATGAGCCCTGGGAGCTCGTTATTGATCTGATCTAACAATCTGTCAGTATCCCCAGTTTCACTATGCGTCACGGTACATAGAGGTCATGTCTCGCCTAGCACGATCTATTTCAAGTTAATATTCACATCCCACCAAGCCCCGGGAATTGCCTATTTAGGACACGTGAATACCTCCAACTTCAGTTTTAGGTCGATAGCTACGTAGCTAGGACCGACTTATTTAGTTAGAGTCTCTTCATCTCGCGCTAATGGCTCACTAGGATTCTCTTGATCTTGCGACATTGGTTCCCTGGGCGTTTCTGCAAAATTTTCCATTGGCTCGCCGGGAGATTCTTCGCTTTGCGCAATCGGTTCCCTGAGCGTTTCTATAATCTCTTTCATTAGTGTATTTTGGGTATCTTCATTTTGCGCCATCGATTGCCTAGGCATTTCTTCAACATCTTCCAGTGGTACATTAGGAGTCTCTTGAATCTGCCCCCAATGAGGTCTTCAATCTCATTCCCAAAGAAGGACAAAAAAATGTCTCTTGTGACCCCAATAGAGGTTGGAAATTGTGCAGCTGGTTAACTAGGGCCGAGAATCTGATGTAAGAATAGATACTGCCGTTGCTGTTCATACTACTCCCTTATTGGTTTGTTGAATCTATGCTTAGCCTCCTCGTTGGGCTCATCAGTATTCCTGCTCGAGTATTTCAATTTGACTCGCTGCGCTCAGATCTGATGATGTTTGCCAAGATGATTGAATGGTGTTGAAATTTGGTCCTGTGAATCAAAATTTGCAAGTTTCTGCTCACAATTCTCTGTTGATCATATTGATCTATCCAATCTTCAGTTGTCCTTGATCAAATCTGTTCCAATTTCACACCTGACAATTCTGATGTTCCACTATGAATAAACTTATCCTAGCGTGACGCCGGTTGAGCTCAGGAAAGACAAAGAGTAGAGGAGCGTGCTCAACCCATAGATTGCGTTTATTTGCCCTCTTGATTGACCTCGGGCTTACTGTACCTCGCGTGGAAAGGTTTTTACGAGTGGGGTGAGTGCATGGGATGGGGCAGTAAGTAGGTCTATGGGATTGGTAGGTTTGTAGTGAGCATCCTCGCTAAGAATCGGACGAGGTTCAAAAGATCTGGTTCGGGCAGAACCGGCCCGGCCTGATCTAATCCGATATGATCCAACACTCGTCTTCAAGGCCTAGAAAATAAGTCGCACTTCGATGTCGCCGAGCCCTTTCCTACCAGGTTGAAAATATTTCTGACAGTAGACCTTGGGGGTATCAAAGTATTAGGAACTGCACGTGACACGAGGCCCCGATGAGGAAGGCAGTCTTGTCTGGCCAATGTTTTTCAATTTACATCCTTCCTCGAGGAAGGCTAATGATCTGGTTCCAGCTGGGCCGGCCCGACCCGGCCCGATCCGACCTCGTAAATCAGGCCAAGGAAATAAGGCGTGATGTATCGGCGACTCCGCAGTTTAAATCGCAGCGACTTTTTCCTTGGTAGTGCAAGGGCGTAAAACGATAATCTGCCGTTCTCGTGGTGCAAGCGCCCTGTGCTTATCACATGTACGAGTCATGTACGAGTCATGTCGTGCATGTTGCACCCAATCATCAGACGGCTACCGAACGTGACAGATGAAATAATTACAATTTCTCCACCAATCAGCGAATCCTTCTACCAAGGGTTTTTGTTATGAATTGGATGAGAGCGACGTGTGCCTTTCCTTTTATTTTTTTTCTTTGGCTTTTGCTGTACCTTCACTGTCGAAACCTGAAACTGGTCGTTCTTGCAGGGTCTGATCTGAATTGAAATTTTCAAAGCTCTTCTCCCCGTTAAACAGCCCAGAAGTTCCCAGGACGTTATGGTCGACGTAATGCAACCCAGCTAGGTGGTGCTAAAATCCAAAGGGAATACGACCCAAATTTCTTCAACATTCTTGACTGGCATTTGGGCGGGCAGGATAGTCGTGGGAGGGTCGCCACCTTCCATGTCGATGCCCACTGATATCCATCTTTCACACGACACGAACAATTCCCCCTCGACGGTGGGTTTTGGGAATGTGTCATCTCGGCCAAAGAGTAACTTGGTTCACGACGACAAAGCCAGCCACGATATACCTCTTATGCGTTTTTCAGGTGTGGTCGACGGTTTTTTGAGTCCCAATTCCATTCTTCGCACCTCCACTATCCCAGCGCCCACTCCCAACGTAAAACCCTGGCCACATCACCCAGTGAAGTCAACGGCCTCCTTATTGACACCATCTTCAGCTTCAATCCCTCAAGATCCGAAGCCAGCAGTAGCCATCCATAATATATACAGATACTCTTGCCTTACCACTGCTATGTTCCTCCTCGATGAACTCGAGGTCTCTGGTGACCCTAGGCTGCACGAGGAGAGGAAACAGCTCGACTCCCATCTGAGCTCCTTCCGCGATATTTTGTTACAATGCCACTAGTGCCGTCACCGGCCCGAGAACATGACTGTCCTAAATCTTGTTTTAGAGCGCTAGACAAGCCTATCCGATAGCATCGTCAACGCCTATCTTACCTTGACATCATCAGCAGCAACAGCAGTAGAAGGTAACAGCACCACCCTAACAGGGAAAAGCGTGTCGTCGCACAATCTACCTTAGCACCGGCTGGAGAAACAAGAATCACATCAAAAACAACAGAATTCCCTATCCCCGCCACCACTATAGCATCACCACCGCTAGAGCGCCTGGAAATGTTACTGGGAGATTATAGCATCGCCGAATCGGAGTGGACGATTATGGTGCGCGTATTAATCCTAAACCAGCTGCCAGCCTTTGACCGTCTCGTCGCACAGATGATACGAGTCCCTTTCTTAGCACAGCGAAATTCCCAAATGAAGCGGCTACGTGCTTCGGAGTTGCGGAATCGGTGGCTCGCGCAACGGCTCTGGCCCGACTTATCAGAGTCGAGTCCTCTGTCAGATTTGGGGTTGCCTTTCATATCATCATCCCGGCTAGGTTAGACAAAGGTACAAATCCTTCTTTGAAAAGAAGAAAGAATAAGAAGAAGATGAATCAATATCACAACCTGGTAAGATGCAGGTTGCTCGGGCCCTTGTAGGGATGCCGCACGTCTTTGGTCAAGGCAAAATAAATATCGGTGACAACACTATTAACTACAGTAATAAACCTAGTATATGACTACTAGTTGATTATATCGGTTTTATAACTTAGCAACAAAGAATTAACTTATTTTGGGCTTAAGAACCCTTGTCTGTATGCATGGTTCTAGACCTCGCCAAACCCGCGGGTCAGGTTTCGACCCTCCCAAAGCCCCCCAAGACTTTTGAATACGCGTAACATATATCATATAACGGATCTTTGTATGTGGTAAATCATTTCTTACCTATGTTATTTTGTAATTTACAGGCTCCTGGGTTCTTGGTGGGTTCGCGGGTACCCGTAAGGTACCCAAAAAAGCAATATGGCGAGGTCTACATGGTTCGTGGGGACTGGTTGGCTCTGGCCCATCTGTAAGTTGCGGCTCCTCAGTGAGGTCCGTAACAAGGCACAACTGATAGATTAACTGATTCTAGTATTGTTCCGCTCCGGTTGTCTTCCTTATTCTTCCTAAATTCGGGCCGATTATTCGTCCACCCCTACCTCCTTAAGCATTAGGTTTCTTCTAACCACTAAGATGGATGTAGTCGATCATCATCAACAACACCAACACCAAGCTCGTGAAATCACTCAAACCCATCTTTCCCTCCAACAAACATCATGCCGACAATTAAGTACAACCCGGACAGTATGCCCGATTTGTCTGGAAAGGTCATTCTCATTACTGGCGGTGAGTACTACTACACCAATAACGAACCTCAAAGCCCCATCCAGTCCTTATATACGATGAATCATGAGCTAATGCCTGTCTTCGTTATGTGCTCGGCCAGGCACCGGAGGTCTTGGGGCTGAAAGCGCACGGCAATTGGCGCAAAAATCGCCAGCGCACATCTACATTAGTGGTCGGAACGCCGCACCAGCGCGGATGCAGTCATCCAGCAGATCCGACAAGCTGGCAGCAAAACGCTGGTCACCTTCCTTCCCTGTGACCTGGCCTCCTTGGCTTCAGTGAAGCAGGCAGCAGAGACTTTTCTAGCCCAGGAATCCCGCTTGGATATTCTGATGTGCAACACGGGCATCATGGCCACGCCACCGGGGCTGACGGCGGACGGCTACGAGATCCAATTCGGCACAAACCATCTCGGCCACGCGCTGCTGATCCGCAAGCTGCTGCCACTCCTCTAGACTACAGCAGAAGCAGCGGACGTGCGTATCATCCTGCTGACCTCACTGGGGTTCAAGATGCACCCGGGTGGAGGAATCGTCTTTGGCGCGGTGCGCACCAAGCAGGAGTTCAGCGCCTTTGGTGGATGGATCCGCTACGGCCAGAGCAAGTTGGCAAACCTGCTGTACGCGCGTGAGCTCGCACTTCGGTACCCGGCCATGACCAGTATCTCCGTCACGCCCGGAGTCGTGAATACCGGGCTGGTCGAGAACCTAGGCTGCTTCAACCGCGCCTTCATCTGGGTCACCAACTTGGGTCAGCTGATGAAGCCGGAGGAAGGCGCCCATAATCAGCTCTGGGCTTCGACAGTCGCCAAGGACACCCTGCAGAATGGCCAGTTCTACGAGCCGCTCGGGGTGCTCTCTACCAAATTAGACAAGGCGTCCCAGGATGCAGCGTTAGCTAAGCGGTTGTGGGATTGGACTGAAGAGGCCTTGCAGGCATACCTGTGAGATAAGAGATATATAGAAAGAACCTATCTCACTCTCTTTAGCGGTCTCTCATATCATGTCAAGTCGATTTGGTTTCAAGATGACTTCTCAAGTATCAAGCATGTTCATACTATATACTGAGCTGTACATAATGGGTAAGAATAAAAGAGTCCTATTTATGGGCGGCCGTGCACTGTAGAATAGCTTTCGGGGGCTGTCCGTCTAGATTCCTCGGCGGCGGCGGCGGATGCGAAACGGAATAGGCTCAGCTGGAGGCATAGCGCCCACCCCATAGAATCGGCGGTCCGGACGCGGCAGCCAACCCTTGGGTCGGTCGACCATCTCCAGCTTGTAATAGGACTGAAAAATGGCGACACTGCCCAGTATCTCCTGTTTCGCAAAGTGCCGTCCAGTACACATAAACCCGCCGCCGCCGTAGGGGATCCATGCGCCTGGTAGTCCGTCGAGGGAAAACTGCTCCTTTCCCCACTCATCTTGCACTAGGAAGCGTTCCGCCTAGAATTGATCTAGGGGGTATCGTCCGCCCTGCGTGTGCCGCGGGCCCCATACTCTTGTTAGCCACTTGGATAGGGATATTTGGCATCAATTATATTCTGTAAAACTAAAAGCATTTCCTCACGATGCTTATACAAAACTCATTCAAGCACCAAATCCCGATACTCTCTCGTGACCACCTCCTCAGCACGCTTTCGATATCCAGGTGCCGGACCCTGATATCGCGCAATGATTCTCTTCTGCTTGTGCGCTAAATTCTTATTGACACCAGTCATCCAAGAATCGACATCATTAGCAAGCAATCCAACCGCACAAGTATGGACATGCTCCGTCCAATCCAAGACACTCTGCCGCGTAGCCCCAGCAAATGTAATCCCCCGATCCCGACAGAACTCAATAAACCGCGCTACCCAGCTCGCAGCATACTCCACGCTGCGAGGGATATTCCCAAACATCTGATGCGGTCCCATCACCATCATCATATTGGGGAAGCTTTCAACAAACAGACCTAAAAACGTGCGTGGACCCTCACTCCACCTATCCTTCAACTTGACCCCATCCACACCCCGGAAATCAATTGCTGTGAAAGACCCGGTCACAGCGTCGAACCCGGTGGCATATACAATCATATCAAACTCAAAGGCTTCATCCTTCGTCCTAATCCCAGACTCGGTAACACATTCAATGGGATTAGATTTGACATCCACCAAGCGCACATTGGGCTGGTTATACGCTTCGAAATAGCGTGTTTCCATGGGCACACGTTTCGTCCCGAACCCATGACATTTGGGGATAAGAATCTCCGCCGTGACGGGGTCATGCACGCGCCCGCGGATCTTGTTCGCGACAAACTCGCTAAACAGCGCATTCGCCTCTTTGCTCGTGTTGATGTCGCCGAAGTTGCTCATCCACTTCGCAAATCCGCGTTGCGCGTACAGTTCTTCCCAGAATGCTTCGCGGTCTTCCGGGCTCAGGTCGAAGGTGCTTCGCTTGTCCGGTACGTGCATGAAACAGTGCCAAGACTCTGCGCATTTGCGGAATATCTCTGGGTAGCGGGATCTGATTTTGTCCATCTCTTCTGTGGTGAGGGGTGCGTTCCGGAGAGGCAGACTCCAGTTCGGGGTCCGTTGGAAGACGGTCAGATGACCTACTGTCTTGGAGACTTCTTGGATGACTTGGATGGCGGTTGCCCCAGTGCCTATGACTGCGACGCGTTTGTTTGTGAAGTCAACTTGCTCTGCAGGCCAGCGGGCAGTGTGGAAGGCTTCGCCTTTGTAGTCCAGGACTCCGGGGATATTAGGCAAGGTGTAGTTGTTCAAAATGCCAATACAAGTGACCACAAAGCGTGAGGTGTATTTTTGTCCGTTTTCGTCTGTTACAAGCCATGACTTGGTGTCGTCTTGGAAATGTGCCGCAGTGACGCGCGTGTCGAATTGCATGTCTCGACGGAGATCGAACTTGTCGCACACGAATTCACAGTACCGTAGTGTCTCGGGCTGCGAGGCGAAATGTTCTGACCAGTTCCACTCATCGAGGACCTCTTGGGAGAATGAGAAATTGTATGAATAGCTTTCAGAATCGAATCGTGCGCCTGGGTATCGATTCCAGTACCACGTTCCCCCTACACCCCCGCCGGCCTCTAAGACTTTCGTCCGCAGGCCTAATTGTCGCATTCGATATAGCGAGTAAATGCCGGAAAGTCCGGCGCCAATGATAAGGACATCGTAGTCGAGGTCTTTGTTCTTCTGGCAGAAGTTTGGTTCTTCGATGCTGCCCATGATTCAAGGACGACTTGAGACTTGTGTTGTTCGAAGTCAAAATGGATGAAGTATTTACTTGGGGCATTACGCCCCAGCCATCAATATATGGTCATTCTTATCTTGCGGCTATAGGTTACCTTCCCATCTGGGCACCGGCGTTCGGCCGGTAAAGCCGGAAGTATCCACGTGGGATACGCCATGGCCGATTTGCGGGGAAGAGACCCACTTCTATACAGCCGGTATGCACTTGTATAAAGCCGAGGTGAGCAAGATCACACACATACATGTATCTAAGGTATTCATTACTCGATACTGGTCTCCAGGGCCCTATAGGGCGCCGGGAAGAGCAGAGATCTCAGAAATCATATGTTATACACGAAAAAGCCGCAGTGCATATTTATACCTTTTTCGCCGCATATATTCTATGTGTTTTGCAGCTAATTCTTTTAATGGGGCTTCTATGTTCAAATAAGCAAACGGAAAAAAGAAAAAGATTGAGCTGGGCCCGCACGCATAATTTGTCTGAAGTGATGAAGCATAAATTCCTCACAACATATGATCAACCGATCTTTCTCAGACAAACGAACCTTGAAAGAGAACCAAGTATAAGTCACCGGTTACTCGCCATGATGATGTGTACCACTTAAGCCAGGGCCAAGTCATGTTGTTACAATGTCTCTTCCATATTGCGCTGTTGGGCCAAAGGGGCCCTAGTTTCTCAACTACATTGCGCAGCTCGCAGGGTACCAGATTACGCTATCCAAATGTTACCGGACTGCACCGGCCCCGGCAGCCCTGGACAAGATGTTTTTAGGATCTTTTGGGGCTCTTTATGATCTGCTGGGTCACCTGGCAGGAATGTTGCTTTGAATCAAGTTCCTATTACCAGGTCTGTAGAAAGTGGAAATGTCGATGGTCTCCAATGTGATGCCAGTGTCAATAGCTGCAGGACGATTGGTACTGAGCTGGGGGCTATGGAATTGGGGGTTTCAGTTGAAATCCCCCCAAATGATAGCTTCAATATTTTATCCCCTTATCCCATCTTCAAGTATATCGGCAGCATTCTTTGCCTTTTAGATATTGTATTTTGTTGTTGGGATGCCTTTTAACGATTTCGGCGCGGCAACCTTCGCAGATTCCTAACATGATCAATAACGGTGATTGTCTGCCCGGAAGACACTTCGAACTGAGGTATTCCGGTTATAAGTCTTCCCGTAACACAGATTTCAAAATGATTTGAGATACACCAAGAAATTGTGAGCGTCCGTTCTTCCCCCGCGGTTCCCTCAGATCTATGGATAGATACCTGTAAATTATATCAATACCGGCTTACCAGGTTGAGCTTCGGTCTGACATCGGCTGGTATTAAGCCCGATAGCGGATCTACATCCATATACTCCACGCACTAAATTGTTCAGTTTCTTTTGTTACCTAAAATAGCTGCCTCAGAGAATGAAGCAGATAGCCATCGGTTTGCCTGTAGTCAAAAATTGGTTCATGGCATTAGCACTGTTCCAAAATAGCACAAATCGAAAAATGACGGCCTCTCTTAGTACCCAAGAGTTCTAGCTCTAGCTCCGATCTTCCGGGTATGAAAAAGCTCTCTGCCATCGACACACTATATAAGGATGAGGCACTCAAAGTTCTCGCCAACTACAGCGGCGATGGCACATAAACAGAAGAAGAAGAAGAAGAAGAAGAAGAGAAAAAGCTTCTCCACAGAATCGACTAAAGACTGATGCCCACCTATTGCTTTGTCGGGGTTCTATATTTGGTATTGTCCGGATAAGTCTGATCGTCTGATCGTCTGATCGTCTGCTTGTGATTTGGTTGTGCTGGGATTCGTTCTTGTTGTCGTGACCTCTTTTGTTGCCGGTGTCACTGTGCTTATCTACCGGCTTGTGTGCGTTTTGGAAAATCACAAGCGAGATCAGCCTGGGACGGTGGAGGGATATGAAAATTCGCACCTGGATGATTTGACACATAGAACAGTGAGTGCGAGAGCGAATTTGTTATTTTGTTTCTTGCTAACTGTCAATTCTGATCAGAATCCTTAACTCCGGTATATCTTGTAGAGCGGATTCTGGTGGTACCACACTGTTCAAAATCAGTTTTGTCCCATGTGACAGCATCTTTGTACTTACTATATGTACTTTGTACTTTATTTAAACTTATCCATAAATGTGCAGCTAATTCGACCCTCGATTGAATCCGGAGTTGTCGCTATCCTATAAACTATTCGTCAGAGATTATCTGAGGAATTGCCTTTTAAAGTATATAGACTTGAAACCCAACTAGGAAATAGAAAGACCCAATAACCAAAGATGGTGAGGCTACCTAGGAGTGGCCGTACCTCCCCCTACGGTCAGAAGATAAATGATATTTAGACACAATATGGAGCAAAGAGAACGTGAATAGACTAGCTCCACGCAAGAAAAACACAATAATCACTCCCATCGAAGCAGTGTTACGAACAAAAGAGTTCCCACACAGATGCCTCGCGGAAGGAGAATAAGAAGACAGCCTGCAAGTATCAAACGCCGGTTGTACATTCCAATCCATTCCGCCAAAGAGTAGGATTCGCTGAGATGAGAAAAAAACGCCATTAAATGCGGGGGAGAGTTCGTGGTATAGTCATTATAGATCACCGTCTGTGTCGATAGCCACCATGCGCTGTTTCTGCTTATCTTTGCTCTTCATCTTCAGTGCATCAATTGTATTCTGCACTTCATGTTTGGCCTCTGT